AAAAAAATCTTGTGATTCTCCGTGATTCCATTTCATATGGCAAATACTATACATCTAATTCATCCTTAGCTACTTCCTAATTTTATTTGGAATCAAATCAACAATGACTTCTAGCAAATGAAAACACAAAATAATATATTCATCACTTTCATTTTCAGCAACAAGCGTGCATCACACCAAAACTGCTTTGCAATAGCTCTCAAAACTAAGAAATACTTAAAATTAAGACAAAAAAAATAGAAGCAGACAAATACAACCTTCCTATGGCTTCTTTCTAAATTTCAGTACAGACATTGAACAATTTGAACTCAAATCCCCAAATTCATTGAGCTTAATCACTGTGATAGGATATCTTCATCTGAATATCAAATTGAGATTGTGCATCTTTCTAAACCTCTACATCATAGTCAAATGCATGATCTGATATGAAATGTGAAAAGATAAAACCACAAAACATCAGCTGATGTCATCCCAAATGGGAAACCCTCAAGCTGGAATATACAAAAAAGTGGGACATTATCAAAACAGTTCATATGACAACTTCACGGTCTCATTGTGCTTATCTAGCTAGATTGTAAAATATATTTATGAAAAAAATCACAGACATTACACTTTATGCAGTAAGGAATGCAGATTAAAAATAAACACAGTAGATTTATGCTCATGAAAGACAAATAAACGTGTTTTTCAGAGATGGCAAGAGATTCCATGGATATACAAATTTGAAGGGATATAGATTTTAATCATATTTCACCCACAAACATCCTCAAACTCCATAACTTTATGCGCAGCTGCAGAATATACTGATGGAAATAAATAAAGGAACATCTAGCAGCATTTGTATCAAATTCATAACACCAATGTTATTTCTAACAATCAAAACTGCATGAAATTCATTTTCTGTTCCTTGGGGGAGTACACAACCAAGTTGGTTGCCTTGGCAACAAAATAGGTCAAGAAGATGTTTATATCAAGCACAAAAGACATTCCCTAAACTTTTGGGATACACATAGAACATCATAGGTAAATAAACTTTCCATCAAATGTTCCCTTATTTCTAGCCCTCAGTATATATATATGAATCATGTTGGTAATTAGCTGTTACTGACATCAAATTGGAATCATTTACTGAATCAATGTTTTTTAAAAGTATTTAAAAACATTTTTTTGTTCAGTGAAAGGGAATGTTTGGGCGTAGTCAGGGACTGTGTTGATGGAGTGGTTGCCACCTCTGAAGCACCAATCAGCATACTTCACAAGAAAGGCAAAGGTCACAGGGATAACATATGTCCACTGGCTTCAGTTCACATGAAAAATGTTCTAGAACCACTCACTCACAATACACTATTTATGGTGCACTGGCAAATTGAATGAATATAGGTGTTAAGAGTAAAAATTAACACAGAAGAAGAACACTTGATCATAAATCCATATTATAAATTCATATTATGCTGCACACGTGTCTCAAACGGCCATTACGAGGTACCATCCTCTTTTCACCATCTGGATGCTGTGTCTTGTCTCGGAGACATGATCCTGCCCTTTCATTTCAAACACTAGCGACCACAATATTATGATAACTTTCATCAAGCAGAGAATGCTGTAAAACACAGCTATTCCATGGCAATAATACTGAGATATATCCACTTAAACTCAGGCAACATATAAAGTCATTAGAGAAGGGTTGACATACATCAAAGATACAATACTGTAGCATCCATACCATAACATCAAATCGTAATAGCAGTTAAACAACAAGCAACATGTAAAGGAATGCTATATTTGTTCAACAAGTGTAAACACATTCATTTATTCAAGCCACTCATGCATAAATAATATATATGTATAATGGGTAACAAAAAATGTAACACCTCAAAGATATGTAACTACACCCTAGTACAAATATGCAGACTAACACACTCCCTTGAGTAGTTGTCAGGCAAACTGTATGAAAGATGGCTGAGCAAATTGGCTTGATTCATACATTCTTATAAGTACTTTCAAAAGTTACCTGCACAAACCGATACATTGTGACCTGATAACTTGAGGTCATCAACTTGATAGTGACACAGTAATACCATAAACTCACACACATTTTGTTTTATCACTGCATCAAAATAATTCATCACCATTCAACTGATGAGAGATTACCCTGATCTGTCGGTGACGCGTATAATATCATCCTCACTATGAGATATCACTAACATTGAGTTTATCAGGTATTTAGAACTTAACTATTGGGTAGTAAAGCATATGGTATTATCTATGAACAAGGAATCGGTTCTGGTTTCGCTAATTATCCAAACTATTTACATGAAAACTACTTAACAGTCAAACAACAAACAGGAAACGTACAATTCATGGAGGAGCTATCTACATATCTTTCATGAACTAAATCAATATCACCCATGACTTAACCACACAATTAACATCCCTCAAATGTAAAATTCATATTTCCAAAACATGTCAACACTTTGAAAGAACACAATCTCTCCAGAGCAAAGCGAGTAACAATCCTGAGTGTGGGGATGTCAACGCTCTGTCAGGACGTCAACAGAAAGACACACTCATGACCAGACAGACCTACCCATCCTGCCTCTATCATGCTCACAGACACAGGTAGCTATCACATGGTACATGCTATGGAGGAAGGGGGTACCACCACTACATCATGTAACTCCTATAACAATGGATAACTTGCCACCAATAGATCCAGATGATTCCATACTGAGGCACTGAGTGAGCTTGATAAAAAGCCACTCTGAACATTAATAGTTATTAGTATTATTATTATTACTATATGGGTATTCATATAGTGCTATATAGTTTCTCTCGATCATTGGATGTCAATATCAACAGCACATCATATTTTTCAATCTCAACTACGTAGGGATCATACAACTCGTGCAGCCACTAGGCGCACCAAGTTAATGTCACTTTCTCATCCTAACGAGGTACCCATTCACAGCTGGGTGGACCTGGACACATAGTCACAGTACTTTGTCCAAGTTCACTGCACGTTGCTGTACCCACAACTAGGTGTTTGCACGTATTCATGTGGCCACCATCTGGTCATTTACCAATGGATTTGTCGGTTCTTTTAAGTGCACAGGGTTGTGTACTGTACACTAGGGGTTGTAACAACACTGAAAGAGTCTGCACACAAAGCTGACTCCAAGGTTTTTACACCCGGTCACAGGTGGGCTCTATCCCGGCACCTCAAGCTCGCTAGATCACTAGCCTGGCGCCTTAGCCAGCTCGCCCACCACCACCCCAATTACCAGTATGTTAGGGTCTGTGGAAGTATGGTGATGCAGGTCTCACACCTTTACCACTGTGGTGAAACCCATGATCATGGTGCTGACTAAACAAGTAACAACCATGGTGAACAGGGATTCTAACCTCCAGCCACAGGTTTCTGAAGCACTTAGGGGGCTAACTCATGTCAGGAATTCCAGAATTGGTGAACTATGCTGAAATCTCAAAAGTGATTACCCCATTCTTTGAAAGGCAATTTTTAAAAACCTGACAGTTCTGTCAAATGTGATATACAGGGCTCCAGATAACTTTTGGGTGTGGGAGTGTACTTACACATCATATTGCAAGTGGAGGTGTATTGAGAATTTTGAAGGAGTACTGACATGTTTTTGTGTGAGCGAGTTGATGTGGTTTGTCTGGACGATTCATCAATCACTATTTCCAACCATGTATTTGTATTTGAAGACGCTAACGCGTGAGAAATAACTGGCGACTGTGTAATCAAGACGTGAGAAATAACTGCGTAATGCGCGTAATGTCGGGTCCGACTGGATATAAATAGGAACAGTGTAGTTTTTAGCCAATCGAAAAACAGTGACGCATATCGTTGCATGGCAACGCAAGGGATTCCTACTGTCAGGCTTTCCTTATGTGTCAAATCGTGTTTCTTAAGGAAACTCTTGACAACAAGTATTTATCCGAAATAGATTTCAATTTGCACGATATGCACAGAAATTAAATGTTAGACGTACGAAAGTATTTATGTGCGTACAAGATACGCTTGAAATCTTATATTGTGTCGTACTAAACTGATTTTGAGGCGTACATTACGCCTGTACGCCCGTTATCTGTAGCCCTGTGATATACCTAGCCTCAAGGAGTTACAGAATGATTTCACTAAAGGGGAACAAACTTCACAAAGTATCCTTCAGGATTGGACTTAAATGTAAATATGATGTAGCAATGGTCTACCCAGACACGGTAGAAACATAACAAAACACAAACATCAACATTCAAAGTAACTTGTGTACCCTAGTAGTATCTGTTTAAAAATGTGATCTTGGTGCCATGATTGTCTCTCCCACTCTTTATAGAGAATAAAGGCAGCCTCAGCACCAAGATTGCTTTGTGGAATAGGTACCAGGGACCTGTCATTGAGTGTGAAGAAGAGTAAAGCTATTACAACCCCACAGTCTCTGTATGGGTGGAACTTGGTAAAGTAATAACCATTGTTGACTGGAAACCCAGTGTTCACGAATAGCGTCTGACCGTTGACAAATCCGGCAGATTCGCCAACGGTCAGACAGAAGTCTACAACCCTCCGCCCCCATTGTCTGACTGTACATTTCACAATGACTTTGACTGAAGTTGTTTTATGTGACATGTGACACTTGTTTGCTGTTTATAAATCTTATGTTTGTTAATAATTTCAATGTCAATTATAAGAAATATTAAATCTGAAATGTGTGTTTAATTTTATTCTATGGGTCCTGTGCATTTTTAATGGGTCAGACAGACATCTGAAACTTACAGGACCCAATGTCTTGTGACTTTGAAACACCATTCGTGAACACTGGAAACCATCATCAACAATTACATTTTATCGTCCTCCAATGCAAGGTGTCATTAACAGTCTTCCAAAAAGAAATGAAATCACTTCTTCAAGGTGTTGCTAGCCATTTTGTCATACTATACAAGGTGAGTTTAAAAGCATTTTATAAGATTAGATTATCATTAGCAGTTTATCATACTATGCGAGGTGAGTTTATCATCCATCTGGAAGACAGATGATCACTTCTTCAATGTGGATCCTGCCATTGTATCATACTATACATTGGGAGTCTATCTCACCCAAGAAATAAATTATCACTTCTCAAAAACATACCAGGCATTTTACCGTACTATGCAAGGTGAGTTTATCATCCATCCAAAAGACAGATGACCACTTCTTCAATATGGATCTTGCCATTTTATCATACTATGCATTGGGAGTTTATTATCCAATAAATTATCACTTCCCAATAACATACCATGTATTTTATTATACTATGCATAGTGAGTTTATCATCTGTCCAAAAGATAGATTATCACTTTTTCAATACGCTTGACATTTTATCACACATGCCCAACTCCGGGAAATTGCTTTAACAGAGTATAACACTCAACCAACAGTTCCCATGTTATTGAACCTTTTGATGGTGAAATTTATCTTCTCATTTCATCATGGACTTAACGAATAACATATTATCCCTTAAGGGAATGTTCATTCATCATTTGGTCTACCGATCAAGCAACCCAGCATTTCACAAAAGAGGCATTATTTAAACATTGTTTTCCCCTGCTTATGCTGCCTACGTAAGGGATGTAACTCAGTTCCTCCTTCACTGAAAGGGAAGTAACTCAGTTCCTCCTTTATTGGAAGGGAAGTAACTCTGGATCTTGTTGGAGAAGAAACACTTAAAGTTATATATTTCATTATTCCATTCAAGCAAATCTACCGTAAGAGATTACTATGCAACACATGCTGTGTAAACTAAGTTATAAAAACACTCTGTCATTTACCCATCAATTCAAATAAACAGGTCAAAACAATGAACACATATAACCAAGTTTTCCAAACAACCATACTTGAGGTCATTACGGACACAATGGTTGGGACATACGAGAGTCAGATTGACCTGCCAGAACTGAACTTGGCTGAGAGATGGTGGTTACTGTCTAAACAGCTTGAACATTACAGAAGCACTCGTCAGTCTAGTCAAGCTGCTGAAACAGATGAAAGATTGTTGAGGCAGACGTCACGTCACACTTCTGGAACAGACTGAAGATGGTTGAGTGAGTCTCGTCACACATCTGGAACAGACTGAAAATGGTTGAGAGAGTCCGGTCACATATCTGGAACAGGCTGAAAGTGGTTATGAGCCTGTTCACACATCTGGAACAGACAGATGATGGTTGACAGAATCTGGTCCCACTGGCAGAACAGACTGAAGTTGTTTGAGAGAGTCACGTCACACTGAGTATTGTAGAGAACTGAGATCAGATATACAGCCTAGGACCCTGTCATGCAACAATGTCCACTTCCCCAGGCTCAGCAAACAGGCCTCGAACCTCCAGAATGCTTGCCAGGTCAAGGACTATTTTGTACAATGCTGGGTGCTCGAGGATCTCGTCAGTCGGCAGTGGGGGGTGGGACATCGGATAGTAGCTTGGGCCCTGTAACATGGACACACAGTTAAACTTACTTACTGTAGACTGTCCTCCACAGTCAGATTAGTAATCAGTCAAGATATTCACTTCCAGCTGAGGTGTTGTCTGGTTATGAACCACCTTAATACTGACAAATCTAGCATGGTTTAGAAACTTCAGTCATTACGTTTGCTGCAAGAGTGAGTCAGTAATTTTTAACACTGCTTTTTGCAATATTCCAGCCATTTGATGACAAGGGACAACACACTTTTGCCCTACACACATTGTACTCATGAGGAGAATCAAACCTGACCTGAATATGGCATGAACTTATCACATACAATCTAGCTGAATTGGATCTAGTTGAGTTGAATTGTTATTTACTTAAGTTGTCTGGAAAAATATTAAATCACCTCTTAATCTCACAAATGTTAATCTCCACTTGCAGCTGTTCACCATGAAGCCTCCAAATATCTCATTCTGATCCTACTGTCAAGCTTTTTCAAAGATTGTCTTACCTTGAAACCTCTGTGGAGGATGAGAACAATATAACAGAAGACGAATCTCAGCAGAATCAACCGGAGGAAGTCATCCCCAAAGAACTGCATGTAGGAGTGATCTGAAAACACACATGAAATACATAACTTCAAAAATTTTGGAGTATTAATCTTGCAACTGATTGTTATTGCAAGGCTATTGCTAAATGCAATACTCAGCAAAAAAATGAAGTCAATTTGAAACAAGCGCTTTTCATTTCAATTAAATGAGCTCTGACATGTCTGTTAATGTCCTGATATTACATGGAGTGTTGATAAATAATTGACCAGCACGTTACATCTGCAACATTACTTGCAGCTACATTCTCATGACTAATTTGGATGGAGTTTTAGTGAAAGAGAAAGGCACAGATTCACTGTTACTAAAATTACCCAGTTTCCGGGCCCTGACAAACAGCTTGCTGGACTCGGACATGAACTTGTCTATCTGGGCCTGGCACTTGTCCCACAGCGTGATGGGGATGTCGATGATGTTGCACACGTGACACAGAGCCATCAGCGGCGAGTGCATGAACAGCGTGAACAGGTTCCCTTTCTGGTGCTGGTCTGTGGAGACAAACACCACTAGTCAACGTGTTGATATTCTTGCTGTGTGGTGCAGTGAGATGCATGTTTCAGTGTTGTTAAATGGGTGACCCAACAATGTTTCTTATGCATCTCAAAACCCATCATACAACGGCATGTACAGTGAAAACTAGTGTTGGGAATTGGTTGAAATTTCTCAATTGATGATTGCTTCATTACCAACGAACAATCATCGAAAAAAATTGGTTAGCATCATTTTTCAGATTTGCCTATCCAGGTTGTTATTGCTGATATGTATAACATGATGCAACTTGCTACTTTAAAGTGATGACTAATATATCATGGACATAAACTTCCTGGAGTCTTAGAGAAATATTCAGTCATGACTTTTCAGTTAGTGAAGTCAGTTTTCTAAGAATTAAACACGTTTTCAGGCCCTGACAACTTCTAAGATATGTTCCATTGTCAAGTCTTGCAAAGACTAAACAGTAGTTCCAAAATCGTTTAATATCGATTATGAGAAAATGTGATCGATTGCTTGGTCGTTTGGTCACTGCGACCAATCTTCGATTATTTCAATTAATCGGAACACCACTAGTGAAAACTGTTTTCAATCCGCACTGAATGTCGCTAGTTTACAATACAACAAGCATTGTCGCTAAGGTGACATAATCCCCCGCTGCAAATTATCAAATCAAACTTAAAAAGTAATGAAAGTTTAAGATGAAGTTAAATGTCAACAAAAACATGACCAGTCAACCTGTCTTGATATCTTGCTCTTTAGTTGTTCAAACACACAAATATTTTCAAGACTGACTTTGACCTTGACATGAATGTCATAGTGTATGAAATATGCCAAAATGGTACTAAAGAAATTGCTTATTGAAAATGTAATTTTTTGAGTAAAATTGATATTTTATACTTATCCTGACTCATGCTCTTTTGCTTGTCTCCTTCCTCTTGCGAACATAGTGGAACACTTGTATCTCCCTAATTGAAGTTCTCTTCAATGTAAAATCACTAATTAGTACACCACGAGTTACCTCCCTTCCACAAGCGCGGGAACGAGGGCGCCACCTCTACCCATGTGCCTCACTCTCTCCTCATATACTGAGCCCAACATTTGAATTTACAGGGAAATCCAAAGTGTTATTTGGGGAGGATGGGAGGGCTGACCTCATGAGTCAGGATAAGTATAAAATATCAATTTTACTCAAAAATTACATATTTTTTCCTTATCCTGACTCATGCTCTTTGTTTGTAGAATCCAACAGAGCGGAGGTGGGAATATATAATACTTTGGATTTTAATAATTAGTGATTTGAACTGTGATGATTGTAATAACCCTATGAGAACTTCATAAAGGCATTGAACTGATGAATTCCTGCTGCCAGCTTATCAGCTGCCATATAGAGGTTATTACAATGTACTTATTATGATAAGTATATATAATATTAATACAATGCTTAAGACTAATAGACTTAAGCTTGTTAATATGCTAGTATAAACTCCTTAGAGTTTGTTAGCTAAAATACTTTAAGATATAAACATAGCACTAAGCTTAAAATATGATTAATTTTAAGCTAATTATATAATAACAAACCTCTTTAGGGTTTGTTAGTTAAAATATTTATATGATATAGACAGTGCTGAGCTTAAGATATGAATAAGCTTAGCTATATATATAACAGCAAACTTTGTAAAGTTTGTTAGCTAATACACATTTTACAATATGAGTATAGTATTGTGCTTAAGATATAATTATCTTAAGCTACATATATAATAGCCAAACTTAGTAGAGTTTGTTAGCTAATATATTTTACAATATGAGTATAATACTGTGCTTAAGATATAATTAACTTAAGCTACATATATAATAGCCAAACTTAGTATAGTTTGTTAGCTAATATATTTTTACAATATGAGTATAGTACTGTGCTTAAGATATAATTAACTTAAGCTACATATATAATAGCCAAACTTAGTAAAGTTTGTTAGCTAATATATTTTTACAATATGAGTATAGTACTGTGCTTAAGATATAATTAACTTAAGCTACATATATAATAGCCAAACTTAGTAAAGTTTGTTAGCTAATATATTTTTACAATATGAGTATAGTACTGTGCTTAAGATATAATTAACTTAAGCTACATATACAATAGCCAAAAACTCTGTAGAGCTTATTAGCTAATAGATTTATAATGTAACCATAGTACTAAGCTTAAGATATGATTAGACTTAAGCTAAATGTATATAGCAAAAACTCCTTAGAGTTTATTAACTAATATACTTTTATGTTATAAACATAGTACTGAGCTTAAGATATGATTAAACTTAAGCTATATATATATAATAGTAAAACTCCGTAGAGTTTGATAGCTAATACATTTTATTATGTTGATTTAGACCTAGTATTGAGCTTAAGATATGAAGTAAACCTTAAGCTAAATATATAATAGCAAAAAACCTTTTAGAGTTTTAATAGCTAATATACTTATATGGTATCAACATAGTATTGAGCTTAAGATATGAAGAAACCTTAAGCTACATATGTATAGCAAAAACTCCGTAGAGTTTGTTAGCTAATACATGATATAATGTAACCATAAAGCTTAAAATATGATGAAACTTAAGCCAAATAGCAAAAGCTCTTTAGAGTTTGTTAGCTAATATAGTTATATGATATAAACATAGTACTGAGCTTAAGATATGAATGAGCTTAAGCTACCTATATAATAGCAAAACTCCGTAGAGTTTGTTAGCTAATGTATTTTTACAATATGAGTATAGTACTATGCTTAAAATATACTTGACTTAAGCTACAGTATATAATAGCCAAAAAAAACTCTGTAGAGTTTGTTAGCTAATGCATTTATCATGTAACCACTGTGATGATAAAAAACGAGCTTAAGCAAATTATATATAGCATGAAGCTATTTAGTACTGTTATAAGATAAGTAAAAATCTGTAAGATTGACTTATCTTCTCCGAGGAACTGTCAACTGTTGTGCAAGGACCATGGGATCGAATTGGTGGATACCTGAGATGTCCTCGGTGGTGATATCTCTCAGATAATGGTTGGCAACCACCATATCGGATCTACAGTAATAAACCCTCCATTATTTCAAATAACATTTGTGTAGATGAAATTGTAGAAGTTAGGGCTCTAATATCAAGAGTATTAAAGCTCATGGAGGGTCGGATTAGGTCCATCTGTCTTGTATGCACGTAGTATGACAGTTCTGATCCAAACGGAGATATAGTACATTGAGACTACACTCTGCGTGAAGTTGATGATAGAGGAAAAAATCTGTTGTATTTTTCTTCCTGTTTGGTTTGGTGGAGATAAATTTACAGTGCTCTTGCTGGCCAGCGTGATAGCATCATCGTATCATGGAGTCCAAGTATGTCATCCAGGCATGTTCATAACCCTCACTTGTGAGGTGTTGTAGCACTATATTCATATCCCCAAGTTGGTAATGCATTGAAACTTCCGTTTATTCTCCAAACAGAAACTTAGTAGGTTTACTAACCATCTAGTTGTGTTAGTAGCTTGATGATGAAATTCAGGTGTAGTCTGAAACGCTGTGGATTTCGATCCACTTGTATCACGTCGTCTAGGTAAATCGCTGCGATGTCCTTGACGATGTATGTGCACAACCGGAGTTTGTGTCCTCGATGAACTTTATGTAAAATCGCCTGACTGCTGTGCCCTTGTCTAAACTTGACAGGGGAGGTCTCTAACCTGAAGAAAGCAGCCTAATCATGAAGGTTCAGGTTAACTGGGCTGTAAGGAGGCTTGCTCGCTCATTGATATAAAGTTGTCACTTGCAACCTATGTCTTGAACTGTGAACTATGCTCGACCTCTGTGTAGGCGTTGTTCATCGGGTCCAATCAGAATAAGGCATTTTGATTCTGTAGAGTACCGCTGTGATGTCACCGTGTAGCAGGAAAAGGAACCTTGTATAATATAGTGCCGTCGTTGATATTAGAACAATCATCGGTCTTCATCGTAACTTCGAAGTTACCCGAGTGACCACGGTTTCGAGGATTAATGGTAAACGCTTGAAAGCTTGGTAGCAAAAAATACCTTGCTCTGTAATATTAATGCTGGGTAGGTTATTTTCCTGGCTGTCGTGAAAGTACTTCAGTTTTGAATATAATTCGACTTCTTTTATATATAAAGGTACAATAACTTGTAAGTTGTCAGCTTGTAGACTGTATACATGAATGTATCGTCATAATTGTAGAATTAAAGCTGAATTTGTTGTACATATTTCTTCTCAGAAATGTTGACGATTATGAGTTATACTCGCTGTAACAAGGCTGCTGTTCAATTTCGATATTGAATTGTCTGCAGATATGCGTAATGGTCACGCATGTAGATAATCGTGATCGTCGTCCGGGATTGCATATACTAGCAATTTATAACGGAATAGTTGATTTCTGTGAAGATCTATGAAACGCCGTTGACAAATTAATACAGCGACGTTCTGTGTTGTAAATAGCCTGTGCAATTGTCTTCGTGAGGGCTTATAGGCGGCATCTGGCATACAGTTGATAGACAACTTATGCGATGTCTTGAACGGACTGAGGAGTAGCTATATATGACGAAAGTGGCTAGTATATGGAGACCTTGGAGGAGACTTCCTCGGTGAACGCCGGAGACTTCACTTTAAGCTCTCAAGTATCCCTTCTAGATCTACTGGTGAAGTAGACTTGGAGCCACTTAGCCTTCGCGACCTTCGCGAAGGTATCGAATCAAAGTCCGATTAGAATATATATATATATATATATATATATATATATATATATATAAGAGCGCTTTTGCTTCGCGAATGGCCTCTGTGTTTAACAGGATGTGGGGTCGGCGAAGCGCTACTCCTCCGCCGACGCCCCTTGTAGCTGGTGAGGCTCTAGCTCCTTCAAGGAGGCTGCCCGGGACTTGCTGGTTCTGCATAAGTAGGGCCGAGTGGATCATCTTATCATTTTCAGAAGTCGCGTGTTACGAAATCTGGTGATAAGTGTCTCAATGATCGCTCTAGATCTATTAGGCCAACGCAACATACGCCTCGGCCATGGATTCAACTGAACCAATTCTACGATTGTAGTTCTTATTGTTGATATCGATGATCAACTTGTAGTTTTCATCGATGTCTTAAGCCTTGAAGAAGGGGTCCATGTTGTGCGTGGAAAACTTCTAGGCTGGAAAGTTCGGCAATTATGGTGTCTGAACTTTGTGGCTTTATGGGATGCTATGTCTAGATTCTGTGCTACCGCAGCAATCGGGTCGATCGGAGGTAGGGTGATAGCATCTGGCGCCGCCTTCCTTCATCAGGTATGTCTGCGTCGTACTGCCACTCTAGGAAGGTGATGTAGACTTGTGTGCAGACTTGTGTGGTAACCTGTGAGGCGATCGATGTGGTGATGTAATGAGGAGATCGGAGACTATTGACAGCTTCGCGAAGCTCTTGAGTAGTCCCTTGACTCTGTTAAATGACGATCTATATTCGGTGTCCTTCCTCGAGTGCCTTCGCTGAATGCCTTCGGCGAATGCCTTCACTAACGCATCGAACGCCGTGAAGCTTCCTTCCGCGCTCGTGCTGGGGAACGGCGATTTGAGCTTCGCGAAGGCTTCCGTGAGGTCTGGTGGCTGAGTCTGCATCTAAGGATGAAGCCGAGGAATGTGATGATCTATCCCGCCTTCGCGAAGGCTGTACATCTGGGTCCTTCGTCAAGGTGGTCTGCGACTTCCTTCGCGAAGGCTGCATCGTCTTGGCTGCTACGTTGACTGGAGGTGCCTCTAGAGTGTTGTCTAAGTTGGAGCCTTCGCGAAGGCTCGTACTCTGGGCTGGCTGCTTCTCCAGTCTGTAGTGACCCTCCATCACGACCATGATTTGCCGTAGTAGCTCGTCTGGGATGGTCTGCGACGAAGTAGTCGGTGCCATCTCTGCGCTGTTAGTGGTGGGGCCCTCAGGTAAGTCGTCTGACATCAGTGTAGAGACATCAGGCTGCATGACGCATCTCTGCTGATGTCATTGTAGCTGTCACCGGTCGCTACTTGTCTCATACGCCGAGGATGATGATCGGCTGATCATCGTAGAGGCCAAGTTCAGCGGCTGGAACAATCTCGCTGAGAAAGTCCTAGTAGACTTCGTTGAATTCCCTCAGAGGTCGATGTAGCTGCCCTGGGGTGCGAAGTCTGGCGTTGAGTGTTGGTAGCGACGGGACCCTCAGGAAGATCATCGAATGTTGATCTGCGCGCTGACATCACTGTTACCCGACATCAGTCATTCTTTGATGTACATCAGGAATGATGATCGGCTGATCATCATACCCGCCCAAATCTCGCGATGAGAACAATCTCGGCGAGAAAGTTCTAGTAGACTTCGCTGAATACCCCTCAGTGCGACGAAGGGATGTCTGGGGAAGCAGGATGCTTCTTGGAGGCGGCGGACTACGCCCCACGCTCCACCATTCTAGCGAAACCCAGACGGGGAGGGGGTCGACCAACAGCAGTAGACTGGCTTAGGGGTTCAGGTGTATCAGTCATGCTAGACTCTGCATACGTGACCTATCTGCTGCGCTGCGTCTCAAACGCCAAAAGTAATTATTTATTAAAGGTAGAATTGGATAAATTAGTATCGCAACTGCAACGCGTGAATCACATGAAACATGGCAGTACAGCTAGGGCATATTAAATGCGGATCAGCAGCAGAATAAAACGTAATGTGCAACAGTACAGAATTTTATCAACGTAATCCACTGCAACAGCACGGGCCCGATGCATAAACAGTAGAAAAACGCGACTAAATATCAATATATAATTGTTGAAAGATACTAGCTAAACCTCTATAGATCTCTATACGAGGTAACTAACTAAATATAATCAAAGGATATAGTGTGTCGGGAGACACAGGCGCTCTCACGTCCAGCTCACTGGGCGAAGAAGGAGAGAGTGAGGCACATGGGTAGAGGTGGCGCCCTCGTTCCCGCGCTTGTGGAAGGGAGGTAACTCGTGGTGTACTAATTAGTGATTTTACATTGAAGAGAACTTCAATTAGGGAGATACAAGTGTTCCACTATGTTCGCAAGAGGAAGGAGACAAGCAAAAGAGCATGAGTCAGGATAAGGAAAAATAATTATTCACGGGAAGTATTGAAAGACTATATGAAGAAAATCCAGTGAATTCAGGTTAACATGTTGAAATCTTGAAAACTATGTGAAGGTCACCAAAATCAACTGGGTTCTGCGCCTTCCCTGGATGAAGCTTGGTGTCATATATGAAGAAAATCCAGTGAATAGTTCTTGAGGTATCTCACTGACATGCATAACATGTAGGTTATTATGCTGATATCTTCAAAGTGTCGCCCTGACCTTGAAAATTAGGTGAAGGTCACCAAAATCAACTGGCCCATGCGCCTTCCCTAGATAAAGCTTGGTGTTGAACATGAAGAAAATCTAGTCAACGGTTCTCGAGATATCTCGCTGAAAAGGGTAAAACGTTACCCTTGTGACCTTGAAATTAAGGACAAAGTCACCAAACCTGACTTGGACCTTTCTTATACTGTGATGAACCTAGGTACCAAATATGAAAAGAATCTAGTCAACAGTTCTTAAGATATTCCAATTCATACATACGTACGTACAGACAGACGGACGGACGGAGCCTAATACTATATCCCCCGCTTCGCGCTAAACACGCGGCAGGGGATAAGTAATCTGCGCCAAAACAGCCGATTTGTTGATATGCTATTTCTGATCATGTGAGTGAATGGTGGACAACTTTGTTTTATGGGAACCACAGATTACCTTGTGGTTTAACCGAATCCTCGTTATTGCAAGGCATGACTATCTGCTGAGTGAGTGAATATTGCTTTACGCTGCATCAGCAATTTTGGAGCTGTTTGCAGCAAATGTATGCTGTTAAAGTACTGTAAAGTGTCTACAGTTTATAAATGAATGTGGAAACATGCACATTTTGTGGAACCAAATATTGGATACCTTTGCAAGCTTGTGCAAACCGTGTATCATTAGGTTACTAAAAATTGGCTTCAACAGTTTTTAATTCATGGACGTATAAATGTACACTGTGTAAAAAAGCTTAACTGATACCTCTATAAATGCTAAATTTAACTGAAATCAATCCGTAAATAAATAAATCAATCAATCAATCTATTCTTAAATCAATTCTTAAATAAATAAATAAATAAATAAATAAAATAAATAAATAAATAAATAAATAAATAAATAAATAAATAAATAAATAAATAAATAAATAAATAAATAAATAAATAAATAAATAAATAAATAAATAAATAAATAAATAAATAAATAAATAAATGATTCCCCTTAGATCATCAGCCATTAAGAAGACAGTACTTCATTAGTTGGTTGGCCAACAAACTTTCAGCATATGCAAAAACAATTGTTTGGTAAGCAAATCAAATGCTACAGAATCAATTCAAAATTGTCTTTTCTGCAATAGGAAGTGTGTGGAAATAAGTACCCTGCATTGTAGTGGGCACTTGTTCTGGGGAGAGGAGGCACACCATCGGTTGTCCAAACAAGTTGGGGAAATTCTGAAACAAGTTTCACATATGTCCCTAGATCACAGTGCAAAACATAGTATGTGATACAAACCCTATACAAATACAATACAGCCCATGCACGTCTAGAATAGGTAGCAGGTCTAATTACTGCAGGGTCTGAAGATGAAGGTTATATCACAGCTCAATTTTAATCTATTATATTGAGATAACTTAACAGCTGTTTTTTCTCTAAAACATTTTGGTTTGTGTTGTTTGTTGTTGAACGCCGCACTCAGTAATATTTCAGCTATATGGCAGTGGTCAGTAAATAATTGAGTCTGGACCAAACAATCCAGTGATCAACATCATTAGCATTGACCTACCATGTGTTAACCATGGCAACAACCTGACCACACGATACCGTTACTCACTTCTTAAGCATGGGTTGCTGAAGACCAATTCTAACCCTGATCTCCACACTATATTCTTTTCTTCAATTCAGAGACTAAATGTAAGTCTTCAAAAAACATATAGTTGGAGTACTAAGATTTTTACCATCACCTGGTTAAATACAGAGCTATACCAAGGAGTCCTATCTTATGACTGACGATCAACAAGGGACAAACACATTATATGTAGGTCATCATAATTTTTTCGGACAGAGAAGAGTGAGCACTATAAACCCGACTCACGGGGAGGTGCTGACATGAGAAAGAAAATCTCTTTTATAATTCATCCAGTTCAAACAATTTCATGTCTGCAAGGGATTCACCATTAAAGGAAGGAGGATGGAGATATTATTTTATATTTTGGTCAGTGCTTATAGACAATGTTTTTATTTTGGTTATTACTATTAGGACACAAATCATATGCAGTCTCAGTATGTTTTGAACCCATGTTCATCACTTGTCTTAACACTACTTCACATTATTTTTCTTGGTACTGTCTGAACTGAACCAACATGAACTGGTTGGTCACTATGAAAGTTCAGGTCATTGACCTACCTGGAAGGCTGAGCTGTTATCACTGTCGATAATAAGGAAGAGAGGCTTTCTTGTGTAGGGGTAAAGGTCACCGGGGTGAAGGCTGCAACACATGGAATAACGGTTTTACATGACAGACACAAGACATAGTTGCTGTCTGTAGAGACATTTAAAACACTTAGATTTCACTTCAGACAATAATTAAAGTTACTTCTTGAACAGTACTGCCAGCAATCTGGAGCAAATGGCAGATGGACCTGGTTTTGTTATTAAGGGACCGTTCATAATTTATGGCTAGGGGGGTGATGATGATTTTTATGGAGAAGCATGTACAATGTGAATGACACCCCCTAAAACTTATGTACAAAGTAAGTGGCCCATGCATGTCATGTACAAACTCAATGACCCCCTTTCCTATTATTTTTAAGCCTAATTTTTTGAGTATATTTAAGTACCCCCACCCCCCAGTACATATGTACAAAACTGTTGATCCCCATACATACATAAGTATTAGCATGCATAAGTATTTTGTGATACGTGTGAGACTTACCAGTGCATCTCTTTCAGCAAGCCTGGTCTTTTTCCTTTAATGGGGGCGTCACCCTCTCGTCTACTGTTGGTGATCACACCTCCAAGGTCATATGCAGCTACAAGCAACATCCCAGTTAGCAAAGGTAGTTATTGGATTCATTACCCAACATTCATGATATGTATCATATTCACCTAATCGAGGATTTGCTGCAGTCCTACTGTTCAGTCTAGTAGTGAGTCAGTGAGTTTGGTTTTACGCCGTATTTGGCAATGTTCCAGCAATATCATGGTGGGGAACACCAGAAATGGGCTTCACACATTGTACCCAAATGGAGAATTGAACTTGGGTCTTCAGCGTGGCAAGCGAATGCTTTAACCACTAGACTACCCCACCGCCCCAGTCTTGTAGAACCAAATGCACCCTACTTCTGACACATGAAACCTATATTATAGCACATCTGCTTGATATTCATAGGAACAAAGCATGAAGCAGGATTTCAAGTTACAGATGAAATGTGCCAAACGGCTCATTTTGAAAGCTTTTAATGTTTTTCAAATATCTGAACATTGGAATCTTCTTTCTAATATTTCAAAGTTTTACACAAGCAAAATTTTATATTTCCAGTGGGCACAAAGGGCCCATATCCTACCCCTTCTTTAAGAAAACAGTTTTCAGCTGAAAAGTAGTATAAAGATTACAAACCAACTCTCTTTGTTGAAAAATTAAATAATCTATAAAACAGTCACCATCATCTGTGTGTTTAGCATTTCCATGGCAACCATCAGCAGATATGTACAAGAGACTGGCACCATTAGGAGGCAGTTCTTTAAACGCAGATGCGAGAAAGGTGTTCAGCTGTCCGTATGTTGGTTTGTACAACAGGTACTTGTGAGGGTTCTCATGGCGCCGGTCACCATTTTCCTGAAGAAAAGACCCTCCTTGTCACGAGTAAAGTGATATTTTTCACAAATAAAATACAAAACTTGATTAGATGATGATGGAATTAATAAAACAACTAAATAGGTAACATATAGACATTGTATCTGAATGTATACAACAAATACATAACTAAGGCTAACAATACATTGATCATGTTCAACAAAAATATTACGGAATATAAAGAAGTAATGTTTTCATTTTAAATATGGATCAATTTAGATATAGTTGGCAAGTGAGCCAAAGGTTTAAAGCAAACAAACTGTATATATTTGTAAATATCTCTTGTCCCCAAAAGATACATTTGTTGTGGTAATTGTGATAAACAACACAATGTTGCTCACATACAAAGCAGTGTAACAGAAAACAATACAGGCTACTTACAAACAATGTTACTTGTTAACCATACCATGTTACATCAAACAATGCCTTTGACGAAGAATACAATCACTATGAACAATCACACTACTGCATATGATGCACTGAGTTTCAAGACATGCCACGCCATGTATAATATAGGTATAATACCAGAAATACATTCACTATTATTCTAGGCTCTAAATCATAGATAACTGACTAACAGGTAGTTCAAGGTTTTGCTTTGTTCATGGATCTGTCAATCATAAAATTGAAAATTCAAAAGACCACAAATTTGGCTAAAGCTAAAAGCAGCCTGACAAGAAAACAATTCAAAGGGATTTTTGTATAAACTGCAGAATTTTACCAAAGATAAATCATCATCAGATGCCAGACGATAGATTCATAAGGAATATTCCTAATCACCTACAAATCCAAATCAAACTTCAAAATTATCAAAACATCCTGTAAGAGTGAGTGAGTGAGTTTAGTTTTACGCCGCACTCAGCAATATTCCAGCTATATGGCAGTGGTCTGTAAACAATCGAGTCTGGACCAGACAATCCAGTGATCAACAGCATGAGCATTGATATGCGCAATTGGGAACCGATGACATGTGTCAACCAAGTCAGTGAGCCTGACCACCCGATCCCGTTAGTCGCCTCTTATGACAAGCCTGTGTTACTAAAGATCAATATTCTAACCTGGACCTTCACGGATAACATCCTGAAAGAGCTTAGGCTGCCTGTTTAATGCCACACTAGGCTGTGTTCCAGCTATATGGACCAAAGAGCTTAGGCTGCTTGTTTAATGCCACACTAGGCTGTGTTCCAGCTATATGGAGTGATATTAGAATAAATTTTATGGAAAGAGCTTAGGCTGCTTGTTTAATGCCACACTAGGCTGTGTTCCAGCTATATGGACCAAAGAGCTTAGGCTGCTTGTTTAATGCCACACTAGGCTGTGTTCCAGCTATATGGATATCAAGGCAAGGACACCAGAAATGGGCTTCATACATTGTACCCATGTAGGGAATCGAACCCATATTTCGGCGTGATGGGCGAACTAAGCTACCCTACCACCCACAATGTACTCAGATCTCAGATACAAGGTACCAGTGAAGATCCGGATCAGAATTAATCTTCAGAAACCCATGCTTGCCGCAGGCAACTAACAGGATCGGGTGGTTGGACTCACTGACTTGGTTGACACATTTGTGTAGATTGATGCTCATGTTGCTGATCACTGGATTGTCTGGTCCAGACTCGATTATTTACAGACCGCCGACACATAGCTGGCACATTGCTGAGTGCCGCGTTAAACACCAACCAACTCAGAAACATGGACACAAACTCAGCTAAGACACCGGGCCTGACCATCCAATGAATCATTTCTTACCACATGATGTTGTTTGTTTGGTGTTTGTCGTTTGTTCAATGTATAACTCAGCAATGTCACAGCTATGTGGTGGTGGCATATACAAAATCAATTTCAGACCAGAGATCCAGGGGTTGATATTATGAGCAATAACCAACACCATTACGGTATCGTGACAACCAATCATGTTTCTTGGGGAAAACAACTCTACAGGGTTGATCGTGGCACTTTACGCGGTAAGATCAAAAGAATTTGCATCAGGTAAAAAGACCAGTGTAGTTGATTGGTAAGTTTTGAGCCTCTCTCAGAAAAAAGTGCATAACATCTTAGAATGCTTTCACTATGATGCAATACATTTTAAGCGAGGTTCAGAAGTTTTCAATCAATCCTTGCATGTTTGGCGAGGGGCAGACATGGACACATCATGCAAGAGCCATGCTAAGCTACAGAAGGCTACTACTACAGGCTACATCCACAGTCCAAGGTGGCAGGACCATGCTATAACATGTTCTTTAACTAGTTGCTAGGCAACCTTACAGATTCTATTTAATATATAGATACTGTTCCCAAAAATATTCACATTACTGGAATGTGTCAAACCCTCACTGTGGAATGTTTCATCAGAATATTATACTTTTTTCATATTCTGATATAATTCTTGAGCAAAATAGGCTTCATTACTGCAGGGTTGAACTTGAGATCAAAACATATAAGGCTGTGCTGGCAGAATCATGTAAGTTATCACAGCAATGCAAATGTAAGATTAATACATCTGACTTGAGATTATTGCTTGGCCAGTACTGTTTTACTTGTTGGAACACGGATCATCCTACCCAATATTTTCTACGAAATATTGGATAAACAAATACAAATTAACAAAGACAAGATACAAATTACCACTGATTGTTTTGTTGACAATTCAAACATACAAAAATTGTTAAAGGTTATGATGTGTTTACATAAAATCATCTATAAAACGCATGATGCTCAAACTAACATTTTGTTCATTCAGTGAGCCATAGTAACAATCCTTGCACAATAAATAAGAGTTATGATGAAAAATTTACTCCCTTGTCACCCGTGGAAAATGTGATCCAGATAACAATTTCATTCTTTTTTTGTGTTGCCATCATTCCCACCTTCTCCAGAAAATATTTGTAAAGAAAAAACTCCAGGTAAAAAGAATCTGAAGTCTCAAATAAAGAATAGTTTTTATTACCCTTCTGCTATTAACCAAAAGAATCTGTGATCCAACAAATAGAAATATAATGGCCTTATAGGTGTTATAGAGTTAGTTTGCTTAGGCAAGTACATCATGATCATGCGATTAATATCTGCTGCAATGCCGAGATATAGGATGGCATCTTGCAGAAGAGAAGACCTCTCCCAAGAGATAAGAGTAATAGAGTTACCTCCCCTACAGCTCGTGGTCTTGGCATAGGCATCTAAAAATAATTTAAACAACTAATCTGAATGTCACCTAAATAACGAACATTTAAAAAAGTTAATGCAGTCTTACTATTTTTGTGATTACCTACAAAATATATCTGTTCTGCCATGCCTTGCCTGCAGCATCTGTTTAGAAGAACATAGGCTTTTTCAAATGCATATATGTGAGTGTACCAAATTGTTTCATATCAACATTACCACTGGTAAGAAAAGTCTTAATAATAAACCAAAACATAAAGCATAAATGTGACAAGTTAATCGCTTAAGAAGCCAGGAAATCTGTATTTGATCAAGTGTATTTTGGGGGATGGCAGGCAGGCAGGCAAGGCAAACAGATAATTTACTTCTCAATGATAAAAAACATTATTGTGGAAGCAGAAAGCAATGTCATTGAACACCTTAACATGTGTATAATTGGAAAGCACAATAGCAAGATTCAATCATCCTCTGTATATCTCGGACTCACATTTCAGTAAACCTACAATAACCTCTTGATCAATTCCTAGGGTTCCTGCAATCTCAAATTATCTCCCCTTGATTTCCATTTACCTGTTTCATCAGCTATACAACTACATCTAATGTAGCAATCTGAATGTCAGTTTAAAATCAGTCTCAGTATTGGGTTGCTAAGATCGAGTTTGCAACAAATTCAATTATAAAAAAGTTACAAAGTTACCAACATAGAACAGGAAGCCCTTAAAAACCCTTTCAAAATAAATGACCTTTGCAAGTCCACTAAACAGTGGCTTTGGTTCCAAGGGGATAGGGATTACCTCCCTTATCCTCGACTGACTGACTGAGTTTTGGTTTTACTCGCTTTTAGCAATATTCCAGCAACATCACGGCAGGGGACACCAGAAATGGGCTTCACACATTGTACCCATGTGGGGATTCGAACCCAGGTCTTCGGCTTGACGAGCCAACGCTTTAACCACTATGCTACCCCACCGCCCCTCCCTTATCCTTGAAGTTGATTGGTTGGTAAAATGTTAATGAAACTCAAGGGTATATAATTTGCAATGACAAGAACCCTTGGAAGGGATCCAAGGGTTGTGTTGGTTTACTGAAAGTTGAGCCTTGGAGGTGTAGAGGATTGATTCAACTGAACACTGATGATAATTCATGACAGAGTGGTACACTTGCATCACAGAAACAGAGTTTAACACAAACATGGCTGCCACAGCACTGAAGCAGAAGAAGAAGTAAAAAAGGGGTGGATGGTTGGGAATGGTTTGCATAACACACAAGCTTTACTTTCTTTGCTAACCCTTTGTCAAACCAGGATACATCAGCCTCACTAAATTCATCACCTCCAAACCTTCATAACACATTAGCTTATCTCTACCTTACTCCAACACCCAGGAGCTTCACTTAATGCCTTCTATTAACATTCCTGCCTCACACCCAGGAGATTCAACAAGCCCTGCCCAGCCTCAACCCTTTGTAACACAGATTTCATCTCAACATTCCTGCCTCACCCAGGGAGATTCAGTTAACCCTGGCCCAGCCCAACCCTTTGCAACACCCCAGCTTTCATCTCAACATTCCTGCCTCACCCAGGGAGATTCAGTTAACCCTGGCCCAGCCCAACCCTTTGTAACACCCAGCTTTCATCTCAACATTCCTGCCTCACCCAGGGAGATTCAGTTAACCCTGGCCCAGCCCAACCCTTTGTAACACCCAGCTTTCATCTCAACATTCCTGCCTCACCCAGGGAGATTCAGTTAGCCCTGGCCCAGCCCAACCCTTTGTAACACCCAGCTTTCATCTCAACATTCCTGCCTCACCCAGGGAGATTCAGTTAACCCTAGCCCAGCCCAACCTTTTGTAACACCCCAGCTTTCATCTCAACATTCCTGCCTCACCCAGGGAGATTCAGTTAACCCTAGCCCAGCCCAACCCTTTGTAACACCCCAGCTTTCATCTCAACATTCCTGCCTCACCCAGAGAGATTCAACCCTCAAACCCTGGCCCATTCCAACCCTTTGTAGCACCCAGCTTTCATCTCAACATTCCTGCCTCACCCAGAGGAGATTCAGTTAACCCTGGCCCAGCCCAACCCTTTGCTCAAGCCTGGAACCTCTTTGTAAACACCCATCTCAATTTCATCTCAACATTCCTGCCTCACCCAGGGAGATTCACCAAGCCCTGGCCCAGCCCAACCCTTTGTAACACCCCAGCTTTCATCTCAACATTCCTGCCTCACCCAGGGAGATTCAGTTAACCCTGGCCCAGCCCAACCCTTTGTAACACCCAGCTTTCATCTCAACATTCCTGCCTCACCCAGGGAGATTCAGTTAACCCTAGCCCAGCCCAACCCTTTGTAACACCCCAGCTTTCATCTCAACATTCCTGCCTCACCCAGGGAGATTCAGTTAACCCTGGCCCAGCCCAACCCTTTGTAACACCCAGCTTTCATCTCAACATTCCTGCCTCACCCAGGGAGATTCAGTTAACCCTAGCCCAGCCCAACCCTTTGTAACACCCCAGCTTTCATCTTAACATTCCTGCCTCACCCAGGGAGATTCAGTTAACCCTAGCCCAGCCCAACCCTTTGTAACACCCCAGCTTTCATCTCAACATTCCCGCCTCACCCAGGGAGATTCAGTTAACCCTGGCCCAGCCTAAGCCTTCGTAACACATCATATCCCAATTGCGTAGATTGATGCTCATGATGTTGATCCCGGATTGTCTGGTCAACAGACCGCTGCGATATAGCTTGAATATTGTTGAGTGCAGCGTTAAACAACAAACCAACCAACCTTCATAATACGATGTCTTGAACTCAAATTTCATGCCCCCAAGGAGCTTCAGTTAACCCTAGAACTACCCATCCCTTTATAACACACCAGATTCTACTTGTAAATCATGACATTAATGAATTTGGCATAGAAAATCTCAACTTTCCTTCTACATCTGAAAATATCAAAACCTATGAAGGCACATTTGGGATAAACTGGTTTGATTCAAATGACCACAAAGAAAATGCAGCTCCAAACTGATGTGTTATGAATATCAAAGGCTGAAAAACAATACACCTGGGGTCTCAAGGAGTTCCTGTTACCATGGTTACCCACAGAAAACTGACATAAAAAGATTACAGTGTATTGTCTGATTTGATATGAAAAACTCTTTTTTCAAATTTCTGTGAACAAAATCTAAATTTTTCTTCGTTGTGATGTAAGCGTAACTCTGTTTCAGAAACCTACAAATGGAAACAGTCCTAAATTTGGATTACTGAATTGAAACAGACTTAAGAACAGTATATTAAGGGCAGAAATATGCATAAGATTTTAATATGAGTAAATATACCTTTTTCATTCTCACTATGGTTGTCAAAAATACACAGATTGAAATCAAACTGGTAATTATTGTATTATATAAATCATAAATTATAAAGGCAAAGAGTTGGTAATTAAAACCAAACATGAAGATGAATGGTTGTAAAGATAAGTCAAGTGAAACAGGTGGGGTAAGGATGTACTCACAAATGGCTGTCGTCCTGGGGCAGGGGAAGCATCATAGATCTGGTTGGTGAGATCCTCCTGGGGCTCTCGCTCCAGGGTTTGAAGCATGCGGAACATGTCTAGTGTCAGCTCACTGAACTTTACCTGGAGGAAGACATTGACATTGATTGATTGATTGATTATGTCAGTGATTGTTATGTTTAACGTGTCAACTAACTGAAATCTGTAGCAACACATAGTATTTTTGTTAGGCAGTGTTTGCCCTTGACATAAAAATTTAGGAGTCACAGGGGTGGAAATAACCCATTGCCCGATGCCCGAGTCCAGTGTTTTTTTCTGTCGGGCAAGCAAATTTGTATATCACACTGTACCGGTGTCCAGTTGATATTCCAATGTTAATTATGTTGTTTATTTAAAAAATCAACAAGAAAATGGCCGGTATAGTGGAAAAATTATCAGGGCAAGTGATTTTACATGTGCCACTATACCGGAGAGCACTAGCAATTTTAAAGTTATTTCCACCCCTGAGTCATCATGACTCCCTGGTGTCATGAGAGGTAGTCATGGAAGTTTTTGGGAGTCAACTTCAGTTTGGAACAATCATCAAGACATCATCTGTGATTGTTTAATAACGACAAGAAACAAAGTAAGGCAGGTCAGGTATTTAATCAGCATAGAGCTGTTAACTGGCAAACATTTAGTTTTAGAAGTTTAGCTTATCTGAACTAAGGGCCCAGTAGCATAGTGTCAACAATGATGCAAGCTTCTAAATTCACGGCGTATTTGAGATAATTTGAGCATCAAACATGCAGGTTTTCTGCGTCATGGCAAATGCTGTTAGGATTGTTTAAATCTGTGCTGAGTCATGTCCCAGCTGTAGGCAATCAAGTACCGGTAAGTCTTGCAGCCAGATACATTCACACCAAGAATCTCTACCAGTCAGATACCTGATGGAGGAATCGGTGTCATCATAACACTGTGTTTGCTATCATTTCTGAGGTCCCTTCACACTTGCAATGGCTACATGGCCTTAATTCATATAATTTATCAGTGATGTGTCTGACTGTGGGATGCAAATCTGCTCAACAAATTGCAACAACTTAGAACAATTTGCCCTTGTGTACTCAAAGATTACTATCAAAATAACAGAGGAAGTGGGTGGATTTGTGCAAGGGAAGGGTACTGAGGGCAGTGGCAGGGGTGGGGTAGTTACTGAATAGTGAGATATTGGGTCACAAGTAGGGGTGAAATGGTATACAGCGGTATTAGTAGAACTGCGGTATTTTGCCTTCAGTTCGGTACACCATAATGCAATCCAAAAAATCAGTAATTTTGGTTTTCGTACAGTCATTTTATTAACCTTTTTAAACCTTTTCCAAAATGTCTAGAAATTGAATCATTTTGTCAAATTCCATGCGTTTCTTTTCTTTTCTGTATTATGATCATATCTCATATACCGAACCGAAACGGACCGAACCGAAGACCTTGTACTGCAATACGTACCATACCGTGGAAAGAGCGTACTGTTTCACCCCTAGTCACAAGGTGGGCAGAATTTTTTTGAGGTTTTTAAGTGGATGGAGAGTTCAAGGAATGGGGTAATAAGGAAGTGGGGAATCATGGGATTGGATTAAAAGTGGCAGAATATTCGGGAGCTTGCTTTTGGGGCGGAGTGAGTGAATGAGTATGGTTTTACGCCGCTTTTAGCAATATTCCAGCAACATCACCACGGACGACACCAGAAATGGGCTTCACATATTGTACCCATGTGGGGAATCGAACCTGTGTCTGCAGCGTGACAAGCGAACGCTTTAACTATTAGTCTACCCCACCGCCCCTAGTATCATTTAACCTTTGTAAGACCCTTTTGGGCGGATTGTGGAAGGAAAGTTGATGAGACAGGCTCCTGAGGGGTTTGAGTGTTGAAGAAGGGAGTTGTGTAAGACTGCTTACCTGTTCGTGACAGTTGCCGACGATGAGGATCTCCTGTAGGGTGAGATACGTGGGGGCGCATTTGTCCAGGGGAGGGGTATTGAGGGGGGTGAGTCGATGTGACAGAACGATCGTTGATGAGTCCACATCAACTACATTGATGATGTTGTCAGCCTGTGAAGAAGCAACATCATAATTTTCTACACTGAATTCCAATGATCATTTCACGATGGAAACAGACATCTCAGTTCATTTAAAATAAGCTGTCATCTAGAAATTGGTCATAAGATAAGAAAACTTACAACTTTATGGATAACAACTTGTAGTTTATTGGATAGGCATCGGTTCAAGGTAGATTCTGACACCAGTTTCATAACTGTGCAAGTATCTACAGCAACATCTCTCAGTGTTCAACAAACCTGAGGTTGTTATCTATGAAGTAGTATGTAATCTGTTATAACTTCCTGTCAGCTTAGTGAGTGAGTTGAGTTTTACGCCGCACTCAGCAATATTCCAGCTATATGGCGACGGTCTGTTACAATCCAGTCTGGACCAGACAACCAGTGATCAACAGCATGAACATCAATCATAATTGGGATACGATGACGTGTCATCCCAGTCAGCGAGCCTGACCACCCGATCCCGTTAGTCGCCTCTTAGGAACAAGCATGGGTTACTGAAGATCAATTCTGTCACTGTCCACTGTTAGCTTAATCTGGAAGTAAAGCCAGTGTGAAGCTGGTCTTAGGTGTTTGAAACGGTCAAAACTTGTTGAACACTGTAAGGTGTTGACAAACTGATAATCACTGCCAAACCTTGGACTAAAACCCAACATCATTTGGTTCTCACAAACACAAACTGAAGGGAAGCAACTCTGCAAGTGGATTACAGCACTAGGACAAATGAGCCACCTCAACATGAACATAAACATGGCTGTGGAAGATTTTACACGAGTGCTTGTTTTCTGATGCAGTTTGAACATAACAACTCCCTAAATCTTTCATCAGTTAGTGGCCTCACCTTAATTTTGAACACAGGATATAACATTCTAATGGGATGTATAAAATTTTTCATGTAACTAAAAACTTATCAAAACTCATTGGGGTTTAAATCTCTTTTGCAGTCCATATTGGCAAAGGTGCAAACATTCCTGAAAAAAGTATTTGAATTGCTTTGATAACAAGACAAAGCTTCTTTCTCATTTTTCTCGAAGACAAGATAGGCACAATTATGGTCAACACAAGGAAGAAATATTCATGCAAACAGGAAACAATGGCACACTTTCTGACAGGTCACAGAACAGGTTGTAACCAACCTATCATCATGTCTGTCAGCAATGAAACAAAGCAAGGGGTGGAAAAACATAATACCTCAATGAAAGCCTTAATTTCACCAAGAACTAGCGTCCACTCCAGCTGATCGTCTGGTTCGTATGCACTAGTGTAGTCATCTATCTGTTTGGCCAATTCCTGTCAAAAGAGGTAACAATAATAGATGCCAGGGGAAATCCAATGACCATTGTCACATAACTATATAAGAGGTTTAAGCAAAAAGACGCTGAAGGTTTTGAATAATTGCAACGTCAAATAGTGTTTCAAAATGAAAATCAAAATGGCCATGAAATGATCAAATTAAAATGCTTCCAGAAAAAGCCAATTTTGGCGTTTAGCCAGTCGCCTGAATTACAAACTGTGGTTAGATGTGTGAGGAGAGGGCCAGGTGTTTAACACTGGAGCTACAGTCAAAAACAGGTAATTATTTGACATTGGCGCTGTACAGAAAACCATTATTTCTTAATTAAAACATTCTTCATACATCTCTAACATATCTTCAAAGTATTCCGGAAATTTTTATTACTTATGCTGGGGTAGAAAATGTTTGTAAGTGAGTGAGTATAGTTTTACGCCGCTTTTAGCAATATTCCAGCAATATCACGGTGTGGCACACCAGATATGGGCTTCACACATTGTACCCATGTGGGGAATCGAACTTGGGTCGCGATAGTGACGAGAGGAAGCTTTAACCACTAGGCTACCCCACCACACCTCGATAATGTTTATATCACTCGACTCAATGTTTCAGCCTTACCCGAACCAAGTCTCGCACAAGCTTCATCTTCTTCAGCAACAAGCATACAACAATAAACCTTGCATAGTAGCGGAGTTTCTTCACCATCAGGTCTGGCCTGCAACATCACATGACCTTCATGAAGGTTGCTACATCGTGTACATCACTGGCACACGCATGTCACACCTATACACCATACATACGCAAGCATCCTACTGAAACCGTTATATATCAATACCAAAATCTATTAGTTAATCTGAAAACAAATAAAATATTTTTTAAATATGGATGAACACTAATCAACTTTTGATACAGTATGTTGGCTGAGGAAGGTCGAGAGTGTGAAGCAATTTTCAAATTATATCACAGTGCAGTCTTTTTTCCAAAATGACTAGAGTCCACCATGAGCAAGTTTTACGTCACTTTCAGCCATATTCCAGCAACATCACACCAGACATGGGCTTCACACATTGTACCCATGTGTGGAATCGAACCCAGGTCTTTGGTTTGACGAGCCAATGCTTTAACCACTAGGCTACCCTACTGCCTCTTTGTGTCGACAAGCTAGGTCTTAGTATCATTTTTAGCAGATTTCACAGGGTTCGACACTCATGCTTGTCCGCTTGCCCGTGGCAAGTACTAATTAATCAGGGCAAGTAAAATTGCTAAAAGGCTTGCCCGAGTGGCAAGTACATATTTTGTCAACTTCTAACCTCAATTCACTGTGTGGTAGTGTTTACAAATTGCCAAAAGCAACGGCAGACTTCATTGGCTGGGACTGATTTCCTTTTACCATCACGAGCAACGTGGTTGGTTGTTTAGTTTCAATGCAAACTCCTTGTCTCGCTAACGCGTAACATGGGGCAAGTAGTATCTGTGATGGGCATGTAGTTTAACTTTTATACTTGCCCTCTTGGCAAGTGGGAGAAATCAGTGAGTGTCAAACCCTGATTTCAGTGTTCTTATGTGTTGGCTAAGTGGCTATAATCACAGACTGATGCAGTCCTGTATATAATCAAGTCTGGCAAACCATGGTTGACTGTGAAAGTAGATCAGATTACAATTATCTATCTTGTCACACACAGACCAACTGATTGTCGTAAGTTATAATTATATAAACACGATGCCTCTTTTAGCCTAGAATTACTTTGTGTCTTTGAATTGAAAGTGATGGATTGCACGGACGGAGATCTTGACATTTGAATAATATTTCATACATCCATGGGACTAACTATTTTCTGCTTATGTCAAACATGATTGTAAATACACAGTTTCCGATTATCTTTTAACACAATATAACAACCATATCAAAAGTTGGCTAGTGTACGTGTAATATGAGTAAATTATGTACAACATCATCAACATCTGGCTAAGTATGAAAGATCATGATAATTTATGTAACCAGGGTATCAAGTTTTCACACCTGCATATTTCCCAGTATCCAGCCGGTGTTTGACTGATTACTACAGCATGTTTCTCATCATCATCTGGCCATGTTCCATAACTCACTCAAAGCAAGACCTCTTGTAGAACAACTTATTTTTACTTCTTGGATTTTGAATTTTATTGTGGAAAATTCTGGTTGGTAGGTGGTAATAATAATGGCCAAAAAAAATGAAAAATACATACAGAATTTTTTTTTCTGGAGTTTGGGAGCAAAATCCGAACAAAACTATTTGTCCTCCATGTTGACTGATCCTTTGACAGTCAAGGGACAATGTGCGGTGCAGCACCTTAGACAATCTGGTCCTTGTTTGAAGTGTGCAATACGGAACAAAGCCTGAATCCCTTTTCTATCACTGTGATCACAAAAGCCAAACTGTCACAGTCACATAATGAAGATTCACAAAGTCAGCCCTGTTATTCAGTAAAAAAGAGATGAGAGATTAAAAAGGCAATCTTAAATTTCCTTTTTGAAAATGATGCCCAATTTAAAAATGATTCTTTAGGAGATAAATACCTGGCCTCAATATCCTCACTTGGGGCCAGTAATGTGTAAGAGTTGGCCCTGAATGTGAATAAGTAAGCTGATAGTGTAACAGCTGCAGTAATCAGTCTAACACTGACCAGGCATCACCAACATGTTAACTGAACATGCAAGGAAACTGTGTGTTTCATCAGTACCCATCACCTGTGCTAACATCCACTCAACCCACCATCCAAGCAAGTTGACAATTCAGGAGATTCACATCAGAACATTCAACACTTAGAAAATATCTCCCCATCATGACAAAAGCTGTCCCAAGTGGAACCGTGACACCCATTACCATAGAAACCGTAACGGCGTTGTCGAGTGTTGACATGTTACAGAGTGTGCGATTGGTACAATATTCAGTCTACAGTAGAGAGAAGAGGAAGAGACACAGGTCACTGCAGGGCACAGCAAACACTCAAAGCAGCACGACCATATACCACCGTATATCACACAGATGTGTTATATGATGCATATAGCATGGCTATCCATTGTATAAATCATCCTTCATGTCAAGCCAGTGACCCAGTCTCACACACCGATGCAGGGAATGAAATTTGATTAAAAAGAACATTACAGTCCATCAACAGTGTTAGGGCAACCTTGCTTGTTTCATTGATCTTGCTGCAAGAATTATGGCTGTTATCATTATTATAGTTAATCTGCGAGTTGCAATATGTGTTTAGATAATCAGATACATTTATAGCAAGGATTCTACTGTATGCCTCATGTACACTGAACAGTATGTACCAGTGCTTCTGACAGAATACAACAATATTATCAAAGACAGTAGTTGGTGTAATGAGCCATGTTTGTCACTGGAACATGTCAAGTGGTAACGACATCCTGCAGAAATCTAACACAGAAGCATGTGACAATGATAAGCTGCACACACTAGTCTTCATGTCACTAATGTCAGTGTGTTTGGTATAGGAGTCACTTTGCTGCTGTGATGTAACCTGTGTATATGTTACTGGCCGATACAATGTGACTGGTATGATTCCTGGAACATGTTACTTGTATGATTCCTTGAACATGTTACTATATGATTCCTTGAACATGTTACTTGTGTGCTTCCATGAACATGTTACTGGTATGATTCCCTGAACATGTTACTTGTATGATTCCTTGAACATGTTACTTGTATGATTCCTTGAACATGTTACTTGTATGATTCCCTGAACATGTTACTTGTATGATTCCTTGAACATGTTACTTGTATGATTCCTTGTACATGTTACTGGTATGATCCCTGGAACATGTTACTTGTATGATTCCTTGAACATGTTACTTGTATGATTCCTTGAACATGTTACTTGTATGATTCCTTGTACATGTTACTGGTATGATTCCCTGAACATGTTACTTGTATGATTCCTTGAACATGTTACTTGTATGATTCCTTGTATATGTTACTTGTATGATTCCTTGTATATGTTACTGGTATGATTCCCTGAACATGTTACTTGTATGATTCCTTGTATGTTACTTGTATGATTCCCTGAACATGTTACTTGTATGATTCCTTGTATGTTACTTGTATGATTCCCTGAACATGTTACTTGTATGATTCCTTGTATATGTTACTTGTATGATTCCTTGAACATGTTACTTGTATGATTCCTTGTATATGTTACTTGTATGATTCCCTGAACATGTTACTGGTATGATTCCCTGAACATGTTACTGGTATGATTCCTTGAACACATTACTGGTATGATTCCTAGAACACGGTACTGGTATGATTCCTTGAACATGTTACTGGTATGATTCCTTGAACATTATACTGCCTAACTGGTATGATTCCGTGAACATGTTAATGATATGATTACTGATATGCAAGTTACTGGTATGCAAATTACTGATATGCATCTCACTGGTATGTAAGTTACTGATATGCAAGTTACTGGTGTGCATGTCAAAGGTATGCCTAACTTGATCTCTACTTACTGCCACAGGTAGCTGGTAATGCAGCTGTCTAACAACACAGCGTTACAGTACAGGGACCACAGATTGTACATAATGGCGTCATCTAAGCCAAGGAGGACATCATAAGCTGGTGAGGACTAAAGCGGAAGGGTTGAGGACACAACAGTTATGGGGGTTGGCAGCTACTTTCAAAATATTACACATTTTTCCTAAATACAGGAGACTTTAATGAAGGAGGCCTTGTCAGTAGGATATAAAGGATATTTTAGCTCAATGAACATAATGCCTATGGAAGTAGGGAATACTTTTCAGGTACTGTTTGGGTATACTAGTAACTTTGGAAGAAGGTCCTTGCAGTATTTACTTTGAGAGGGCATATCTGGATTTCTTTCTTTTTGTCTGGCTATAACTGTTGGATAATAATGGACATCATTAACTACTTAAGGATTTAGGAATTACTTTCTGAAATATGGAAAATATCAGACTTTCAATAAAAGCTTTTAAATTGTTAGCTACCTATTCTTGTAAATCCAGAACAGGGAATAAACAAAGTGTGTCCCAATTCTAATCAAAAGTAATAACATTCTGAAAAACATACAATATAGAAAATGCAATGATGTTATATATGTATAATCTTACTATAGTCCCTGCAAGTGAAAGTTGTCCTGACGTGTCTACTACAGCTAAGACTGTCTCTAACACCCTACAATATAATGAGCAGCGAGAACTAGATCACCAATGGAAGGAATGACGGACGCGGGACTGAGCCATGCATGCACATGTAGAAACGATGACTATAGGAGACACTGTCACCAGGGTCGACTTAGACTGACCTGTCATGGGAGATAACTAGTGACTTTCCTATGTCATGTAGTGTACTGTGGAGTAGAATAGGAAAACATCTAGCACTAAACAATGGCATTGCAGCTAGAAACCACCAAGACCTTTTTCACCCTTTGGTTTAAAGATTCAATCTATGTGGAATGAAATCAAAGATTATTTTTATCACTGAAATATGTTGAAATACTAGACGGGTAGCCTGTCACCTCATCTTTTAACAAATTTCAATGATGAAAACATTCTCCACATGTAGATTTATAAAGGATGGAACAAGTTTTTGATTTTTAATCATTGATAAACTTTGTCAAAACAGCAATTTTCATTTTTGCTTTCATCAAAATAATTTCAATTGATCATTTTAACGAATATTGTAATTTTGACCACAAACAGTATTATTTTGTAAAAGATCTGTAAACCAATGAATAAAATAAGGCCAACTGTGTCTAAAATTCTAGGCACAAAGAGCCAGTATAAACAAAACTGCAGTTGTTCAACTGGTATTTAAACACAATGGTAGAAATAAATATCAGGTAAGTTTCAATAGTGAATTATTAGTTGGGACAATCTGTAAATTTGCATTTCAACAACTATTCATTTTGAGGACATATGGGAAAGTTTCTTCAGTAATCTCATTGAACAAAGACCATGTGACAAAACCAGCCATGGTAACATGGAAATTCAATATATGTAAATCAACTAATTCCGATGGTTATTTATTTATCAGATATGTTATTGTCATGCTCGTAGATAAATTTGCAAAAAGTAATTCTTCATAGCATTTTATGTCAACATGGTAACCATGGTAACAGCACTACAAAAATACGTTTAGTGCTGGCAAAACTTCAGAAGTTCTTGGAGAAACATATACTACACAAAAGAAGTTAGGGAACATCCAATTCTTCCTTATTACTATGGCTGGCATAGTGATATGAAAAGAATTGTTTGTTCTTTAACTTGTTTGGAATAATATACATAACTTCATAAATATTCTCTGTGAACACTGTTATTAAACCTTATAGTTTTCTAAGATAATTGATGACATGAATCTTTCTCCGCTGACATTACATATAACCGTAAAGAGAATTACAGGTTGTGAAGCTACTTGTGGTTTTTCATATTTGTTACGAGGGAGGAGTGCAGAGAAAGGGACAGCCAGGTGTGCGAGAAAGGATGGAGACGGCACAGCACAGGCTAATGAATCAATAACTTGGTGGGCACTTGTGCACGTGCTTCTCGCACACCTGGCTGTCCCTTTCTCTGCACTCCTCCCTCGTAACAAATAGTGAGCTGTGTCAAAATTTTAATGATAGTTTCTTAAAGAACTTTTTTGGTGGAGTCCGGAAAATTTTCAAATATAAGAAAGCTGTTGGGTATTAGTAAATGATAAACGTGTACTATTTATATTTATGTGGCAATTTTGTACAATGATAAAATTTGCAATTCATCGGTCCGTTTCTGACTCAAACGGACTGTAGATGGTGTAAGGTTCCTCAAAGTCGAATCTTCTACACTGATTCAATACCTCTCTCTGTCAACATCTTGCAACCCACCCAAATAGCAGGTCAGGTAAAATTCAAATCAGGGTATTAGTTTGAAATTACAGGTACAAGTGAGCTCATCATTCCGAGGAACATGTCTGATTTCTACATCATGAAATCAAACACAAACAGGTACCTCTGAATGAGTGAGTGAGTATGGTTTTACGCCTCCTTTAGCAATATTCCAACAATATCATTTTGGGGGACACCAGAAATGGGCTTCACACATTGTACCCATGTGGGGAATCGAACCCAGGTGTTCAGCATGATGAGCGAACACTTTAACCACTAGGCTACCCCACCACCCCTCTGAATGAAGAAGAATATGCTGTGTCATGGATAGTTCACAGCCTTTCATTTTGGAGCGTTATGTGGGTTTGTGTTTTGTCAGACAGGCTTTTAGACCAAGAAGAAATTGCTTCTGACAAAGGGCAAAAAATATCATTTCAGACAGATCTAACCTGCTCAAAAAGCCATGTGATTTCTTTGGGTGGTCATAGTTGGATCAGGGTTATGTAACCTATGGCTACCTAAATACTAAGAGTGAGTGAGGTGGGTTTAATGCCAGTTTGAACAGTATTCCAGTTATACTACTCACACTTTGCAAAGGATCACAAAAATTCACAACTTTACTAAAACATAGATTTATAATTTGAAATTGTATCCATTTAAAACTGGATAAATAATAATATGGTAACCCCACTTTAGGCAAACAGTCACTTTAATCTAACCTTATGCACTTGAGACATGAGTAACCATAAACATGGTTTTCATGGCACCAATCAACCATTTTGCAAATCATGGAACGAGTCATTGACAAGTACACAACACCTGTCAATAGCAGGTATGGGTTCCACAAGATGAAATGACATACTGAAACCTAGGATCCATGCTTACAATAAACTTAGATATTTAAACCAAATTTGACCTCACATCATAGTTTTCTGTAGAATCCATGATTTGGTCCTTAGCAAAGTGTGACTAGTATATATGGAAGTATGTGAGATCAATGTGGAAGGAAAGCTAGAAGTGATCCATGTCTCAGACATATACCATTCTGGTAAACCCACACCCATGGTACTGGCAAACCTAGAAGCATAATGTTCTTGACATTGGGATTTGAACCCTTAATCATAGGTTCCTGGCACATCCAAGGGATGCAACTCTGCACAGTGAACTACAATGCCTTAGATGACTGTTCCACCTGTGAACCCTGACCCATGGAAGGTTGTCAGGTGTTGACCGAGTGAGGTATTGAATTGAGGGTAAAAGATCTGAGCAAAAGCTACAAAGCAAGCTTAATGTTACATCCATCAAGAGTCTATGTGGAAGCATAAGAGATATTTTGCATTCAGCAATATTTCAGCTATATGGCAGCGGTCTGTAAATAATCGAGACTGGACCAGACAATCCATTGATCAACAACATGAGCATCGTTCTACACAATTGGGATATGATGACATGTGTCAACCAAGTCAGCGAGCCTGACCACCCGATCCCATTGTAGGAGATATAATCACTTTAGCACTGACATTGCTTTGAGGAACAACGCCAGATTTTAATGATGCTGTTTTCTTCATCAGAACACTATCAGTAAAATATGTTGCTTCATCTACCCCAACAATGTTTATGTACAACTAACGCATTGACTACAATGGCAGCATGACTAGCATGGCAGCATGACCATGGCATGCTGACAGCATCTACTCAACCTGATATCCCTGGCATGAAGACGGGGTCCAAAATAGGGGGGCATATACAATGCAATTTGTATCTCCCAAGGATTTATAAGGAAATCCGAACTTAGTGCCCTTGCAGGCAAATTTTTTAAAACGTCACATAATTTTTTAATTTTCATAACTCAGAGACATTTCATCTTGGATTTTAACTCTGAAATAAATATTGATGAACTTGGCAATAATGTCTCTTCTTCAAGACAGGTCCTGTTATTGGTGACACAGAAGTTACCTTGCAAGGCCATAACACTACTTATATACATAACAGCATGAACTGGGAAATGTTCAATCTAACCTGGAAGTTTTTAGTTGACATTTCCTTAGACATGGAGTCAAATATCTGATGAATCTGTCCAGATAAGTCCCTGATCCCTTATCATTTCTTCAGGTTGGGAAAATTTGAATCGGGAAAAACCTTCATGGTCAGTGACATCTGGTTCAGTAGTGAATTATTCAGGAAGAATGAGATCATGTTGAGTTTGCGTTCAGCGATATTCCAGCCACGCTGTAATTAATCTAACCTGAGCCAGGCAAACAAGTGGCTGATATCATGAGCAACACTCCATTAGGTTATGATTGGTTTGTTTGTTGATGCCTAACGCTCCACACAGCAATATTCCAGCTATAAGGCAGCGGTCTGTAAATAATCTGAACCACACAATGCAGTTATCAACAGGATGAGAATCGATTTATGCAAATGGGATACGATGACATGTGTCTACCAAGTCAGCGAGGCTGACCACCCGACCCCGTTAGTCGCCTCTTACGACAAGCATGGGTTGCTGAAGATCAATTCTAACCCGCATTAGGTTTTGAAGACACACAATCAGCATTATCAGGAATGGCTATACCTTATTTAATCAACTCTTTGGATACGATGAACAAGAATGCTGGGGGCCTATACTGCACTAGAAATCTTATTTGGAATCAGAGAATGAAAGGTGAGTTATCTACAGATAAATGTTAACACTGAATAAATGCTAAAGGTAAATATTTATCAAAGTTGTGTTTCAAATATGAGATACTTGAAATATCGATGAGAGTTCTGACAGTGAAATACAGACAAGATGAGAATGGATGGATGAAGAGATGGAGAAAAAGGTGCACCGAGTAACATATCAGAAACGAATTGAAATTCACTGTCTATCATAATTTATGATGAGATTTGATGAAAAGGTGGTGAGGGAATTATAATGATGGGCAATTCCGAGTAAGATCTGGGCAATTTCATTACCTCTTACATTCATGCCATTTAGAAACATGTAAAAATAACATTTAAGAAAAAGTTCTTTTGTGAGAAATAATCGTGTCTGTAATAATATTATCGACAAATTTAGAATTACATTGAAATATCAACTATGTTTGTTATCTTCCCATCACTGCTACTGAAGCAAAAAGCACAGCTACCCCAACCAGAGGACTGACTAACTGAGTGTGGTTTTATGCCACTTTTAGCACTATTCCAGCAATATCATGGCAGGGGGCACCAGAAATGGGCTTCACACATTGTACCCATGTGGGGAATCGAACCCGGGTCTTCAGCGTGACGGGCAAACGCCTTAACCACTAGGCTACCTAATAAACATGAAGAGGTGTATTATACACACATATGTATGTTAACATGCAAACTTTGTCATTGATTTGATGACTGCCTTTTGAAACTTATAACAGTGATCTTCATGATATTATCATTCCCTTGTACCTTCAGTTATTTTTAGATAAAATTCCATGAAACAAGTCCATAACATCAACATCGGCATGTACTTAATCTGTTTATGCTCATCAATAAATATATAAAATTTCGCAGAAAAAACATTTTTACATATTTTCATAACCTGTTTACCTATAATAGTTCAGCGAATTAATCTGTCACTAGTAGACAAGCAATGTGGCTAAGATAAGATCGAGATTCTATCAATCTGAGAGTCTACACATAAAAACTCAATAAACACAGATATATAGCAGGGGATTAGATGAGAATGTGACAGAGGAAGGAGAGACCAATTTTGTATGTTCTGTATGTAAGTCAATGAGAGTTGGGTTTCACACTGCTCTGTACAGTATCTCAGTTCAATTATATCAGATTAAATTATGAAAATAGCCCAAAGTGACTCAGGTCGTAGACGTTAAAACTTTGGCAAAACTCATAACACGGACCATGCCCAAAGGTTCATACTCTGGCTTTGTCCCAGCAGATCATGTAACGGCTAAGGGACACAACTCTGCACAGCTTATTGTGACTCTTAGACCCCACATGCCCAGGTACAGAGTGGACCAACAAGGAATGGCGGACCATGGAGCCACCTGGACTAAGCATTCTACCTCTCCTCTTTGGTTGCCTTGGAGTAGTAAGCTCTCATTCGTATCGCAGAGTAGAAAGAGAAAGACTCATTCAAGTAGTTCGTCTCACTGGTTCGCAAACTGGAAAAGAAAGAAGTAAATATATCAAAAATACATACACCAGTATCATAGCAAGTCAGAGTTGAAACAGGCAACAGCTTTTAAGGAATTGTTACAGAGCTTGGATAAGAGAACCATGTGTCTGTCCACTGGTCTATCCATCCAACCACCTATCCATATCCATCTATCCCTGCCTCCACCCCTCCCTCCATCCACCCACTCATCCATATCCATCCATCTCTCCATCCATACATCCGACCACCCATGCATCCGTCTATCCATCCTTCCTGCATCCATCCTTTCACCCACCCATCCATCCATCCTTTCACCCACCCATCCATCCTTTCACCCACCCATCCATCCTTTCACCCACCCTCCCATGCATCCATCTATCCATCCTTCCTGCATCCATCCTTTCACCCACCCATCCATCCATCCTTTCACCCACCCATCCATCCTTTCACCCACCCATCCATCCTTTCACCAACCCATCCATCCTTTCACCCACCCTCCCATGCATCCATCTATCCATCCTTCCTGCATTTATCCTTTCACCCACCCATCCATCCATCCTTTCACCCACCCATCCTTTCACCCACCCATCCATCCATCCTTTTTCACCCACCCATCCATCCATCCTTTCACCCACCCATCCATCCATCCTTTCACCCACCCATCCATCCAACCTTTCACCCACCCATCCATCCATCCTTTCACCCACCCACCCATCTATCCATCCTTCCTGCATCCATCCTTTCACCCATCCATCCACTCACCCACCATACCGTCTATTGATATAACCATAAGGTTTAGATATGAGAAGTGAAGCAACTGAAACCATAACTTACTAGTAATGGTAGTAAAGCTGTCCTATCTTAGAAGCAATTTCTCCAATCTGCCATCTCTTCAGCCCGTACTTGGAATCAAGTATTTGTCTGAAAACGGAAAATCGTGTAAGAAAGTCCTCTAGTATAGTCAACATTCAGTACTTAACAACAATATCAAGGATATCTCTGTGTGAGTGAGTGTGTGTGTGTGCATGTGTGTGCCTCCTTACATGTATGTCTCCGTGTGAGTGTGTGTCTGTGCTTGCATGCATGTGTGCGCATGTCATTCTACAAATAAACTGGAAATAAATAATTGTTCACTGAACATGACAGGTAGTTTTGTGGAAAAGATCATCATCATTTTGCAGACAACTTTCTTCATGTTTTGAAGCAGTGACAGGTTATTTTCACTTTTGATAAATAGACAATAAAATGTTTCAGTTTAATGTACTGAAACATAACAGTACCAATACACATTCACAGGGATAACTAGCTTAATCAACTGGCTTAATCAGTCTTGGTTATCACATCCAGCACTGATGACAGTAATACCTGTGTTGCTGCTGAAACTTCCAGAGTTTTGTGTACACATCGAATGTGCGGCCAAAGTAGGACTGCCATTGTTTGTGACCATATTGGGGTAAGTCTCTGCAAGAGGACAACATTTCATCAGTAACATGGCAAACATTCTTATTACAGCATGTGGATGGAACATTCAGGGAGTTATCTGGGATCAAAAACATAGTGGGTAACAGAAAACTTGGGAAAATAGTAGTGTAGGCTATTGATATTGAGCATAAAGATCTCAGTGATCAAATTACAGATGAATAAAGGGGAAGTAACTTCGAGCAAATACACCAAAAGCATATTTCACATTAATGGTGAGCCGTGACACAATGATTCATGCATTATTCTGTGGACATTTCTCTATTAAACAAAAAAGGTTGCTTTCCATCTTCATCAATTCCTAAAAACTAATTTGTTTCAGTATATAAAAAATTGTTAATATTTCTTTCAATCTATTATCTTCAATCGTTTTTGCAATCAACCCTAGAAAAGAATATTAAATGTTGGCATTTTCTAAAATCATAATCATTTTCCTAAATAAATTATGCATCTGTGATCCCAAACCAAGTATTCCTGGCAAGTAAGTTGGGAAAAATACTTTTTTAGCACATTGTTTCTTTTATTTTACTTAACACAGTTAAGAATAATTTAGCATTGTTAATGCTGCTATATCAGCCAATGAGAAGATTTATATAAAACAGCTGATATTATTTTAGGACATATACTTCTCATTGTATATTTTTCAGTTGAAAAAATATGACTCTATTTGCCATACTAATGAACCACTAAAAATTTTGTACAGGTTATTGAACGAGTACAAGATTATCAAACCTAGGTCTGTTCCATCCCACATCACCATGACAACCTGTTCAGTTGAAATATCCTGATTCAGTCCCTTGGTATTTACAAACATCAAAATGAATTCATTTGATGTCCCAGGTGATTAACCTGTTAGGTAACCATAGCAACTGTACTTCATATTACATCATGATCATTAAGAGAATCAATACATTCTGGGAACACATCCTCACACATTGGCACCCACAGCACTACTGAAAGAGACACAATTTCACAAAAGGCCAATTTCAAAAGAACTGTTGATCAGTGTGAGCTGTTTTTCACTCTGCATTTTGCAATATTCCAATATATCAATACAGGGGACATCAAGATTTGACTTCACATGTGGAACCCCTTTTGGGAATTGACGCGGTGTGAATAGCAAACTCTTAACCACCTGGCTACCGCACCACCCAAAAGGCTGTCCTGATCAGGCTTCTGTATCAACATGATCAAATCGCTTTTCTTGTATGGGAACATAGATGGGGTTTGAAAAAGAAATCCTCAAGTGTATAAAAAATTTCGATTGCTTTAGTTTTAACCATATACATGCTGTTGGCAGCAGCAGCATCTCTGTGTATGTCATTCTATGCATCCCACATTCAATTTTATACCCTAATTATGGACCAGACAATCTAGTGATTGACATCATGAGCATCGATTACATGCATCAACCAAGTCAGCATGTCTGACCATCAGATCCCTTTAGTCGCTTCTTAGACGATCATTGGTTGCTGAAGACCAGTTCTACCTCCGATGTTCACAAGGCTAAGTTGAACATGGACCAGACAATCTAGTGATTGACATCATCAACATTGATGACATGCATCAACCAAGTCAGCAAGTCTGACCATCAGATCCCTTTAGTCACCTCTTAGACAATCATTGGCTGCTGAAGACCAGAGACCACAGATGTTCACAAGGTGACATTTAACATGGACCAGACAATCCAGTGATTGACATCATGAACATTGATGACATGCATCAACCAAGTCAGCAAGTCTGACTATCAGATCCCTTTAGTCGCCTCTTAGACAATCATTGGCTGCTGAAGACCAGTTCTACCTCCGATGTTCACAAGGTGAAATTGAATATGGACCAGACAATCCAGTGATTGACATCATGAGCATTGATCTTCACAGGTGGTATATGATGACATGTATCAACCAAGTCAACAAGTCGGACTGCCACATGTCTTCAGTTGTGCCTCATGACAAGCAAAGACCAGTTCTACCCCAGATTTTCAGGGTGAAGATATTGAAACTCACAATATAATGTTGATCTAAAATCAGTGACTGACTTTTCCGTCTATATTCAGTGATACAGACAGCCTTCTTGGTGAGTACTCAGTCATGCTGCCTGGCCACATTGTTGAACCAGCCAGCTGGGTGACAACCAACCGCACAACAGATTAATAATTCATAGACTACAGACAAACATGGCTAATATCAAGCATTGATTATTTAACTCCATTAGCTGGGCTGACTCTTCCAGTGGGATAAACACGAATGATCTTATGACAGTTCACTTCTACTTGCAATAAACAGGTCTAGTATTTCACAGCTGTTAATTGTGATAAGAGCAAAATGGTACAGAATTATACATTTGTGAAAATATTAGAGGCCTCTAAATTTCAAAATCTACATTTGCTATAATCAGAATTATAATATAACTTCACTCAAAGATCAGTTTCAACAGACCCTTACCACCGATCTATCGGAAATTTCAAACATAAGCTCTGAGATAAAAAAATTATCCGTAGCTCACCTTCAAATTTGGATGTTTGCAATTATCCCCAACCATAGATCATCTTGATTACATGTATTGCATGCAGAGTGCAAAATTTGCAAAGACATCCCCCCAAGTTATTGTGACAAATGGACTATTTGTTAATGTCACAAAAACAATATTGTTGTTTTTTAGAAAAGGTGGTAGATTAGGAATAAAAGAAGTTTGGTTTTGCAAGGGATAGAGAGAAAGTTGAAGTTGTCTCTCATTTTAAGTACCTTGGTATTGTACTTTCATCAACAGGTAGCTTTTCAGAAGCATTGGCTGAACAAAGTATGAAAGCTCTTGTCTCTTATGTCAGGTTCTTAATAACAAACATATCCAAGTTTCTGATAAGTATCAGTTATTTAAATCTTCTATAGTACCTAGTTCTGAGTTTTGGCTGTGAAGTTTGGGGATTCATAGAAGCGAAAGCAATCAAAGAGTTCATCTCTGATTCCTGATCTTAGGTGTGAAATAAACAACCCCATCTGCATATGTCTATGGAGAGTTGGGTGTATTATTACCATTGTTATTCGAAGATTAATATGAATTGTAAAATACTGGCTGTAGGTAAAATCTTGCAAAGACAGATATATATCTATTATTTACAGATTGTTATTAAAAATCTCAGATGCACAACCTACATTTGAACATTGGGCTCTTTTAGTTAAAAATATTTTTTTTGATTAATACGGAATTGGCCATGTGTGGCTCTCACAATATGTATCGGAATTTATCTAGATTTATATCTGAATTTATCCAAAGAATAACTGATATTCATAAACTGTTGAAATCAAATCTCTTCAGTCTTAGTGAAACTAGAAGTTATCTCTATATTAAGGAGTCTTTGTATTTTGAAAAATATCTAACTGTTGCTAATATTTCTAAATATAGACTTGCACTGTCCCACTTCAGTTTAAGTTCACACATATTTATGATAGAAAGAAGACGATGAAGCAATATGAAACTTCCCCTTGATAGGCAACTTTGTCATTACTGTGATAATGATGTTGAAGACGAATACCATGTTATTAGTATGCCTGCTCTTTGTCAAATACCGTGTACGTTATTTGTCAATCTATAATATATAATTCACCTCCTAGTATGGTTAAGTATGTCCAGTCTATGAATAATCCATGCTCAAATGTTATATAAGTTCATCTAAGTGTATTTACCACATCACGAGTGTATATAAACAAAATGTAACTTCTTGATTCAACTATTATGTGCTTAGGCTATTGAAATATGGCTGTTTCATGGCAGTAAATTATTTGGTGAATCCACCAACCACCCATGATTGTGAATTGTAATATTATGCTTTGTTTTGTTTTGGCCATTGGCCTGTGAATAAAGAATTTAAACTTGAACTTGCTAGGTGTGATAAGAGCACAATGGTACAGAATCATATGTTTGGGAAAATATTAGAGGCCTCTGAGACCTACCTAAAGTCTACATTTTGCCATCATCAGAATTAAAATATAACGGCAATGGAAATATCAAAAATGAGTTCCGAGATAAAAAACAATCCATAGCTCACCTTCAATTTTGGATGTTTGCAACATTATCCACACACACACACACACACCTCACACAAACAGTTATGTGGCTAATTAGCTAACCTGAATGTTTTTGCAATAGTTTCCAATAATAATGAAGTTACACTGTATACTATCCTCATTTTACACTGATAGTCTACATGATCTCTAATCTAATCATCTAATCAATGACATTTGACGCAAACTGTGACATTTGAAGTTATACTGTACATTATCCTCATTTTACACTGATAGTCTACATGATCTATAATCTTTACAGCTCTGGTTCCAAATAGGATGGGGCGGTGGGGTAGCCTAATGGTTAAAGCGTTGGCTCGTCACGCCAGGTTCAAATCCCCACATGGGCACAATGTGTGAAGCCCATTTCTGGTGTCCTCCCCCGTGATGTTGCTGGAATATTGCTAAAAGCAGCGTAAAAAAAAACAACTGTCAGTCAGTCCAAACAGGCAACTTCCTTTAGAAATTACACTTTGAAAATATTTTTACAAAGCTCTTGATCAGTTATTTAAAAGTTTGAAAACTGAACAAAAGAAAATTCTGGAATGTCTGCTAGATCGCCTGATTGTATGGCAGTTGTTCCCATGGGCTCAGGTAAGTCCTCTGTTCACATGTTGTCCTATTACTAAAAACTACATTGACAGAACATGTCGCACAGCCTGTACCTGTCAACCAGAAGGCCTTGTTCACGGATAATTCTGAAGCTGACTATGTTGATGTTCTGCCTAAAGTCTATATACATAACAATATATACAAAACAAGCACCAGTTGAACCTATTATAAAAAGATACAACGTAATATTTGTTTAGATGCAGAAAAGTCTTCCAGATTTGTGTCTAACCTTACATGTCCACAAAATATTGATCTTTGAACACATTCAATACCTTTAAGATATATTGATCATACTAATCAATAATAACTGTGTTATGTATGATATATCAAGCATGATAAGTGGCTCGACATCAAACTGTGGGTAGCAAGTCAAATCAACTACCTCATGCCAAGCCTTGACAATTAACCTCAACATAAGCTTGGAGTCAAGTGAAAAATAAATCAGTCTGTAATCATAAACATGACAAAATAGACTAAAATGATTCCAAAAGACAGTGATCATGGCACTGACAGACAATGTCTGGGTTTCTAACTGAAACGTTTTTCGTACAGCATGCCCATAGAGAAATTTCATGTCTCAAGAGTTGCAGAACATTTTGTATATAATAAGGCTTAATAGTGTTTCTTGTACAATCCCACCAAATCCTAGAGTCCAGAGTTGGTAAAAATTAAGTCATAACTGTTTGGAAGGAAATACAGTACCAATTGCAAAAGAGCCAAAGGCACTAGTTTAGCTAATAAGAAAAGCACATACAAATTTGATGTTTCTGAAGGGGTAGCTCAGAATAGATGGGAACAAAAACATCTGAGTCGATGCCCGTGTCATGGCCAGCAGGGACCTAACCAAAAATAATGTCTCCCTTCCCCTTCTGTCTGGGGGAGAGACATATGGTAACGTTTAAGACATCTTTGGTGTAATGAATAACAGCAAACATGGTACAAGGAATGATCAGATATGTAAACATGAACTGCCTTACAAATTAATTCAGCAAGAAATGGAGAGCAGAAGAAAAAACAACAGTAATTCTGAAATTGAGATCTTGCAAGGATTTTCATGTGTGATATGCAAGAATGTACACTTATTACACAATAGCCCTTTACCATGGAATGAAAAACAAATAGCCAGCAAACATCACTGAATTAACACGATTCAGCTTTTGATCAGACAGGTATATATCTGTAATTTATCTTGCTGAACATATCATAAGACAGAGGGTGAGGGTAACACCATTTTCCGTGTTTTTGACAGCTGCCATTTTCATGTGATTACAATTTCTAAATGCAAAGGAACAAGCTTGTCTGTTTATAAACAATTTTCCTGATAACATGTCTATTGTCTCTACCTCAAAGCTGATTTGAGCCCTGTGGTACACATTAATGCATAAAGCACAAAACTGCACAATGTGACATCAACAATACTATATTATTATGATTTCACTTATTTAGTGCAATCTCACTAATGTATCCAGTACTGAACCAATGTATGAAATAAGCCAAAACCCAGCCAGACATCAGGTGTGGTAACTTCAAAATGTTACCAGCCTGAAATGGATTTAACCAGACAAGATATCAAGATATTGTGAATTCACTCAGATGTATGGAACATCTAAAAAAATTACCAGACTAGCGGACTGGCTAGCTGTACATTTAGACCATCTGTCAGAAATGACACTGACTGAACAGATAACCCATGATAGAAGGTTGTGGCTTAAATAGCCCCAGACAAAAGCATCCTTAGCAAGGTGTAGATTATTTAACATTCATAATAAGAATTGAAATGAAATGGCAGCATTCGATTAATAGATGTTCGACACTCTCAAAAAGATCTGAAATTATTGGAATAAATTGAAAGCTATTTCTAGATTAATCCTCGTATTTGTCCCATTGTTAAGCCTGTTAAGACTTAAGATTACAAAAACGACAGATATGAATATTTTGAAAATAATTTTTATATTAAGTAATATATATATATTAATATCTTAAGTAATAAGTCTGTTTTCACCAGTGAAGAGTGGAGTCATTTTTGTCAAACTGGGAACGTTTTCTTCAGTGATTTGGCTAAGGGCAGTTTTAGTCTTCACATACGAAAGCAATATATTGAATCTAGATCACACAAAAAACCCATGATCACACATGAATCTAAACTCTGACCAACAGGCCCCAGTTTGTATAAGAAGGACTACAATGTGAACCTGTGGTCATTCACTCTCTGATCGTCCTCACGTAAAGTTTAACGCGAAAGAACTGTAAAATATAACGTATTTTTCAAAGATTCATAGTACAAGTTGATTCTGAGATAGCAAGATTACATACGAGGGATTATCATATAACATAACCAGTACAGAAACATAAGACCCTCCTGCTTTCGTTCAGTAAACAAATATTACATTTACCAATACCAATCACCAATGGCATTTACCACCGGCATGTTTATGCAGGAATTACGAATTATTAATGTGTGAAGAAATCGTAATATTACAACACAATCGTTCAAAACTGGAAGATGGAGTAGAATAATAAAATATGCACCTAAGGCCATTAAAGAGCTGTTTCGATTTTTCCAACAGGTGGCAGAATTCGTTGACGACTTTTCTCTCGTTTTCATCCATGGTCGGTACTTCGTCCGCCATATTTGTTTTTGTGGTTGCCATACTCTCTACTCTATTTATGTTATATTTACTTGAGTGGGATTTTTTACCATTGCCAAAAGTATAGTTTCCGAATAAAAATAATTATTTGCGAAATTGTCAATAATTAACAATAGGTTTGTCGTGATTATTAATTAGAGACTACAGGTGAATACGCATGTCTAGTGTGACCGGAAGCATGTGCGGATTGTGGTGAAATCAACGGAGATCAACAACATTGCAAGGTTTAGAGTTCATCGCTTCTTTTCACTGATTTACTTCATAACAGTTCGGGATCACCGTTCAGTGTAAGTACTACATGTATGCTCGAACAAAATAAAAGACTAGAATGCAGTTAATCTGGCTCTAAGCCGGCGAAGCCCGCTGGCGGAGCAGTTATCGCACTATAGCGCGCCGACTGTCTCGTTATATCGCTGCCTGCCTCAAGAAGTGCTCACTGGCATGTCTTTTGAATCAAACAACCTTTTAAGATACTTAGGGGAGCTGTGACGATAACTTGTTTATTAACGGCGTGAGAACCTACACCAAACATCCAATTCACTCGGCAATTGTAATATTGGAAGTTGTTTATCCATATCATTCTTGTCCATCTTTAGTACTTCCAAGTGCCTCTCAAATACGTCATTCCTAAATTTTACTATTCTTGGGTTTGTGGAATGATGTTAATTTTGAACTCTGTAAAACATCCATTTACAGTTGTACGACAGACAATTCAAGCACCTCAAAATGGATAATCTTCCCCCATCTGTGGCCACTGAGGCTGTTCTGGTGAAGAGCTCCCCCATGCCAGATGGCACCCCCACTGTCAAGGGATATGATTTCAATGAAGGCATCAACTACCACAAGCTGATGGAATCCTACAGGAGAAGTGGTTTCCAGGCAACTAATTTTGGCAAGGCAGTGGAAGAAATAAATAGAATGGTAAGATTGGCACCAACAATGAACAGTGCTATGGAGGGACTATGCTCCAAGCTATGGCGCGCCCATTTCCAAATGGTTAACTGTTACCCTATCAGCTAATAACAGGGTGATAATGCATCTGTTTTACACATGGCCCCAATCATAATGTATCTTAAGATTTCTGGTCCTTGTCCTCAAGACAGATTTTGCTGAAATTAACACACAAAAAACAACCTCCTATATCGTCTGAGAAGAGTCTGCATTTAACTTATGTTTTCATGCTTTTAAAGTAAAACTTTAAGGGTTCCTAGGTCATATGTCATAATCTTGAGGTTTCAATGTTTAGATATCTGAACATCAACTCAATTACCCCTGCACATCGAACAACACACAAATTATAAACGCAACATTCCAATTCAACTTAGTATGTAACATGAGTTCTGATTGGTCAATGCTATAAATTTCAGACCATATAATCAGCATATACGGTCGCATTTTGAAAACCGATTCACCCAAACCTTTGAATGTATCCCTACACCATTGGGGTATAGCTGTTTTTCAGGGCATTGTCATTTGCAGAAGCCCTCGGTCAGTTACCTCCCCTATCCTGCTAAAATGGATGGAATTTGTGTTAAAAAAGACAAAACAACTTATTCACCTCAGGCTGTTGACCCAACACTCTTACATCATGAAACAAGATTTGTGACGTCATTATGGAGCATGACGTCACCTGTTCTGACGTCATTTGACAACAGATCAGAACTGTGCATCCCCCTTTCTCAAAAAGCTGTATCCGCCACTGTATTCCGAGACTAGGCATGAGTCTACTCATCCCACATTTGTTACATCCTTCACTGACTACAGAGTTTATGGTAACTGTGGTGCAGTGTATACAGACTGACTGTTGGGTAGTCTAGTGGTTAAAGCGTTTGCTGGTCACGCCAAAGACCTGGGTTCGATTCCCAATGTACAATGTATGAAGCTCTTTTCTGGTGTCCCCTGTCGTGATATTGCTGGAATATTTCTAAAAGTGGCATAAAACTAAACTCACTCACTCACAGATTGACTGTAAGCTGCAGCCGATGTCGCCTGAAGATCAATACCACACTAACCTCAACCCCTGTGGAAGAGAGAGGTCAAACTGCACAATCTTCCTCAGTTACACATCCAACCTCGTCTCCTCTGGTGTCCGAGAAGTGATCCGCTATCTCGTGCAACACAACATGGTGAGTTCCTAGCGTACCGTCACTTCAGCAAGGATCCATTTACTTCATAAAGAGGCCTGATCAGACATTGAGAAGAGGGATTTGTTTTAGAAATTTTATACCACACGCAAATTATTTGCAGATTCGAAAAAATTCGTTAGATTTGTTTATTTAAATTTGAATTTAAGTGGTACATTGAAAAGAGCCACAGACAGTATGTCCAGTATTTATAGAACCTAAGGTCATCAATTCTTGCTGGCCCAGAACCAGAAGGTCGATAGTGCGAGCAAGATTTGAGTTGTTTTGTATGTTGCTGAGTGTGGCGTTAAATGACAAACAAATGCATTCTTGGTACTGTCAACCTTGTGGTTCAGGTCCAATGGTATCCTATCTATAGTTCTCATCCCATGCTAAGTCTAATAAATACTACATTAGTCTAGTAAAGGTTCTAAATGAAAGAAAGCACAAAGATCTGCTGAAAATGATGTCAAGTAACGAGTTAGTGCTGGTAGATACAAGTTTACAGCACTAAGTGATTCAGTTGACCCTGAGTGCTAACTATTGACCTTGACCATAGGTTGATGTGGTGGTGACAACAGCAGGAGGGATAGAGGAAGACTTCATCAAGTGTATGGCCCCCACATTCCTTGGCGACTTCGCGCTGAGCGGTAGAGACCTGAGGGACAAAGGCATCAACCGTATCGGCAATCTGCTGGTGCCAAATGAGAACTACTGCTTCTTCGAGGACTGGGTCATGCCCATCCTTGACAAGATGGTGGCAGAACAGAAAGAAGAAGTGAGTTTCTGAGAATACAGTGTTACGATGTTTCTATTAATTGCTTCAAAATTCCCTTATTGATCAAAGTTTGGCAATATTTCCAGTATTCTGTGTTCATGCTTTTTCATTAAATTTCAACATGAAAGACTTTTGTTGTTTAGTTTAACAGTTCAGTGTTTATGTTGTTTCTTTCTGTTGTTGTTTAATGCCACACTCAGCAATATTCCAGCTGGTGGCGGTTTGAAAATAATTACGTCTGGACCAGACAAACCAGTGATCGATCAATCGATCTACACAATTGGGATACGATGACATGTGTCACCCAAGTGAGCGAGCCTGACCACCCGATCCCTTAGTTGCCTATAACGACCAGCCTGGTTGCTGAACACCAATTCTAACCCTGATCTTCACGAGTGACAATGCATGTTGCTTTAAGAGCTCAGTGTTTATAGTGATTCCTGTTTGACTGTTGTAGGGAATCATATGGAGTCCTTCCAAGATGATCGCACGTTTGGGGAAGGAGATCAACAACACTGACTCAATCTACTACTGGGCCTACAAGGTCAGTGAAATGTTCCAGCCATACACTTTGTCCATACACCACACTTACTGAACTTGGCTATCCTCGATAATCTCCAGGTTATACGTTCTGAAAAAATCTCCACAAGTACCCTGGATGCATCTACTGCTCAGCTCGATAAATGTATTACCTCCCTTTGCTGGCTTTTTATCCAATCAGGTGCCTACGCTGGGAAGTTGAGCGTACCAATCACAAGGCTTCTATCATAACTCACTTTCTAAGCTATTAAATCTGGCAACACAATCTGGCAATTGTTACCCTGAAAGAGGTAGAAGGAGTTCTTGCATATATTTTTACGGTTTCAGACCTGTCAATTGGTCTGTATGATTTTTTGCCTTTATCTGAGTTGAACAGTGAGCAAACCTTCGCGGCAGTGGCCGCCATCTTTGTTAACACTGGCAAGCTTGATTGTAACAGCTTATCTGATTGGCTACTGTGAGGAGGCTGAGCCAGCAAAGGGCCGTGGATGCATCCAGGGTACTAGTGGAGATTTATTGGAACGTATACCCTGGAGACTATTGAGGATCTGAACTTGGCATAGTCTTGTGTTTGTTATTTAACACACTGCAATTTTCAAGTGATACAAAAGCAGTGAATAATCTCTTTCACATCAGATAATCCAGAAAGAGTTATCAAGAGTATTGATCTATGCTGTTTGGAACCGTGACATGTGTCCGCCTAGTCAACGAGTCTGATCACCCAATCTCAATCTCCATGGGGTTCTTGTTGACAAGGGCTGATGGCATCTGTTTTGAATGATTGTTTTCTGCATTAGCAAAAACTTGCAAGAGTATCTTCTCTGGTGTTTCTTGACTTCTATATTTTTGTTAAATATCTTTATCAGGCATGTTCGCGATCTATAGCCTGTTAATAAATTGTATTGTCATCCATAGTTAAATTTAATTACTAGTTTTAAGTTTATATCTGTGATAATCTAGTTGCTTTACTGTCCATCGTTGACAGGTTTTTTATAATTTACCTTTACTTATTATAAATCTACAACTTGATTTTGATATGGCTGAAATACTGCCGATGTGACTTAAATCTTAACTCACTCACTTTAGCAGGCACCCTTATAAAACTACCTGATGAGACATGAGGACAGTCACTGTCTTGACTCTTTAAAGGACTCAAGTGCTTTAAGTTTGAAATTGAATTTTAGGTATGTTCTGATGGTGTTTTTCCTGTTACTGTAACTCGTGTTTCCATCTGTCTAGAACAACATTCCAGTCTTCTGTCCAGCGCTGACCGACGGCTCTCTGGGGGACATGATCTACTTCCACTCCTTCAAGAACCCTGGGCTTGTCCTGGACCTTGTTGAAGGTAGGGCAACATCTAATATCACTTTATTAAGTGTCTATTAGCTCTCCAGACTGGTTAACTCACTTAGCAAGGTGGAAGCATGGTTGAATTATCACATCACATAGCCAGTGCTGTTAGCTCACCTTACCTTGGTGGAAGGTGAGTGAGTGAGTGGGTTTAGTTTTACACCGCTTTTGTCAATATTCCAGCAATATCATGGTTGGGAACACCAGACATGGGCTTTACACATTGTATCAATGTGGGGAATCGAACCCGGGCCCTCGGCATGATGAGGCTAGCCCACCGCCCCTAGGTGGATGGGAGGGTTCCACATAACCATCACTTCATTAAGTAGCAGTAGTGTCTGTTAGTTTATCTTAGCATGGTGGGAGGCAGGGATACTTTGAAACATCACGTTGTATAGCCAGAGCTGTTAGCTCACCTTACCTTCGTGGAAGGACGAGTTCACATAACCATCACATCATTAAGTAGCGCATCCTAGCATGGTGGGAGGTAAGAATACTTGGAATTATCACATCATATTGCCAAGGCTGTTAGCTCACCTTACCTTGGAGGAAGGGAGGAATACTTGGAAAATTCACATAATTAAGTAGCAATATCAATTGTTAGCTCACCATAGCATGATGGATAGATACTCTCCCTGGATTGCATCATCATTATGTAGTCATAGCAGCCGTTAGCTCACCATAGCATGATGGATGGATACTGTCCCTGGATTGCATCATCATTATGTAGTCAAAGCAGCCGTTAGCTCACCTTACCATGATGGATGGATACTCTCCCTGGATTGCATCATCATTATGTAGTCATAGCAGCCGTTAGCTCACCTTACCATGATGCAATCTTGTCTCCATGGATGATGGAAGGTAACACTCTAGGAACTTTTTCATCATCAGTTAGCTCAAATTTCCGTTGGTTTCTGTAAGTGGGGATTAATGACGCTGTGTGTTTCAGACATTCGACGGGTCAACAGCCAGGCGGTGTACTCTGTCAACACTGGCATGATCATCCTTGGTGGAGGCGTCGTCAAACACCACACCGCCAACGCCAACCTCATGGTGAGAGCTATACTAACAGCAGATTTGCACCACATTTTGACTATAACCTCTTTTCCACTCTTCAGAATGCAGATACGAAGCTTGAAAAATAAAAAAATGATGAAACTTTAAAATTATGATATATGTTAGCTCAGTAGCGAGGTTTCTGTTCATTTGACAACACCTGTGTACGTAGATGTAACTAGGTAAGGTGTTCTCCTCTCAAGACTTATGGTTATGGGAACCAGGTAAATAGCCCACAAGAAGTCCTAATGGATGAGGTTTGTATGTTCTATTGAGTGTATGATCTATTGTATGTTCCTATTCTTCATAATGAAATTTCATTTGACCTCATAATCAACATTTGACCAGAATGCTTGAGATATTTCTGTAATGATTTCAGCGTAATGGTGCTGATTTCTCTGTGTACCTCAACACAGCATCTGAGTTCGATGGAAGTGATTCTGGAGCCAGCCCTGATGAGGCTATATCGTGGGGCAAGATCAGGAAGACAGCCAACCCTGTCAAGGTGAGGTTAACTACTTCAGTACATAGGTAGCTTGTTGTTTAACGCCGCACTCAGCAATATTCCAGCTATATGGTGGTGGTCTGTAAATTAGCAAATCTGGACCAGACAATCCAGTGATCAACAGCATGAGCATTCATCTATGCAATTGGGATGCAATGACGTGCCAACCAAGTAAGAGAGCCTGACCACCTGATCCTGTTAGTCAACATTGTACGACAAGCATTGGTAGTGGTCCCACTGAGAGTGATATAGAATAATGTTGTTTATTCCCCAGGTGTGTGATGAGTTGAGTGTAGTGGTCCCACTGAGAGTGATATAGAATAATGTTGTTTATTCCCCAGGTGTGTGGTGAGGCAAGTGTAGTGGTCCCACTGAGAGTGATATAGAATAATGTTGTTTATTCCCCAGGTGTGTGATGAGTTGAGTGTAGTGGTCCCACTGAGAGTGATATAGAATAGTTGTTTATTCCCCAGGTGTGTGGTGAGGCAAGTGTAGTGGTCCCACTGAGTGATATAGAATAATGTTGTTTATTCCCCAGGTGTGTGGTGAGGCAAGTGTAGTGGTCCCACTGAGAGTGATATAGAATAATGTTGTTTATTCCCCAGGTGTGTGATGAGTTGAGTGTAGTGGTCCCACTGAGAGTGATATAGAATAGTTGTTTATTCCCAGGTGTGTGTGGTGAGGCAAGTGTAGTGGTCCCACTGAGTGATATAGAATAATGTTGTTTATTCCCAGGTGTGTGGTGAGGCAAGTGTAGTGGTCCCACTGAGAGTGATATAGAATAATGTTGTTTATTCCCCAGGTGTGTGATGAGTTGAGTGTAGTGGTCCCACTGAGAGTGATATAGAATAGTTGTTTATTCCCCAGGTGTGTGGTGAGGCAAGTGTAGTGGTCCCACTGAGAGTGATATAGAATAATGTTGTTTATTCCCCAGGTGTGTGGCGAGGCAAGTGTAGTGGTCCCACTGAGAGTGATATAGAATAGTTGTTTATTCCCCAGGTGTGTGGTGAGGCAAGTGTAGTGGTCCCACAGAGAGTGATATAGAATAACGTTGTTTATTCCCCAGGTGTGTGGTGAGGCCAGTCTTGTGTTCCCATTGATGGTGGCTGAAACATTTGCAAGAAGGGAAAAGCAATATGAAGAATTCTACAAGAATCGACCATGACGTGTAGATTTCAGGCAACCCACATCCTGCTTGTTGCCATGGTTACATTGCCATCTGAGACTTGGCATGATGGGCTTGGATGTATGTACCACTGCTGATCCATAATTGCCATGGTTATCTCACCATATCTGCATGATGGGCAGGATCTATGTGGCACAGCTAAACTGAGGTTTTGTTTCCATGGTTATACATCTCTGAGACCCTCTTTAATGGGCCTAGATATATCAAGCACCACTAATCCACTGTGACCATAGTTACATCACCATCTCTCAGGCCCTGCATGATGGGCCTGTATCTGTTGAAGCACTACTGAACTAATGCTTGTTACCATGGTTACATCACCATCTGTCAGACACAGCATGAAAAGGCCTGGATCTATGAAGCACAACTAAACTAGTACTTGTTACCATGGTTACATCACCATCTCTCAGACTTTGCAGGAAGGGCCTGGATATATGAAGCACGACTAAACTAATGCTTGTTACCATGGTTACATCACCATCTCACAGACCTTGCAGGAAGGGCCTGGATCCATGAAGCAGGATTAAAGTAATGCTTGTTACCATGGTTACATCACCATCTCAGACCCTGCATGAAGGGCCTGGATCTATGAAGCAGTACTGAACTAATGCTTGTTACCATGGTTACATCACCATCTCTCAGACTTTGAATGGATGTGACATATCCAAATGATATCATGTTTGATGCTGGGAAAGGTTGATATCAACACCTGATACTGACCGTGTCTTGACTGTGATATACTGTAGGTTAAAGAACCACTAAACTTTGTTTTTGTTACTCTTTTAACCATTACATATGAAGATTTGTGGTTAGTCTTATGCGGAACACCAAATTTATTCTTTAAAAACTTGTGGTTAATTAATACCGGCGATTAAAAGTGGCCAAAAAGTAAGCCTGCTTCCTCTCGCCCGCCATGCGAAACCACAGACAGGTTACGTAACTCTGTCGCCAGAGCACTGCAGTGGCGTCATATGAGGAGCGATTTTCAGTTAGTTGTATAGAAAGTGTGTATGCGCTCATCATTTGATGATTTCTCGACATGAACGACGACATGCGAATCGTTGCTTTGTCGTCAATTGCTCCTAGGGGTCGGGTGATGGTGTCACCATGCACAGATTTCCACAGGACCCCGCAGTTTGTGCTAAATGGGTTATGTTTGTGAGTCTTGGCGGCGTTGTGGAAGCCTGAAGCGATATCTTACTTGTGTTCAGATCGGCTTCACGGAAGTTAAAGAATCAAAACTACTTACTAGTTATAGTAAAATATGTATATGATTGATGACCATAAAGATTTTCCATAACACAACTTGTAACATAGCGATTTCTTCCTCGGAAGTGAGGTTGTGGTCGAAGTAACAATAATATTGTAAGTAGTATTATATTGACACCCACCTAAGCTGCTTCCAGAGAAATTGTTATGTTATCGGCTATGTCATGCAAAATCCTATTGGCCATCAATAAAATACATATTTTACTACCAGTAGAAAGTAGTTTTGATTTTGTAACTTCGGTGAAAACAAACCTAAATAGCATTTATCCACAGACTGGCGGATGTTCCCGACAGAGTAGCCGCCATTTTGAAAATCGTAAAGTCTGTTAGAATTAATGAGATTATAGTTTGTTTTCATCAAGTTAGAAAATCAAAACTACTTTCTACTAAATAGTTAAATATGTATTGGAATCATAACCAAAAGGATTTTGCATGACACAACTTATAACATAGCGATTTCTTCCACGGAGGCGAGGTGGAAGTCGAAGTCACAATACTCTTAGCGATAAATTTCTTGCTACATTCACATGGTTAATGTCCACTCACCAGTATGTAGATACTAGTCAGTAATGCGTCTTTATATTTGGTCTTATAATCCTAATTAGTTTATTATCATACTTTTATGCATTTTGAAACTAAATAAAAGCTGGCGATCTGCTGATACTTATAGTGAATTTATAACAGAACTGTAATATCTAGACATTTTATAGTTTGCCAATGTGAATCATAATTCGCACACACACCTAGTGTATGTTGTCTGTCTCATTACACTTCACTGGGTGAAAACAATGATTCTGTTGAATGCTACGACAAATGAATAAAAACAAAATGCAAATATTAAAATTAAAACAGATTAAAGTTATAGGAACAATATCAGGCCATTACCTTGTTTGAGGAATGTATCCATCAATATCCACAAAACTGTTCCAAATGATGTGTCTTTTAACAGTTTAATATATCTGAAAAAGTGATAAATCTTTTCAGGTATTGGTGTATAGTCTCATTGGTCACCCAAGATAGCACACCTGGCAACTAATTGCATAATGTCCGCCTTTCATTAAAAACAGTAATTTAGTTAGCCAATAATGGGCAATCAATCAATGTATTGCGGTTAATCCTTTGAAAGAAGGGCGTTGTTTTTACATGAACACCGACACGGCAGAGTGTATTCAGTATAGATTAGTAAATCTACATACATAAACACTACCTTTTGACAAATCCGGCTGTGTAAGATAAAAGTAATTAATCAATCAGCGTGTTATCGGTTAATCCTTTGATCGATGTTTATAATGTTGAATATTTACTCCAGACACAAGAAATGCCAAATGGGAACCTTTGCCGGGTAATCTAAGTGTGTTACCACTAATTATACCTGTTATAAATTCATTAACTGACCATCAAGTGAATGATGACAAATAACATGTGTAGGTTTATACCACCTAACACGGGTTACAACAAGGGAGTATTAATTGCTGTATTGCATGTGAAAACTTATGGGCCGACACTGTTTTGAGAATACAAACAGATTTTTACATGACATGATTAAATATCGAGGTAAAAAAAAACACAGAAATGGGATCAATTTGGATCAGTCATTATACAAATAGGGCCTAACGACACCAATCAATTGTGACAGAAGCGTCTATGAAAACAAGTTGTAACTTCGGAAACTAGGCAAAGCAGGAGACAAAATTAAATGCCAGTAGATTGTGAGAACATATAGCTTTCATTTTCCACAACAATTGTCGCGATTTCAGGTTTATACAAGCCTGTAAACAAGATAATTTACCCCCTAAAATGTAGATGAATTCTGCATCGGCCCTCAAAGCTATTCCTCATATGGCGTCACAGAGGTTTCATTTATCGGCAGCTCTGATTGGTTGAAATTTAGTTCGCGGGTGAGAATTGTGCACTGTTGTCAAAAGGTCGATTTAAGTCAATTAAAGGTCGAAATGAGTAGTTTTAATGGCGGGGTTTCATTTATAGCGATGCCAGTTAGTGATTTATGTATTTTTACCCCTAGGGTTTATGTGACCTTTAAAAATGTATTTTCCAAATTTTAAGGTGGGGTATCCTAGTCAATTATAGCGTTGCTCGTCACGCCGAAGACCCGGGGTCGATTCCCAACATGGGTTTGATGAAGTGTGAACCCCAGCTGTGGCCAACAAGTAGGTAAGGTTGACTCACTATCCTTGTGGGGAATTGTACAGGTTCTCATGTCAGATGAGTCCTTGCTAAAACCACCTGCCAGCTCCACTACCTGGTACCCAGCACATGGCAATGGGAATGTTTGGTATATGTGAGAGTGACAGATGCCGGTATAGGCAAATATATATCCAATTTATTAGCATCCATCAAGGAGAATTCTCAAACAAAACTGGCAGATACGCCAAGGAAATTTGGTTTGTACACTGCTCTGGTGAGTAAAGTTTTATTTATAATGTAACATGAAAACTTACATATGTGCTATGTACTTAAAGTTTGCATTTTTTACTCACTCAAAATACCTTTGTAAGTGAAAATATATTTGAAGAGTATATTAATAAATATTCTTACCTGTTTGATTGGCATTTTAGAAGTTGATGAATAAGAAAGGTATGAAACGTTATGGATAACACTGTTGCTTGACAACAGTATAGGAATCTGTACCCAAACGTCCATCACAATATAATAGAGAAGTTGTTATCCATAAAGCAATATACCCTTCTTAAATATTCTTACGGTTTCGTAGAGGAAATTATAGGTGCTGTGCAGAGTTACGTCCCTTGGCTGGCAGGATCTGCTTGTGTACCCCGTCCCATTATGATCCCTGATTTTAGCACCATGAGAACTTTCAGCTGATATAATTTGTTTGAGTGGCATTCTAGAAGTTGGTGGTATAGAGATGACAAGACTTTATGGATGATCAAAAACAGGGGTGCCCATAGGTAAACCATGGATTTGTTCATAAAGGTCATCACCCCCTGGTAAAGTAGGTGGAGGTGATGGAGTTAGAAATGAGCTGAATGAATGGAGAGGGGTGTCAAGGCTGTCAATGCTTGAAAACGGAAATACCCATGAAGGTCCGGGTTAGAATATTCATCTTCAGAAACCCATGCTTGTAAGAGGCGACTAACGTGATTGGATGGTCAGGCTCGCTGACTTGGTTGACAAGTCATCGGTTCCCAGTTGCGCAGATCGATGCTCATGCTGTTGATTACTGGATTGTCTGGTCCAGACTGGATTATTTACGGACCACCGCCATATAGCTGGAATATTGCTGAGTGCGGCCTAAAACTAAACTCACTCACTTGAAAACGGAAACGTCCCTATTGTGGAAATAAAGAAGTTGATCATCCATCTTTGTCATCTTTCAACTGATAAACCAACTGACTCCACACACCACATATAACAGCAGGAAACAACGCCTGTGGGAATGATAGTGTGAACGGGTATTTGTATCCTCTTCATACATAGTATGGGAATGATGACGCCACTTTAGCCTCGGAAGGCCTCTCGACTCACCATCTCAACTCTCCTGGCCAAGGTCACCAAGACTATTGTTTAAAACAACTTAAATGGCCCAGTTGTCCATACTGTTGAAAATTGAGAGTTACCTCCCTTTGTCGTGTCCATATCCGATTGTGATCCCACAGTGCTAAACGGCCTCTAAGACTTCAGAACTTTCTTCCACATTAATGTAACACGACACGGTATAACCGAAATAATATGCTAAAACCACACGAACGCATGCACTCATGCCCTCACTCACTCACTCAGTAGCACTACGTTTGTTCCTGAAGGGAGGTGAGAATGAGAATCGAGTGCTGACTGATTCATTGAAGAGTTGAAGCAATGTGAGTGTGTGCATGTTTAACCTGGGGTGTAGGGGCTGTATTTCGATCACAATTTTATGGAGGGCATTCCCATAGAATGAATCCTGGAAGGGATACTGTCTTGTTTACAAAATTCATGTTGTTTCATATTTGATGTTTTCGTTGATGGCGTCTGCAACTAGCGTTAGACCACATTCTTTCAAGGCTTCTTTCAGTTTGGTTATGGTCGCCTTCTTTGATTCACGTTTTTTCCATAGCATAAGTGCCTGTAGGGCCTGCTCATGAAGGTTGCCATGGTGACGGTATTCCAGGTTTTCCAGGTCTGAGTGAGTCAGGCCGAGTATCAGTGCTACCCTCTTCCAGGAATGACCCAGTTCAAGAGAGACGCCTTCTAGAATAGAGTTTTGTATAGCTGGAAGGGAAGGTGAGATAATCGGTTATTGTTCAAAGTATCGACATGCAGCTCACCCAATCCGGGTTAGAATTGATCTTCAGCAACCTATGCTTGTCGTAAGAGGCGACAAATGGGATCGGGTGGTCAGGCTCGATGACTTGGTTGACACATGTCATCCTATCTCAATTGTGTAGATCGATGCTCATGCCAGACTCGATTATTTACAGACCGCTGCCATATAGCTGGAATACTGCTGAGTGCGGTGTAAAACAACAAAGAAACAAACAAACGACATGCAGGCATTCATGATAAATAAAGATGAATAAACGAAAGACGTTTAAAGGTGGAATTTGTTATTTCCCTTTCCTGCGAATAAAACAAATTAAGCCAAAGAAAGAAGGAGTGGTCGGCCCCGAGTGATAGTCCGCTTATATGGCGCTCATATCTAGGCATATTTCCTGCTAACTGGGCTACGACAGAGTCTGACCGGGGTAGTCATGTTGAAATGGTGGCGTAGTATTTCAACGAGATAGCTCTTTAAACCTGAATCTGGTAATCTAGATTCTGATAATTCCTGAATCTTGTTGTGTTTGGCACTGTGTTTGATGTAGACATGATTAGGGAAATATGGGAATCTCAGACAACAATTGAAATATTGGTTTAACAATTACAACAGTCTCGATCCGACTACTGTGTAATATTGGTTACACCGTCAAAGTGGCAGTCGTCATATAGTATATGTACTGCCCAAAAGAAGTTTAATGAAACACTGATCTTTTCACATGACAATAATTCTTATCATGGCACAACTGACCAACTCTAGTTATGACAAATTCATTTCATACCTACTTTTGAGTAATATACATACATTATATAGGGATTGGTACTGTGGCATACCTTGTGGCGGAAACAGAAGACTCGGCGATCGGAACACCTTGGGAGAAGCAGTGTCGGACACGTCTGGGGACGTGGGGTCGACCATTTGCTCCGAAGAAGGGAATCGTTTTTGGGAGCCACCTTGAGACACATCTTCCTCGTACAAGGACGACTCGCGGAACATGACCTTATCCCCTTCCTGTGCAAGCTCTTTACACAAGGTGAACCGTTTTTTGACTCTGCTGTCAGGTTCTGAATGTTGGCCAGGGAGGATGAGTTTCAGGGAAGGACGATTCAGGATCCTCGTGGACGTGTCAGGACTACTGTGGTTTTGTTTGCAACGTAATGACTCGGTGAGACTTGATTCAGACTCGGTTGAAGCCTCAACAAATGTTCTGAAGCTCTGCTGTAGGGACTGGATGCTGGAGGAAGACTCTCTTGGTGATGACCGTGACAACTCTATGGATCCTAGCATCAGTCCTTGTGACCAGTTCCTGTTGCATCTCAAGGTAGATAACTCTTCAATATCGGGGAGTGGGATGCTCTCAGGTGCTGAAATATCAAGTTTAAAAGTTGAATTAGAAGAAGTTATTACCTTTACAATACGGTTGTGATACAGGGCAGAAAAGCACTCTTCTTGTATAAGTGTCGCGTAAAATTATGTGTGTGTATATAAATTGATAATATATTGATTATGTTCCATGTGTGTGTGTGTGTGCGTGTGTATATGCACACACATAAAACACACCATGCTTATATCATTATGTTCCTCGGAACTTCGGTATAACCGTGAGAATTCCGGTATAAAGTTGATGAGGCAACTATTAAAATGTTCAGTGTTCCCAAAACGTTTCTTATCGTATTTCAGTTCAGTATTTCTCTTACCATAAAACGTTATGCCTCCTTTGAGGACTGCCATCGTGACTCGGACTGTTCCATCACACGTTGAAACGAAGACTCTTTTCATCCCCTCTACCCTGTAATCGTCTTTGATGACTCTTGGAATCAACAGCGTGTCCCCCGAACACAACCCAGCGTCCGCAAGGCTAATGTCCTCAATTAAGCATTTTCCCCTGTGAATGATATTCACATTCTCGCGGTTTGTCTGCAGGACCTGTGCAAGAAACATCTTAACTTTTTTAACTTTGCACTGTCTGAACTTCTCCACAGTCAAACAAGATGGCGGCATACCAGGTTGGCGAATCATGAGATGGATGGAATCCTTGAAGTGCACAGCAAACAGTGTGTCGCCATCTCTTATGCGATAGTCCATCAACTGTCTGTCATTGATGACTTCCTTGTCCTCAAAGAACATCTGGAGATCTGCCGGATCAACATGTGTTTGCCTTGAGACAAGCCTCTTCAGATCAGAGACTGTGTCAAGTTTGTACAAGTTCACCTGTACGTTCTGAAGACTTGACATGCCCATATTTACGCATATGTTAACAACAATTTTCTCCGCAACTCTAACACTTACAGCGCAATTTGGAACAAACCCATTTTCTTCTATCATCGCTGGCTTTCTTAGTTTTTTATTGTTCATGAGCAAACGAAGAGCGTTTGGAGGATGTTCAACCAGAACGGAAGCCTCGGACCTAAACTGGGAGGATGTTATATTAGGAGGCACAATCAGGACATGGTAGACAGCCTCTTTTGAGTTCGAACCAAGGAATTTGATCACAACGGGGAAACACGTTGGTGGCTTTACGTGAACCATCATCCTCCCCCTATCGTTCAGCCCTTGCCGAAGTGAAGTTGTGATGAACAGGAAGTCCTCGTCTTTTAGGACATTCTTACCCTGTGTGAACCAGATGTCCTCAGCTCCATTTTGAAGTCCGGGAAAGTCCTCCTGGAATGTGTCCCTGAATCTGTTCTTCATCTCCCTTACATTTAAAGTATTTAGACAGTCCAGTCTGTATTGATTCTCAATTTTCCGTCTCGGACGATGGAAGCAAGAAACCTGTAATTTTACTTCATCAACACAAAGCAAATGATCCCCAAATTTCACACAAGCCCCAATAGCTGCTTCGTCATCTAGACGTATTTTCCTATAAAACAAACCAACGTTTTCACCAATTTGAAAATTTTCACTTTGACAGATCAGTTCCTTCAAAAAGGCAACGCTCATTTTGGGATCAATGCCCACACAGCCTTGTTCTGTGTAGTTGGATGAAGGAGCCCGGTAGTTCTGAGATCTGACATCAATGAACACAACATGAAGGTCAAGGTCGTTATAAATCACAGCCTCTTTCTCCTTCCGGTCAGTGTAGACGGAGCCCAGTGGTACTCCATACCTGTCTGCTATGGCCTGGGTGCGTGATGTGCTGCAGCAGGAGCTCCTGTCGACGGGGAAAGACTCGTACTTTGCCGGGACGATCTGGCTGGTGTTCCTGATGTCGTACACCTGGACGGTGAAGATCTGGTCTGGTTCTGCTCCGGGTCGGTAGTGGCGCCCCAGTAACTGCCCTGTGTGGACAAGGTTTCACATTGTGTCACCACGGTGTATATTCTATGGATGTTTAATATCATTAAATATTCAAATACCATCGATTCCACTATTTATTTAAATTCTCTTGTTGCTTTGCGCCGCATGCATCAGTATTACAGCAGTGTATGAAATAAGGCCCGTCCGGCCGCCCGAGACGGTCTAGATTTCTGACGGACGGTCTAAATTTACAGCTAGCCATCCCGATGGTCAGGTAAATTTTTAGATGTTCCATACATCTGAGTAAATTCACCATATTTGGTCTGGTTAAATCCATTTTGGGCTGGTAACATTTTAAAGTTACCGGCCCTGATGTCTGGCTATGTTTTTGGCTTATTTCATACACTGATTACAGCTATGTCAGGGCAGGTCAGGCGATCTAAGGCGCCGCAGTTCGCATCGCAGAACACCTTCCAAAATGGCGTGTGGTTCACTCTACGTATATCCAAACCAGGCAAAGTCCCAAAGTCCCCCACACGCTCACATACTTTCGTCTCTACCCATGGTCAAGGCATTTGCATACAAAACCCATGCTTGTCGTAAGAGGCGACTTACGGGATCGGGTGGTTGGGCTCGCTGACTTGGTTGACACATGTCATCGTATCCCAAACGTAATGCTCAAGTTGTTCAGACTTGATTATTTACAGACCGCCGCCATGTAGCTGGAACATTGCTGAGTGGGGCGTCAAACAACAAACAAACAAACAAACAACATCACAGCATTCTGCAACTTCTTCCTAAATCAACATCCGCTCACTCATTTCTTAGTCTCATTGTGCTGGTGCCCTGTGCCCTTGGTGAGATACGCAAGCACATACCGTATTTCCTCTAATAAGCGCCCTGGGGCTTAGTTTTTTCATCGGACTTCCATACCTGGTGCTTACTAGAGGCCCGGCGCATATTGGAGACCCGCCCCTTAAAATTTCAACGGGAATAAATATAGATCCTCCATTGGTATATATTTGAAAACTCCACTGTAAACATGTGGCACATCCGGCGCTTATTAGAGACACGGCGCTTATTGCAGACTCGTCGCTTATTTCTTGAATAGTTGCTTTACCCCAGCCGCTTATCAGTCTAAGTCTCAGTATTATTCGTTACACTCCTACACTGAGTCTAACAAACCCTAGTAGGAGGTCGCGTCAGGTAATCTTTGGGCGACCTATGACAGTCCAATCAAACGAGAGAAGGCCGAACGGATTTAACCAGTCAGACGACGACTACTGTTTAGGGTTCGGCGGGACTTACAAAATTCCCCAGTCACTGACACTGATCTCTCAACAAACGATAATCCGCATAAAACACAGATAGTTGACCTGCAGTATATATGCTTAGGGTTTTCTGATGACATGGTTACCATTAGCTAATATTTCCGCAAGCTGACATCCTTGAATATTGACAAAAACGCTATTTTCAGCGACTGTTTACTCACTGTTGACAGTGTTGTAGCGTGCTCCATGTGCGTCCGGATGCGATCGTACGGAAAACAGCATTCGGAATCGTTCGGGTACAAACCTTTTCGGGGTAAGTAAAAATTCAAAAGGTATGTGCGAATGTCCACCTTCGCGATTTGGTAAGCTGTGTTCTGATTGGTCAATCTCAAATGTTACCTGACGCGACCTCCTACTAGGGTTTGTTAGACTCAGTAGAGTATGGTGGCTGATTAGGGCCATCGCTTTCTCGGCTTAAAATTCGGAGGCGAGAAAGCGGTAGAGGAGTGTAACGAATAGTACTGAGACTAAGTTTACTTAGACTGGCCGCTTATATGGGAGGCCGACGGTTATCAGAGACCGGGCGCTTATTAGAGGAGATACTGTATGTACACTTCCTGTTTCATCGTTTGCCTGTAAATATGACAAAACACCTACTTACTTTGTTGCACTGACTGCAGTGAGTTCCACGGATCATCGTCACTGTCGTCGCTGTCGGGGAAGCAGATCATGTCTGCCACCTTCACACCAGCTTATAACGCCTAGACGGAGCGAATTTATCACGAATGTACAAATATCACAGGAGTGTAGGGAGGTATGCACAGCTACTGTATCGCTGCTGCTGTCAAGCGAAATGAGAACACGCTAATTGCTTATCGTAATTGCACAGTTTATCCTGTGCATTTTCACATTGTTCAATTACGTTCAGCCGTATATCGGAATGTCAAATGTACACTGTACATAACATAAAAGACGATTGATACAGCGTCTCGTTACTTGACTCGGTACGTGAAGGTCCGGGTTAGAATATTGATCTTCAGTAACCCATGCTTGTCGTAAGAGGCGACTAACGGGATAGGGTGGTCAGGCTCGCTGACTTGGTTGCCACATGTCATCGGTTCCCAATTGCGCAGATCGATGCTCCTGCTGTTGATCACTGGATTGTCTAGTCCAGACTCGATTATTTACAAACCGCCGCCATATAGCTGGAATATTGCTGGATGCGGCGTAAAACTAATCTCACTCACTCACTCGTTACTTGACTCGATATTTTACTTCTGAGTTAAATATGGTATGCATTGCTTTGTGTTGTAAAACAAATTTATTTCCCAAAGGTTTTTTCTATAGGGAATCTCGTCGGAATATCTGTCCTTCTACACAGTATTCGTACTTTAGAATTATTAAACTGCATATTCCGGCTCATTCCATTTTTAGGCATATTTTTTGACGGGTGCTACCAGTCGGGCAGAACATGCTTACCCCTTTCGCGAACACCTGGTGTTATCACTGATTTTTAGAGATCCATTCAAATATTTTTCATAGCTAATTTTCACTTAACACCAAGCGGAATTTGTTTCTGAGGATTGTCAAGAGTGGGTATTCTTTTGCACAGACGTTATGTATTGAAAAGGAGCAGTGGGGTAGCCTAGTGGTTAAAGTGTTCGCTCGTCACGCCGAACACTCGGGTTCGATTCCCCACATGGTCACAATGTGTGAAGCCCATTTCTGGTGTCCCCCCGCCGTGATATTGCTGGAATATTGCTAAAAGAGGCGTAAAACCCAACTCACTCACTCTATATTGTAAGTATGAATATTTGATCTCTGGGGTGTTTCTTGTCCCCTGTTTCCTTCTTTACCGCCATATAGCTGGAATATTGCTGAGTGTGGCTTTAAACAGCAACCAACGAAGCCTTTTTTCAAAGATAAACAACTGAAGGATGCTGTCCTTCGGTTCCCTAACAGCATTTTCAGTTATGTAAAAGTAAAACCAATTTAAGATATGATCTACAGAATGGCACTACCATTACATCGGGAAAGTCCTAATGCAGCACGGTTAGTCTTAGATTTGCACAAGTCTCTATGGTGAAATTCAATAGTTTAAATGATAATTTCCAACAAATGATAACAACAGACTATCCTATCTAGACTTGCCTCTTCGAGGAATATAATTACTGTACATCCATGGGCTCACCATTCAGTGCAGCCTTGGAGCAAGGCTAGGTTAGTCAATAAAACCTGTCTTTCTCAGTTTGGTACGGTCGATGGAGTAGAAATGAATAAAGCAACGAAAATAAGGATAATAATATTCATAATGATAAATATTTATATCATTTGACAGCAATGTGATTGGAAAGATTAAGGAAAAGCATGATAAACATGCGGAACTCGCCTTTGAAATGTCTCGCTTGGATCCCAAGTATACTGTCGTCAGGCTCCCCATTTTTCTCGGAGCCCTAGGTTTGCTACCTCGTGATCTCTTGGCGCAGATCAGGAAAGTGCCCGGGTTCTCCACCGGGAGTACAGCCCTTCTGACACTCTGGGTAATGCAAAAGGCTGCAGTGTTGAGGAGTCTACATATTCTCCGAAAAGTTCTTGGTGGGTTCGACTAGGCAGCGTTTCCTGGGAGAAGTCCCATTCGCTGTCTGGGCTGCGTGTAGAGGGGGCAAGGGCCCTGATCTGATGATGAGCCTTACCAGCCTGACTGTGCTAGGATCACCCGAACCCTCTCTGCTGCATTTTCATCATATTCTGTATAAGAAAATAGTCATGCAAGTATCAAAGTATTAAATATTTAGTGGACAGAGAAGGGTTCTTTATCCAACCACGCGCACCTTATGGTAACCACCGTCAGTAATTGTATCATTACTTTTTGCAATGCATAAGTTAGTCAACATTTTATTAATCAATGTTCCTCATATCTTTCTAACTGCACCAAAAGAAATGTGACATAAGATTAACATAACATTATTATTTCAAAACCAGCTCTATGGTAAGAGTGCTATTTGCAAGAGTATTATCTTTTCAAAGAACAATTAGTTACACTGATTGACTACACACAAGGAACATACCCATCACATTAAAGGTAGTCCTACTTAGCCTGCATTTAAGCTTCTCTCAATCTGTCAGGAGGTTTAGTATCATCAGAGACCTTATGATAAATATGTTTTACGGCCTCGTGTGTCATTCACGCTGTCCGGGACATGATGACGTAAGAAGTGACAAGGAGTTACTTCCCCTGATTAGGACATTCCTACTTTCTCTTTCCTGCTCTGCCAGAATCTTCTTTTCCAGCCATCGCTCTTTTCAAGTTTATTGGTAAGCAGACATTGTTTTCTTCATTCCGTCAATCCTTGCACTGATGTTATAACGTCATAATATACAGAGAATAATCTTATTACGTGTAATGATTATGAGGTACAAATATGAGCTGTTCGGAACGTGTCACAATAATATTGTCAATCTAACAATATGTTGTTATCATAATTTATTCTAATAACTAGCAACTGTTGAAGGAATCTTTGGTCAGTAGGTGATTTAAAGATAAATATCATGGTCCTTATAAATGTTTTAAACTCTGACAGCAGTTTTTCAATGCGACCTTTATCGTCCGTGACATGGCCAAACCATAGGCCCCCACTGCGGGTAAGAAAATCGATTAACTTAACCCAGCCCCCCAGTAAACCGGGGTTAAGTTAATCGATTTTCTGACCCGCAGTTGGGGCCTATGGGAGGGCCAAACCCTGAAAATTCTGATTTATTTCTCTTTCAGAGTTTTATATTGTTAAGTTCAGTAATATAACACCTCACTGCCTTTTGTAAGTAATCATCTATGATTATACTTTAATCAGATACGGATGTGCATGCATGGGCCTTTTATTAGGACTGACCATCGATTTATATCATAGAGATCGATTTTCGTTAACTAAATATTGATCGATTATCGATAAATATCGGAGAAGTAACTTTGAGCAAGATATGTCTGAAAGAAATGAATATATTTCACACTACTCACATGTTTATGCGTGGATTACTAACAAAACAGCGTCCTGAACATGATTTAGAAGCAACCCATGAATAAAAACCTAGCTTTGTGTATTGTGTGAGTAAATTTAAACTTTATTCTCTCACTAAAGTTCATGTATGATATTATTGATAACTCTATTTTCATTTCCTCTTGACGATATCTCCGATTATCGATCTTTCTTCGATCCAGCCCTACCTATTACCGTATAACATTGTATTCATTCAGTTTGGGCTCAGCATTTGATGAACAGTTTTCATTGACAAGAACTGATCAGCATCAATGTGGTGATACAGTTTATGCAGTTTATTATTTAGGCTTCATGGTTACCTGATTGAACAAATAGTTTTACCACATATGTTTATGCTTTTGCTTATCATAATTATATATGGAAGAACAGATGCTATTTAAATACAGAAGTACCAAGTATATGTTCTATGAGTGTTTGTGTTAAGCCATCTACGTTTGACTAAGCCTATTCAGTGTGTCAGATATACCCGACCTCGTAGTATGTGTACGGGTATATAGTATCTTTAATTCGATGTAAACCTGAAGTGCAAGTCTATACGTAATCACTTATTGACTTATACAGTTTAGTTTACATATACAGGGTACCTTTAAGTTAATTGTAAGTGTACCTTTAAGTTAATTATAACTCCAGAAAATAGAGTCTTGTGCAAGTATTATTTACTCACTTGCTTTTGTGTAAAGAAGGGGCGGTGAGGTAACCTAGTTGTTATAGCGTTAGCTGAGCACGTCAAAGACACGGGTTCGATTCCTACCATGGGTACAATGTATGAAGCCCATTTCTGGTGGCCCCGCCGTGATATTGCTGGAATATTGCTAAAAGCGGCTTAAAACTAAACTCACTCATTGTAAAGAATGTCTGTTAATCTCCAACAAATATACCCGAAATGGTGAGGTAATGTTGAATGATTGTGTTCGTTGTTTAATGCTGCACTGATCAGTGTGCTGAATTAAATGGAGTCTGGACCAGACAATCCAGAGATAACATGAGTAAAGATCAACCAAAGTACTTACCGGAATTACCATAAGCGTGAAAATGTAGTGTAGCAAATGTTCATACAAGCTGTCCCCCCAAAATATCAGTGAATACGTCACTGTATCCTATTGTTACATCTAGTTAGTCACATTCCCACCACTAGATACTTTGATTATCAGTTAAAGAACATTAATTATAAGTTAAACCTACAAAATTAAGATAGACTATATCTTGTCCAAGATATTTTTATGGATTAAACGTCTATATAATTTCCCTCACGACGTATATTATAAAGAAGTTAAATCCTTAAAATTACTTGGACATCAATGTACAACTTCTAAATGCCACTGAAAGACTCATATGTTCTTGGTGAAGCTGCCCTGACGACCATGCTTCCATGATTTTGTGTAAACCATCAAATACGAAATAAATATTTTCTTGCAGAAAATGTCTTTCCTGTCACTTAAAGCAGGAATGCCTTCAATAACGGGCAACGTGGATAGTGACGATGACGAGATACCCCCTCCTGAGGTTTTTGCAAGAGGTAATTTCTTCACATTTGTGGCTATATATCCCGTATGTAGTGTGTGTGTGTGCTCGCGCGCGTGCGTGCGTGCGTGCGTCTGTGCGTACATGCATATGGATGCATGCCACAGGGTACCATAAGGTGTAATGAACACATATTCAATGTTCAGTGAGAAATGCTTATGGAAGCATTCTAAATTTGTAAATTTTTCAAACATTTACATCCTTTTGAAAATTATGTATCATATATAAAAACAAGGGTATATGTTTTCATATGCTCATGGTACTGGTATAAGTAAAATATATTTCCACCATGTGAATTATCGCATGATATACCAAACCTTGAATGCCTGTGATTTTATGAATAACGCCCTATGAGAGTGGATTAAAATGTCCTTGGGTTTGCAATATGCAGCGGATACTGAGCTGCTACTTAATTCACGAAAATGCTACTGGCAACTACCCGTTGCCATTGCGATAAATAGCTATTGCAGTACGGCCCTGACAGAACACATAATTACAAGCAAAGCTACCGTTATTTGGCGACTACCGCTCTGCCATAGGCATTTCGCTGCCACCACTTCTGCCCTGATGGAACTACCACTGCCCAACACAGATAGCAAAGGTGCCTACGATCGCTGCGGACCCCTATTGTGACAACTACTTCTGTGGACCTAAATGTCAATAACCGCTGGCAATATATGTGGCAATTGGTTGCCAATGTAAACTATTTTATGTTAGGTTATGTTTATGTTATTATTCCACGACTGAAAAGTCGTGAAAGACCAGTTTTCCAATGCAGGTAACCTTACATGTGAGTATTAATTTGAAAGTAAGTAATTTGTCACAAGCAACGCTACCCTAACCCACAGCCTCATAGGACGCAGAGATAGTATAGGAGCCCAGCTAGAATAAGGGAAAGATGCTAACCTGCAGCATCCATTGTCTGTAAAAGTACATAGTGTTTTTTTTTTTATCCCCCAACGCGTGTTTAGCGTCCATCCGTACGTACGTACGAATTGGAATATCTTAAGAACCGTTCACTGGATTCTTTTCATATTTGGTACCTAGGTTTATCACAGTAAAAGAAAGGTCCCAGTCAGGTTTGGTGACCTTGACCTTCATTTCAAGGTCACAAGGGGACTTTAATGTTTTACCATTGTCAGCGAGATATCTCAACAACCGTTCACTGGATTTTCTTCATATTCAAGACCAAGCTTTATCTAGGGAAGGCGCAGGGCCCAGTCGATTTTGGTGACCTTCACTTAATTTTCAAGGTCACGGCAACACTTTGAAGATTTCAGCACGTTAAACAGCATGTTAAGCTTGTCAGCGAGATAATCAAGAACCGTTCACTGGATTTTGTTCATATTGGACATCACGCTATATTGAGGAATGGCCCAGGGCCAGTCGATTTTGCTGACCTTCACATAATGTTCAAGGTCTCAGTGGCACTTTAAAGATTTCAGCATGTTAACCTGCATTCAAGATTGTCAGCGAGATATCTCAAGAACCATTCACTGGACTTTCTTCTTATTTGACATCAAGCTTCATCTGGGGAAGGTGCAAGGCCCAGTCGATTTTGCTGACCTTCAAATAATGTTCAAGGTCTCAGTGACACTTTAAAGATTTCAGCATGTTAACCTGCATGTAAGAATTGTCAGCAAGATATTTCAAGAACAGTTCACTGGATTTTCTTCATAGACTTTTAAGACTTTCCTTGAATGTTTTTCAATAAGCAATTTCTTTATTACTATTTTTGCATATTTCATACACTAAGACATTCATGTCAAGGTCAAAGTGAGTCTTGAAAATATTTGTGCGTTTGAAAAACTAAAGAGTAAGATATCAAGAGCGGTTGACTGGTTATATTTTTGTTGACATTTAACTTCATCTTAAATAAAGACCTTCACGTTCATTACTTTTTACGTTTGATTTAATAATATGCGGCGGGGGATTATGTCACCTTAGTGACAATGCTTGTTCTCTGTGATGGACACCTCGCCAATACCATGATATAGGGATGTGGCACAAACTTTTTCGTATGGTTGCATCCACTTGATCTTGATTGGATCCATAACATCGTGCAACTAGCGCTCGGGCAGCTTTGCCAACACATTAAATTCATTGGTAGCTGGAATTGCAGCAATCTGACTTCAACCGGCCCCATTGTTGTATGAGGTGCTCTGCTACCCAGGACATCGCTGCAGGTGTGGTTCAGATGGCACTGATTGCCCTTGGAGAGTAGTTGGAGCTGCTGTTGGTTACGAGAAATACTGACATTATGGATGGAGGAATCTGGTTGGAGGGACCAGTGTGGACCTACCTTAAAGAACCTAAAGAAAGTTAAGCCATATAATGTGGTCGTGAAAAAGACATACGCCTTCAAGTTTCTTGGTTACTACCTGCAGCAGATTAGATAGGTTTCCTGTGCCCCATTTGTTTGGAGGTATTGTTACAGTAGTCTACTATGTTCCTGCCTCAGATCAGCCATGCGTTGAATCGGAAAGATTTTGGTACCGTTCCGCGTCTGATGCTGCAGCCTGAAAGCAGTTCTGATGAAACTTCATCACTCTGGGGGCTTTGGTAGACTGTTTATTATTGCAACCACTGCTTGATTGTCGCAGTGGAAGAGGAGATTCTTGTTTGCAAGTTGCTGGTCCTTGTGTTGGATGGCCAGTGTAATGGAGAACAGATCCAAGAGTCATGTCACGTATTGTTGCCTCAACCATTCGTTAGACCAACAGCTGTTAAACTATTTGCCCTGGTGAAATTGTTGCTTACCTTTGCTGAGCAGGTTGATTAGCCAGCGACTTAAATTTGCCGTTAGTAAAGGCTTGCACGTAAAGTTCAACTTGTCCATGGGGACTGAGATGCACTTTTGTCACCTTTGTGTTACCAATTAACAAGATGTCTTGGCCATTTCTGCTGCCACCTCCTTGCTCTTGGACTCTGGCATCCTGATCTGCATTGCATTAATGTCAATGTCCAGCCCTAAGAATGTAAGTTGAGTTTTGGTGGTCTTGTCACTGGCAACACATTGTGCAAATGCACCTGTTCAAGCATTGACTGATGCCTGCTCTGCTCTCTTCTGTTAGAAAGTAGTCAAGGTAATGAACTTGACGCATCGATGTGGGATTGCATGCATCATTGCAAGAAGGTACTAAATTGTTCAAAGATATGGAACAGCTGAAGGGAGTGCATTTATGGAGATACCTGAAGGTAGTCCAGGGTCCCGGCTAGGGACACCTTTCTTTTATACACTGTTTTCTGCTGAACCTGCTGTTTCTTGATGCATTACTGACTACAGATTTTGAAACCTGTACTAACACTTCCTAACACATTATTTACTTTGATAGATTGGATATCGCCAGGATACCATTTCATTATGTTCAATGGAGGAAGGAGCCATTGAAATTACCTCCCAACTGGTTTCCTGTCCCGGAAGGATACTTTGAGTTCATATGGAGTTTGTTTGACTGATTCCCTGGCATACTGCATTTGTCGGAGGGTTCTTATAGTTGTGCTTGCTACAACCAGTTCCCTGATCACTGTGCCCTGTCCGCCCGACTCTTGGTGCCTTACCAGTTGCGTGACCAAATTTACTAAACAATTCCGCTAATGTAGTAGCCAAATTTGATTGTCCTCGGCATGTGGCACCACACATGTCTGTCTTGACCTGGGCAATCAAACATCTCATGACATGACACAGCCACAACAGACTGGCCAACCTGGAGCATGCCAATTGCACATTCACATTCAACATTTTTAAGGCGTGGCATAAGGATTGATTATCAAGGATTGTAAATATGTTTTGATAATCACCAGCACATTCTGCGCACGGTGGTGGTTAAACACATGAAAGGTCACGTGACCCGCACATTTGCGTGGTCGTGTTTTTACAAAGTAGCTTGCTGCATGCACCCCGCGTGGTTCACCACAGTTGAACTGGTCAAATTCGTCAGGTTAGACCTGGCCATCATGGCATGCGCCTATATTGACCACCTTGTACTACACATATTCAATATGTTTCATTTCCCCAAGTGTTAAGATTCTTTGTTTGTTCAGTATACTTCAGCCACAGCTAACTGTCCATGTTATCCAAGTGGCATGTAGGGTCATTTGACATTCTGTGCCAAAATTGCTGGCTGTATGTTGAAAACGCACCCCACCCCCATCCACCACAACTGAGCATTATCGTCCTGATTGTTTCCATGCATTGTGAAGCAATTCACAATGCATGCATTCGATTCCCCACATGGGCACAATGTGTGAAGCCCATTTCTGGTGTCCCCCGCCGTGATATTGCTGGAATAGTGCTTAAAACGGCGTAAAACCATACTCACTCACTCCATGCATTGTGTGAACTTCGAAATGCCTGCTAAGTGCTAACACATTCATGTGACCATTAATTAAGCACAACCCTGAATCAAAGGGCAATTTATTTTAGATTGGTCCAAACAGGTGATCTTACCATAGCATACAGGCATGCACATGCAAAACATCTCAAACGCTATTGGTGGCATGTTCATGAGGCCACAAAGCACATTGGGGTATACATTTCTTAATTGTGGTATCCTACAGGTTTTTTTAACTGATTCAAAATACAACAGCAGTAAAAATGGACTTTCAGATAACACACAATTTATTGGCATGTATGGTGCACGGCTGTCCTGTTGCAACATCCGTCCTCACTTTATCATTAGCCACACGGCTATTTGTCCACTTGTGAGGAAGCACGTGGACAATGGTGAAATAAAGGATTGTACAAGACCTGGAAGACATAGTAATGCAGGAACGTCTACCAACGTCGTGCAGGCTCCGAGAAAACAGCAACCTCAGAACATGTGTTTATTGGTTTGCTGAAAGTTGCTATCTTCCGTTGTGGCAAATAGACACGTCGTAATGAGGCCTATCATCAGGAGATGATCCATGCAACTGGACCCCCGAATGATGGTGTGGCGTTGTGTTTCGTATGACTGCAGTTTGGATCTCATCACAGTACCTATGGCACGCAGTGGTCAACATTATGCCATCATGTCACGCTCTTATAACCACCCCTTGCCAGCTGTCCGATGTTCATGAATGACAATGCAAGACTTCACTGGCAGAACAAAGTCATCAAAACATTACCATGGCCCAAAAGTGTCCTGATATGAACCCCATCAAACAACAAGTTCGAATTAGAAACTCTCTTGATGCAGGAACTCCATGAGGGAGCTTGTTCGACACATATTCTGTCAGTGTTGGCAGACATCCACTCATCCGCTGTTCTGTTTATCTGCATGATCATGACAGCTGTCTCATGAGGTATTCCTTGATGCTGATTGATTAATTGTTTCAGAAATACAGCTCACTCTACCCCCATATATACTAGGCGTCATTAATAACGGGCCAAATGATATATAGCACATGTAAAGAAATATTTCTCAGAAATAATAGAACTAAGAGTGTCATCATAATGTTTAATGTATTGACAAGGTGAAACATCGTGACATACAGACAAAAAGTTTAAACAGCACTAGCAAACATCAGTTGTATAGAACCCCTACCCCCCAAAAAATGAAAATGACAAAGAGTGAAGCACTCGGTCATTCAATATCTTGTGTACCCTCCAAGACACAGGTGCACCTTGTTCTCATGCTCCTTGTCAAGGTCATAAAGAAAGCTTGCGGAAACACATTCCATTCCTCTACTAGAGCGACTTGCACGTGCAAATCCTTGACATTAAGTGGCAGGTGGATTTCATATTAACAATTTGGAATAAATGTGTCATTTGTAACAGAATGGATCGGACGTTAAAGAACGCAATAATGACGTTTCAACGGCCTGATGTGTTTTTTGTAAATCATTCAGTTGTATATATACTGGACAAAATAAGTTATTGGTATTTTTATGATTGATATTTTATCAGTGTGTCAATGATGTGGTGTAATGATTTTAGGGGGTGGGGTGGGTTTTTTTTGTTAAATGAATTTTGTACCTTACATGCGGTGAGGGGGAGGGTGTGTGTTGTCACTTACCTTCCACATACATTTTAGGGGGGTCATTCACATTGTACATGCTTTTCCATTAAAATCATCATCACCCCCACTAGCCATAAATATGAACGGCCCCTAAGGTACTGTTGGCACCTTAGAAGTGACAATTTAAAGGTAGCCGTAAACCCGAATTTAGATTTTACCATTAGAGTTTGCAAAAGAAATTACATTTATTTTCATATTTTTCACGCTTCCAAGTAATTCCTTTGTACTTTTAGATATTCAAATTGAATCCATCTTTGATTGGATGCAGTTGCTTCTTCTGATATCAAATTTCGAGTGTAAATGTGAAAACTGTTTGTATTCAGTGATATGAAGTGGATCTCGGTTCAGTTACTATATTCCACCTGTCTTCGTGTTGAATGAAACTTCGTTTTTTGTTTTTCCTAAGGGGCATTGCCACCTAGAATCAGGATGAGAAACAACTCGGTCCTTCAAATGGCTATTAGTGTTTATGACATCAGAGAAAAGAATGCAGTTGTTCAAAGCAAAGAAGAATATGTGGACATTGCTATTGATCCTACCACTGGTATTCCAGACAAAAACAAATTAGATCTGGCTGCACGTTATGGCCTGAATGAAGAATTTGTCTATTCTTCCCCGAATAAGGATTGTTTAGTCCTACATGACAACACAGACTTACTGATATTTTTTATAAATTTCCACATGAATCAGGAAGAGGATTTTGCATTTCCACTTGGTCAGTTTCCTCCAGTTCCGCAATCAAGACACTCTGTAGGATGTATTGGTCTTGTTCCAAACACCTCCATCGGTACACTGAAAACAGTCATACGTGATGATAAACTGTTTAATAAAGACAAATTCCCATGTCTGTTTCTTAAAGGAAAACGGTGTGATGAAGAGTCATCAATGGTCGGTTCACACTTTACAAATGGAGATGTTGTTGCATGTTATGCCAAATCAGATGTGATGATACAATGTTTCCATATGCCAAGGTTAAATGTGGAACACAAGTATGAGTTTGCATGTTTCAATACAGATAATGTTGGGGAGATGAAACAAGCATTCAAAAAATCTTTCTGCAGTGAGTTTCCAGGCCTTGCTACTGGCATTGATGATGTCTGGTTTTCTGTTGGCAAACAACTGTTGAAAGACGAAGAGTATTTCTCCCTTAATCATCAGAGAAGAAGGCTAGTGTTACAGATGGGACGGCTAGTTTTGCATGTTAAACAAGCAAGTTCATTTCCGCTTACATTGAAAATGAATTCCCATGAACATTCATCTCAGATCATGCTGATCTCAGCTCCCGTCACGACAGCTGAACTCCGACAAGAAGTTTCGCTATTGATCAAACAGCCACCTAATGCCCTGCATCTGTACACACAAAAAAAGAAACTGAAAGAAATGTTGTTAACGGAATCTGTTGGTATCCATCCTATGGGTGTAGTGTTGGTAAAGGTTGCAAAGAAAATACAGGTCTTGGTCTCATTGAATTCTGATGGATCAACACAGAAAATTGCTCTTCAACTGTTCAAGCTTGACTCTGTACTGCGACTAAAGGAGATACTACAGGAGCATGCATATGCAACAGTCTCACAGTTACAGTTGTTCTTCAATCAAAATGAACTTGAAAATGAAAGGTTGATGCAAGATTACCGCATAAGGGAAGATGACATCATTTCTGCATGTGTATTTTCAAAGCCAGAATTTATCCTGGTGCGACAGCCTGGGAGGGAACCTCTTCACCTCACCATTGATGGATTACAATATACCATTGGGAGACTAAAGCAATACCTTGCACATGTACTGGGATGCAGTTATGTCATGATAAACATGATTCACAGAGGTAGATGTCTTCCGGATGATGACACTTTAGAACACTGTGGACTTGTATCTGGAAGCACTGTACTGATCCCAAGACTTGCCAAACAAGATCAGTCAACAAATGAAAGAATACTTGAAGTGTTTATTTCGCAAGCAGATGGCACTTTCCAAAAAGCATTCGCCAAAGAAGCAGCAGGAATTTTGTTTTATGGTAAGTTGTTCTATTCCTTGTTAATCTTGCAATATAATCATCATTATTATATTTTTTTTATTCTTCATACACACGCGCACACGCACGCACACACACACTAGGACAGGTTATATTGCTGAAAGATTCATACATCATTCCTTTGAAAATCCGAGAAGGTCGGGTATGAATTGGTCTTCAGTAATATATGCTTGTCGTAAGAGGCGACTAACCGGAACTTTAGGTATAACTACATCTATTTCCTTGTTTTTCACACTCTTTTCTTTTTTTTTTTTTGGTTTTTTTGTAAAGCAAAAATGTTCCCATCTGTTACGCTTGTTACACACTACATTTACCATTCATCAAATTGCAGAGGTTTAGCTGATAAAAACAAGAGAAATGAAGTTTTGAACTTGTCAAGAAAAAAAATACTAAATTATTTGTCTACAAGACATTCATATTTCACCCGAAAATGTGAATACTATGAAAAGTGAGTGGGGTCTGCAATGTATAATTGCTTCCTATAAATCTAACGCAAGAGGCGTCGCAATACTTTCTAATAATGATATTGACTACACTATCCATAGAACAATTATCGATGAAAATGGAAATTATATCATTGCAGATCTAACTGTAGAAGATAAAAGAATTACACTTACCAATCTCTATGCACCTAATAACGATAACCCAAATTTCTATAAAGACATATTTGAAAATATTCATGATTTTGGAAATGAATCAGTTGTCATTGTGGGTGATTGGAACTTAGTCCTAGACCCATCAATAGACTTAGAGAATTACAGACACATAAATAACCCCAAATCTAGATAAGAGGTATTGAACTCTCTGGAATATAACAACCTTTTCGATATTTGGAGAGAATTAAATCAAAGTGAAAAGAAATATACGTGGTGGAAATAAAATCCAGATACTAAAGTAGATTAGATCTTTTCATTATTTCACAAGACATATGTGACTGGAGTCCAATATTTTACCAGGTTATAAATGTGATCATTCTACTACAATTTCCCTATTTTGTTTCAAACTCTATTAATCAAGAAAGAGGGAGAGGTTATTGGAAATTTAATAATTCCTTGCTTCTAAACCCAGATTATGGAAACTTAGTTAGAAATATAATAAAAGAAACCATTGATGAAAACACAATATCCGAACCAGTCAATTATGATAATCAAAGGAATTACAGCTTAAGATTGATGATAGCTTATTTCTAGAAACCCTGCTAATGAAAATAAGGGGTAAGAGTATATCTTATTCTACATATCTTAAAAAAATTAAAAAAGAATATAGAACTGATGAACTAGAATCTACAATAAAGGCTCTTGAGCAAGATATAAGAACAGATTTTCAAAGCATCAGTGAAAATTTGCTAGGTGAACTTTTAAAACACAAAACTGAACTTGAACAAATAAGAGAAGAAGAAATGAGAGGAATATCAAAGAGAAATAGACTGCTCTGGTATGAGGAAGGTGAAAAACCAACAAAATATTTTTGTCACTTGGAAAACAGAAACTATGTTAATAATTCTATTAATAAACTTCGGTCAAGCAACAATGAGGAGTTAACAGATAGTGATTCTATACTTAATGAAGTAAAATCCTTCCATAAAAAACTTTATTCTGCTGATAAACAAGACGAAAAATACTTTACCGCCCTAGATCATTGTAACACCAACCCTCAATGATGAATTAAGAAACAATTTGGAAAAAGAAATTGATATGAATGAAATTTCCTATGCAGTTAAGAGTATGAATAATAACAAAAGCCCCGGGAATTAATGGATTCCCAATTAATTTTTTTAAATTCTTTTGGAAGGAACTCAAAATTTGGATCTTAAGATTTGTCAAAAATATTTCAGAAAAAAAATCAAATGTCTATAACTTTGAAAAGAGGAGTTATAACTTGCATACTTAAAGCTAACAGAGATAAAACACTTTTGAAAAATTGGAGACCTATTACTTTATAGAATGCACTCTATGAAATTATTAGCACTTGTATGACTAACCGTTTGAAGAAAACCCTAGATTCCCTAGTACATGCTAACCAAACAGGCTTTATCCCAGGTAGAACTCTTAGTGAAAACACAAGATTACTATATGATATAATGTTTGAAACTAATAAAAGAAATATGTCAGGGCTAATTCTCCTAATAGATTTTGAGAAAGCTTTCGATACAGTGTCCAAAGAGTTCTTGAATATTGTTTTAGCTAAAATTGGTTTTGGGCCTTAAAAAAAGTTGGATAAATATACTCACATATGAAACAACATCAAGTGCCATCCAACATGGTAAACTCTCTGATTGTTTCGTAAATGAACGTAAATGCAAGCAAGGGGACCCTCTGCCACCGTACCTCTTTATTTTTGTCGCTGAAATACTTGGTTGTATGATTAGAAGTAATGAAAACATAAAAGGTATTGTTATTGACAATAATGACTATAAATTAAACCAATATGCAGATGATACGGAACTATTTTTTTGATTGAAATGAACAAACTTAAAGATTGCTATTGATGAAATTAATACATTTTATAAACTGTCAGGACTTAAAATAAACATCGATAAGACAAAAGCAATATGGATTGGCTCAAAGAGAAATAGTATGGATATACTATGTAAAGACATTAAAATAGAATGGCAAAAGGGTGTGTTTGAAGTCTTGGGAATTAAATTCCACACAGATCTTAACAGCTTATGGGTAATCAATACAAGAAAAAGACTAGATGAGATAAACAGATTGCTTTCACAGTGGAGGAAAAGACACTGACTGGTAAAATAACTGTCATAAAAACTTTGGCTTTGTCAAAACTTGTTCATATATTCAATACTCTGCCTAATCCACCTAAAGACTTCATTACTTCATTAAAAATAGCTTTTTCAAATTCATATGGAATGACAAACCTGATAAAATCAAAAGGAACAATTTGAAGAGATTTGGTTGACACTGTAACTATTTGTGAAGCTTTGAAACTAGCTAACCTGAGATCACATTGTAGAAAAACAACAGTTGAAAATACCTGTAATATATCGTTTTGATGTCATTTTAAAATCTGGTGCAAATGTTGATCAAGTAACTCACATCGATAACCCTTATTGGGAGGATGTTTTGAAAGCTTGGAACAAATATTGCAAAAAAAGTCATTTGAATTCTGGTAATATTTATGAAATCCTAGCCCAACCACTATGGTTTAACCATAATTATAAAAACCCAACACATTACAATAAACACTGGGCAAGTAAAGGCATTCTTACAATTAAGGTCTCTTTATCTTTTGACAAATTAAAGGAAATGTATGGCATTAAAGGCACATAAGTGGACTATTTGCATGTTTTGAATATACTACCTTATTCTTGGAAATATACTATTAGACACTCTAGAACATCCCAGTTTTTTATTTACTCATAACTGAGTGTCATTTGACTTTATTGAATCATGCAAAGGCTCTAGAATATTTTATGACGCCATGATTTCCGATGAAGATTTACCTAAAATGTGTCTTAAAAGGCAAGAATCTTTCGCTAATGTTACTTTTGATTGGAATAAGATTTTTACGACTTATAGAAATGGTTTGAAAGATATCAAACTACTTGATTTCCAATACAAGTTTATACATGGTATTATCTATGCTAAAAATGAAACTTGTTGACAATACTGTTTGCAGTTTTTGTTATGAGCTGAATGAGAATATTTGTCATGTTTATTGGGAATCTCAACTTAATGTAGGAAGGACTGATATCATAATATCAATACTGTGTATGTGTTTCTTATGCATTTAGCTCCAGGGTCCGTCCATTCTGACAGATTTGAGAAACATGCCATGAAGAGCGTTGCTCAAGATGAAGATTATCGACGGGGCATCATGTTACGGAGGTTGTGTGAAGGCATCCACTCCGAGTCTTATAATCCCAAGCCCATTCACAAGAGTGAACTGCTTCATCAGCATGGTTCTGGACCATTAACATCAACATTTGATTCTCTTGCAAAAAGGATAAGCTCATGTACTGATCAAAGTCCACGTGTACGTGTACATCCAGACATAACTGGTTACCATTCTAACCCAGAATCACTTCCATTGAAGAGATTCACCTACTGTAAAGAGCTGAGCGAGCACAGTGGACGTTACTTTCTACGAGAAGAGTCAACATTAGCTGTTTCCAAGTCTAATGCTGATGAAGTATTTGCTCATACTCCAAGTGTCATGTCTCCAGTCATGTCTGGTTCCCCGGAACATGCGTTTCACAGGTTGCCAAGTCTACAGAGTCCTGTTGAAGGTAAGTTCAAGTCTATAAATCTCCTATCCCTTGGGTATTTGGGGGTAAAATTGTCAATTCATGTGTGTCCTGATCTCTGGGGCTGGTTGTTCATCATGCTGGTGGCTCGATTATTTTTTTGTGTGTGCTGCAGTTGGAGTTAATGGATTTTGCAGTGGAAAACAACTTACCCCTTCTCTTTATTGCTGTCCGGAGAGCGGAAGGTCGCGGGTTCGATCCCCGACCGCGTCATACCAAAAGACGTTAAAATATGGTACTTGTTGGTCCCTGCCTGCTGCTCGGCATTAATGGGTACAGCAAGGACTAGTCGGCTCGGAGTCAGTATAATGTGTCTGAGTGGGGTATTCATGCTTCACTGCGGCATGGTATCTCAGTGGGCTAGCACTATAAAACCAGCTCCAGTCTGGGCTAGTACAAACAGCCGCACCTACACATACACACGCATGCACGTCGTCATATGAGCGAAATATTCTCAAGCACGACGTTAAACCCAATTTCACCTCACCATATCGCCTTTATTGCTGTTCACCGGGAACAGGGCTTGCTACGACAAGTTAAAGTTGGTTGTGAGCATCTATTAATATAACTAATACACATCATTCTGGCTGCTTTCAAACATTGCCATAACACATAGCTACTATAATTAACAACACCATAGTTGAAGCTGATGTATAAACTATTTATCTGATTCACCTGTAACGTTGGAATAATTACTTCCGGGAATGAAAGTTATCTCCCTTACACCACTGCCTGCTGTATATCGAACCCATTAACATTCTAGTTTTGTGAAATGAAGGGTTTAAGAAGATACAGAAACATATTAATAAAGACAAGGCATACATTGAAAGATTATATTCAATGAAGTCGTTTCGTGGATGTCAAGTGAGCATGTACTTGTGAATAGAAACCTTCCTGAACGTAGACACTGAGACTGACGCATTCGGTGAGGGAGTGACTTCTTATATGCCACTTTTAGCAATATTCCAGCAATATCACGGCGGGGGACACCAGAAATGGGCCTCACACTTTGTACCCATGTGGGGAATCAAACTTGGCCCTCGGCATGACAAGCGAAACTTTAACCACTGGGCTACCCCACCACCTCACGTTCAGTATGAAGGGTCATAATAATATATACATTACATACAGCATAGAACAATCTCATACTATGGCATATTGTTTTACTGGATGAATACACCAACGTATAGCAGATTTCATGTGTCATGACGATTTGCACATATTTTTCAGAAGTTTTGCACGAATGTCAATGTAGTATGATTTAAATATTGTTATCGTAATGGAGTGGTGTTCATTTTTACGTTGTTATTGTTTTCATGACATAATTTTCAGTGACAGTTTTCATGACGGGGAACGTTGAAATATCTCCAAAACTCTGCTCAAAAGTTGGCGAATTGTCTTAAGTAATAACACACTTGATGTTTCAGCTATATCCTTAATGGAATAGCACTTGACGGTGTTTGGTTTGCAATTCATCACGTGGCACCCAACATCAGAAGGACTGGTATAATGTGATTGGGGATCCAGTTCAACCTGTTATAGCACATACTGATTAGAAAATAATATTCATACGGATGTTTGTAATATGTTTTCTTAATTTTGCCTCTAATTTCATTCAATCTCACCATTTTTCAATGAACCGTTGTAGAGTGTAGATAGGGGAGGTAGCTGACAACGGATTAAGATCACAGGCCCTCTTGCCTTTGTTAGGATTAAAGATTAAAACATGTTTTTAGATGTCCCCCCAATACAAATGCTACACAGTACAATACATCACGACAAGGCCGGACACTTCGGTGTACCCCACCGGCCTGCTTTGCCGATCGCTACGCTACCATCGCATGCAATCGATTAAAACTTTATGTGAACATAATCATGGATGATTGACCTATCGATCACTTATGACACCTATCAGTTCTCTATTGTTATTTCTGCAAGTAGATTTAAACCCAATTTTGACCATTAACTAAACGATCTAGTCACAAATGGATGACAATATGTCCGCACAAAACGGGTGTGTGTGGTCGAAGCAAGCCCTCTGATTGGTCAACGCTTGTAAATGTGCACATTCTAAATAAATTCGCGGGAATTTGTACTTTCATCGATTGCTTGACTTGGAAATGTAAGAATTTTTTTCCAGCAAGGCTTCTCAAAACAAAGCATCAGTTGTAAATGTATCCTGAACAAGCATCGTTTTGTGCGGACATGAGTGGTGATCGATAGGCCAATCATCCATGATTAAATCTAAATTTTAACAATCTGAACGTCAACTCGTTGATAACAACGAATAAGCAAATAAGTGTCATGAAAAGGTGCCAACATGCAGGGCATAGCAAGACACTTAATTGATTCCCCAACCCCAGTATATTAAAGTTGGAAAGGGGAAAAGGAAGTATGAAGAAAAAGTAAAATATCTGGGTGAGTCATTAATAATCTATTCAAAGATAGGAATGTTAACATGGTAAGCCATTGCCAAAAACGTTTAGTGCTTTCATCTAACGCTGAGAACTAAACTCTAGGTACCTGAAGTATGCTGAGCTTTTCCAAAAGCCTATGTCCTGAATAGGTTCTCCTGGCATATATTCCAACATTAAATGGCCAACTGGCACCACCGCGCCTGAATGAGTGTCCAGTTTTGTTCACAGTGACACCATGTGAATGTAGTATTTCGCGCAGTGTTTTAAGAAAGACATAGAAGGACAAAGGCGTCCTGTCATTATTACACAACAGCGGCTGTGTAGCAGTGACGTGCCTGTGGTGCTGCAAGAGACATCTCATGGCTGCAGCTGGGTTGAGAGGATGACTGCCAGTGTCCGGCAGGAAAACATCAAGTAATGTCTCTCGGAATTGCAATGGTTTTGTCTATTTCAAAGAAACACGTTAACCTGTGTGCATAGGGCAAACATCAAACCCAGTTATATGCTTATTTGGATCGAATTTTGACCCGTACAAAATATTTCCCGGACGCAAGTTTCCGTAGAATCCAAGGCAACATTCCACTAATATAGATGAGCTAAACAAAGATTTGAAGTCCAGACTTCCTTTCAAGAGAAGTAGGTTTTCAGGGGTGATCGGAGTAGCGTAAGACTGAGAAGTTCACGCTTGACTCCCTTCAAGAGATCGTTTAAATGCCAATTGGCCTTTAATGGATCATCAAAACCATTAGCCTTGTGTACATTACTAACAGCATTCAAATATTGGATGAATATTTCATCTTCTTGAAGTCAACTAGGTATGCAACGTATAGAGCAATTGTATCAGAGGACATTGGTACCAGATTCCCTCCAGTTAAGTCACAAAAGTCCACGAGACATTTCACCTGGGACTTATATGTGCGCTTCGTTGACTCCGACCACCCTTGAGACAAAATTCTGGTTACAGTCTGCTGACTGGACATTGCCTCCACCTGGAATTGATGAACGCAAGTGACATGTGAAAGCATGAAACCTCTTACTTCAAATTACAATGGTGTAGCATATCATATGCACTGCACCAGCTTCCTGGTTCATATAATCTAGAAATACAATCAGGTAGTCTATTCTCGCGCCAGGGAATGTATTCAGCTCTAAGAGCAAAGTTAAAACAAGCTTTTAACCACCAGAGGTACATCAACCACTCCATAACTAATGGAATCCAACATGACCTTTTGTTAATAAAACCCATTGCTACCTGATTGTCAGTTCTTACAACTTTTCTCTGTTTTTTCCACAGATGACACCACCTACAGGCGGTCAGTATAATGGCCAAAGTATCATTAATATTTAAATACAGTTATAACGTTAAAAAAAAAACACAGCCACCACTGGATATCCACACTGAAACTTTCATCAAGTTTGCATCGTCCCTGTGTTGATTGGATAGAATTATTTAGATCAATAACCCTTCGTAAAAACTACGCAACTGCAAGTTTGGAACAGGTTATCACATACTTACACAGATCTGGTTCCTCACAAATTTGTTTCTCAGTTTTTTACCATGGTAGGAGTTATGATTTTTAATAAACACATCCAATAAAGTAACGTTATCATGTTCCACTAATTTGAATCCATGCTTTATTCCTTTATTCTCTGTCTGGGTCCCCCCTTGGTAACCATTTATGCCAAGCCCCTTTCTTTAGTGATTTTGTGTCATGGGGCTCGGGTAGACTGCCAGGTCCAGCACTCCTGTTGACTGGAACCTGGGGGTTGTGTTGATGGGTCGAGTGTCCTTCCTGGCGACACACCAGAAAAAAAGAGCAAGTCTACATAACTCAGGCCGGCTGCAGCTGACATAGTTGAAGCAGCAACAGATTTCTCTCCCATCACCTATGAACGGACCACGTGACCTTTGACGCTTTGAGTTACCGTCCTGTTCCATATGACGCAGTGCTTTCGCGGTGGTAGAATTAGGCCTGGGTACAGGTTGAAAGTCTCTGATTTCCTGGTAGGGTTTTCCGCATGGAACCCCTCCTCGTGCTGCCTCTGACGATATTCATTGTCATACAATAGCACGCTGCCCCACACATACCTGGACGGTAAACGTACCGCATCCTGCATGTATCTCAAATAGTCTAACCCCCTGCGAGATCAGCCTCCTTCTTCTGAATCATGTCCTTCAACACACCAATGCTCGCATGTGTCCACATTTCTTGTGTCATCTTCCCTATATTCAAAGTAATACCCTCGCCAAGATCTATTGTTTTCCCCTGAACGTCTAAAGTATCTTCCCACGTATAATTGGCAAGTTTTCTTAGTTTCCCTGACTTCTTACTCACATCATTTGTCACACACCGCGAGCACCGTCAAGCACATCCTACTCCGAGGCGCCATTTTTACCATCTTCAACACGTGGGCTAGATTGACCAACCACTAACTCCTTTTTAAGGCGCCCCACCTCCCTTCCGAGTTTCATCTGCTCGGTTTCCATCATGTTTAAGTCCTGCATTCCTGCGTTTTGGCTTCACATCGGCAATCACAAACCACTTGGTGACCGTAAACAAACAATTGACAAAATAGCAAACGCTGGACGACAAACACCATGCGAGCGCGAAACCAACGTGACTGAAATGCGAAAGGGAGGTAACTCTAATAAAACTAGCGTGATAATGGAAAGGGAGGTCACTCGTGACTAAAGTATCAAAATATATCTTACTGAGGTAAAACATTACTAAGTTTTAATCGATTGCATGCGATGGTAGCGAAGTGTCATGATTTATTGTACTGTGAAGCATTTCCAGTTGGAGTCATTTCAATTTTATTATATGTTTTTTAAATATTTAATCCTCGCAAAAACATGAGGGCCTCTGATTAAGATCTCCATCAATACATTAATTCTGAAAATATTTGAGAAAGTTCAAGTGCCTCAACTGTATGTTGTTGAAAATTGAGATTTTGATTTGTGCCAGCCCTGCAAAAGGTCATCTGCAAGTCTTAGTTGAAATTCATACTGAAATGTGTTAACTTCACTAAGGTTGTGTCCACATTGTCCCAAATCCTAAACAGATGTTTTTGACTGATGTTTCCCCTGATAAAGTAGTGTTTCAATAATTGATAATATATAAGGTGTATTCTTTTTGCAGCAATTCGGGACACTGTACTACTTGCAGTTGCAAAAGAACTTGGCAATGACTGGAAACAAGTTGCCCTGATGCTGGGACTGGAAAACAGCGACATTGTGGATGTAGAATACAGACACAGTGGTCAACTACGTGAGCAAGCATTGCAGGCACTCATACTGTGGAAAAAAAGAAATTCTAGAAATGCAACAATTGCCAGCTTGAAAAACGCACTACATGCTTGTCGTCTGGCTTCGATTGCAGATTCAATTGATGAGAGTATCAAATATGAAACCGTTTAAGCCACTTAGATGAATAGCAGAATTGCTTCTAGTCTGTGGTATATTTAGGTCTAAGTGGATACTAGAAAATGACTTGCAATTTTTCCAAAATTTAATTACTTCAGTAATAGTTGTATTGTAATAATGGGATAACTAACTGGGAACAAATGACAAGTGGTATGTGGATAGATATTATGACGCCAATGATCTTGAAGGTTGGTAGGGATAAAAGTCGAAATTTCACAGTTGATGTTTTAGATCGAAAATGCACAATATTGCAACGATTTGCCAAAGATTAATCTGTCAATGAGACATATTGCAAGTGAGTATCCCATAGGCTATTACAGGCACTCTATCTTGCTCCTCTTGCAGCACTCGACCAAGTTCAGCCAATTTCGCTTTATGCCCTAAACATGTTCAAGTGAGGAAAAGGTCCAGACTGCCCATGCATTGGCTATGGTCCTTGGGTCCATTTCACAAAGTTGTCGTCAGGCTACTACTATTGCATCTGTTACTATGTGACATGGACTAACGACAGTCTTAGTGCTTAGTTGTCAGTCTTGAAATTACATATGTTTTACTTGCCAAACATTCAGGAAACGTTAGATATAGCCTATTCTTTCCTTTAATATGAAGATGTGTATTCCATGTCAATCCCAGTTTACCATGAAACATACTTTTAGACTGTGGATACTGAATTGGTGCGTTGAATATATCATATGTTTCTACTATACTGAATTGGTGTGTTGAATATATCATATGTTTCTACTATAAAACATGTTACTAAGTTCACGGATAAAAAATGCTATCGGTTTTATTTAAAGAAATTGATCTTTATGACAACTATAGATTTGAGCAAAATTGTCATTTTTTAAATTTACTATACAATAACTGATATGTTGTATGATATTTGATGTTATACTTTTACGATTGCTTTTCATGTACATATTATGAATTTATGGTAACTGGTTCTACCTGCGAATAGCAGGGAAGTTGATGATGCAATGTAAAGAAATATTTATTAATTCACTTCTAAGATGCTATCTGTCATTTGAGGAGCCATTTAGTTCTCTTTCTCACCTGCCGCCCTCATGCATTCTGCATTGAATTTTGAATTTTCAGTAAGGGTCTCGTAGCTTCTATTTTCAGCAAATATTATATATCTAATTTAAATAGTTGGCAGTCTACTCTTTTTTTCTTTTTTTATAACAGTTATTGAGCTCATGGCATTGAAACATAACCTGCCAATATATATTTACATATTTTCTTTTGAATTGATTAAACTACATTCATTCTGCATGAACTCATCTAAAGGGCGGTATCTTCTGTCTAACCATCTGTACACCCATCAAGTAAATTCAATAAAAATGGGTGGGAACTACTTTCAGTGTTTACGAACATGGCGTCGCCCATGTCAATATGGGTGATAGTGACAACGTCTTGATGCTTAATGTTCCCGACGTCTTATTTTGGAGTAGCATACCTAAGAACAGAGACCCATTACAGGTGTGGGCAGCATTGGAAACCTAGGCATTAGTCTCTTCCCTTTTGTATTTCTCGAACCTGTTAGAATCCGTCTTCAGCAACCTATGCTTGTAAGAGTTGACGAACGAGATCAGGTGGTCAGGCTCGCTGACTTGATGCACGCCATATAATCCCAGTTGTGGAGATGTTAACTGGATTGTCTGGTCAAGAATCGATTTCCAAAAGACCGCGGTCATGTGCCTGGAAAATTGCTTAGAAAACAAAAACGAAAAAACTTTATTCGGAGAAGCAAACATGGGAAAATATTGTCTCATTTTATAGTGCTGATAACTATGGTTGTATGATGTTAATGAGTGCGGTCATGTTTATTAAGATTCTGGCATACAATCCTCACAAACATCACATAACTATCAATAGCCGAGCACAGTGTTAATATATGGTGAAACCTAGGACAACTGCAATGATATCCCCGACCCTCGTCTTCCCTGACTGTATCAGATGTTGAATATGCTGAATATGCTAGTCAGATCAAAGGCTAAATTGATAGAACAGGGCGAAAAACCAACAAAATACTTTTTGAAGCTTGAAGCCAGAATTTTTAAAAATAAATCCTTTGTAGAATTAGAAAAAGGTGATGGAACAGTGCTAAATGACCTTGGCACTTTATCAAAAGAGGTGAAATCTTTTTATGAAAAACTATATACACAACAAGATGTAAGTCCTATAGATCTAGGTGAACTTTTAAAAGATATTACCATACAAAAACTAAGTCACGAACAAACAACTAGTATGGAAGGCGAATTAACAAGAGGTGAAGTCTTGACAGCCTTAAAAAATATGAAAAATGATAAAAGCCCAGTTCCTGACGGTTTTACAGCCGAAATTTAAATTTTTGGGGGGAATGATCTTGGCGAATTCTTGATTAAATCTCCGAATTTTTCTTTTCGAACTGGGAATATATCTGTCTCCCAGAAACAGGGACTTATAACATGTATTCCTAAAGGAAATAAGCCCAAAAGGTTTTTAAAGAAGTGGCGACCCATTTCGCTTCTAAATATCTCATATAAAATTGCTGCTGCAGCCTGCAGCCATTGCCAACAGAATTAAGCCTATTCTTCCAAGTATCATCAGTGAAGACCAAAAGGGCTTTATCATTGGAAGATACAAAGGAGAAGTAACTAGACTAATTTATGACCTGATGCAACATACCGAAACATATCAAATCCTGGACTACTCCTATTGATTGACTTTGAGAAAGCTTTTGACTCGGTTGACTTGAAATATATTCTCAATTTCTATCACTTTGGACCAGATTTGATTCAATGGGTAAACCTTTTCTATCATGATATTGAATCCAGTGTATTGGTTAATGACTTTGCATCACCCTTCTTTAAAATAACCCGGGGCTGTCGTCAAGGGGATCCTCTATAGCCATATATTTCTTTGGTTTGTGTAGACATTTTGGCCTTAATGATAAAAAATAATAAGTATATAAGAGGAATAAAAATTGATAATATTGAATACATTATGTCACAATTTGCTGATGATACGACGATGACACTGGATGGTTCTGAAAGATGTCTTTATGCTGCTTTAAATACATTACAATTCTTTGCAAGATTCTCTGGGCTAAAAATTAATATTGAAAAAAAAGCTAATTTGGATAGGATACAAAAAGAGATCAAGACTAAAATTATGCAAAGACTGGAATTTCGACTGGCCTCATACTGAATTTACACTTTTAGGTATTCATTTTGACATAGATTTAGAAAGTATGGTTGAAAACAACCCCGTCTGGAATGTCAGTGACGTAACGTTGTCCATTCAGATTATGCCTGAGCGTCACAACGTCAACTTTACAGTCATGTTAGGGACACTCCGACACAATCGATGAATCCCCGTTAAACGGTGTGTGGTCCATGATATTCCGTTGTGCATATGCATTGTTTCTGTGTCAAACACAGGCTCGGCAATCAGTCTTATACAAACGAAATCGACTTTCGTCCGACCAGTGGACCCTTCTCTTGACGTCAAATCCCAGTGACGTCGATCTTGACATCAAGTCAGTCGTGTTGCGTTGTGTCCTGGGGATAACAATGGACATCTGGCTCAAAACCCGGCCGATTTTAGAGTATTGCGGACCGTACTGTGGGACAAACGACTATGAGGGCGCCTTTGACACGAGTGGATGAAGCCTTGTGATTCTGATAAAGGCTTTACCCTCCTCACTATTTGTCACGTGTGGTTGCCCAAAATGTCGAGAGTCATGTCGATTCCAAACACGAGCTCGGCCATCAGTCATTCCAGTTAGCTTGAAACGATTTTATCGATATTGATATTGTACCTGTCTCGTGTGATGTACTGACATTCTAGATAATTTCATATCTTCGTAAAGACTCAGCCTTCACTAGGATCGTTTTTCGACAAACGTTACCCATATGTACACAATCCTGTGTAGATATTATAAATCGTGTGTGACTAAACTCGAGTTCTGACCCGGATCTTCGGGGTTTTGAACATTGAACAATTTGGAAAGAATGTTTAAAACTCACGACAATGACCATACTTTATTAACATATGTTTATTACAACAATAGATTCACAAATTCAAATCCTCCCTGAACTGAAACTGTTTCCAGAGTCGTCGAAGTAAACGAAAACACACAAAGCATGAACGCCTCGTCAAGCGTAGTCACTTGCTTCACCATATAATGACACTGTCTCATCACAAAGGTTCCCGACAAGCGGGGCCCTGTTTAACATCACTGCATTGCAACATGTATATTGTAGTGGATTCAAAGCTGTATTTTGATGTATAATAAAGTTACATGCACAGTGTGTTGTCTGATTTGTGAAGGAATGTATTGATGGGAGAAAAGATATATTACTGGGATACATGTGGATGTATTGAAATGAAATCTGACTACAATATAAGGATACTTATATATATATATACTCGTATAATGTACTTGCCTGTTGGATCCTGTGACCACAAGAGCAGAATACGCCAGTAATATTTTGAATTACTTCAGTGATGAAATCTAAAATCGTTTCGTCATCTTATCGATCAGGTCGTTTTCTATGGTAGTGATCTTTGTGAGGCCATTAAAAAACGAACAGAGACTGGATATCCTGTTTTCATCACAAGGGAGGCAACTGTTCCTCTAAACGGAAGGCACCATGCTCAAACCCCAAAACGCAGGCTTGAAATGGCAAGGTCTGAAACTACTCTTGATATAGGCTAGTGGATACTTTTGTCTCGGGAAGAAGAAGGTATGACTGGTAAAAGCTGATAGAATTCCGTGCCTAGAAGCCATGGCAGGGTGGTTTGATTGTATGTAGGATAAAGATCAAGGTCTGAATTAAAAGCCAGATGGTCAAGTTCAACACCAAGCACACACGAGGCGATCTAAATCGCCTTTGATGTTCACCCCAACAAGGGTCACCTTCCGTTTCTTGATCTTTCTGGTTACACCATACACAGGCGTCTTGCACAAACGACATTGCTGCAAATTCTTCTTCAATCTTTGTCTTGTGAAATGTGATCAGTTGGTGGCTGCGTCTAGTATGACTATTATGTAGCCTGCTGGCGTCTTTCAACGCCGATATAAAGATTGTTCTCTGGTCTAACGAAACCTCCCTTTTCCAGTTTGACAGACGCCTGAAACCAGAAATACCTTTCAGGAAAAGTTACCAACAACACTCACCACAGAATATACGTCACTGTTTGTCAAACCCATACCGTGGTTAAGGTGAAGCGATTCCACGACCATAACTGAGCGAATGAATGTTTGAATTGGACGCTGGAGGATGTCATCTACAAGAGCCTGGGGGCGGTGGGGTAGCCTGGTGGTTAAAGTGTTCGCTTGTCACGCCGAAGACCCGGGTCGATTCCCCAGATGGGTACAATGTGTGAAGCCCATTTCTGGTGACCCCGCCGTCATTTTGCTTTAATATCATTAAAATCGGTGTAAAACTCAAACCCCACTCACAAAAGCGTGTATATACCTGTATATAAAAAGTCTGGGACAGACAGGACAGCGCTGTATTTCATAAGAAGGGCACTATAAACTTGATTTGGAACCAACTGAATTGTAAAACAAAGATTTACTGTCGTCAGAGGGAAAATGTTTACAGGTTACCATAACGGATGACTGGTAAGACAGATGACAGGTGTTCTAGTCAGGTGAGCTAAAGAAAGAACTGACTACAGAGGTAAAGCAACTGACCTCTGTCTCCGGGCTCACAACAAACCGGAAGTTCTGCACTAACGCTACTATCGCCATCTTGGCTTCCAGCAAGGCGAGCCTCATCCCCAGACAGTTCCGCGGCCCGACGCCAAACGGCATCCACATGTAGTTGTGTAGCTCATGCTTATTCTCAGGAAGAAACCTTGATGTTGAAAAATATAATTTTGGAACCAAAAATGTAAGTTATATGACTGTCTGTCATCTTGAATTGGCAGAAAGCTGGAACTAAAACCCACGCGCACAGGCATGGTGCTGACAAAACTAGACAATAATCGGGGAAAACTGGGATTCGAACCCACGATCTTGGTTTCTTGAATGCCTACTGCACGCTACTCAGCATAGTGAATTCCCGCATGTCCCCGGGGGCGGTGGGGTAGTCTAGTTGTTAAAGCGTTCGCTCGTCACGCCGAAGACCCGGGTTCGATTCCGAACTTTGGTACAATGTGAAACTTGGTTCTTCTTTAGACCTAATATTACAACAACAAATAACAACCCAACACAGCCGACAATGAAATAACTAACAAGAGTGAGTGGTAGAAATTCGACACGTGTGCAGGAATATTCGTGTAAAAGACCATGTAGCTGGAAGAGACTCCTATATATGAATTATGAATGTCATATTACCTGTCAGGGTCGAATTTTTCCGGGTCGGACCAGAATTCTGGATCATGCTGTATGGCGTACACGGGTATGATGATGGGCAGGCCGGCGGGGATGTGGTAGCCGTTGATGTTGGTGCTCTTGGCGGGAACTCGTGTGATCCTGGAAGAGACAGGGTTTGTAAACGGGCTGACATATATGAATGCTATCCTTCCCACTTCATCCATAGGGGCGGTTGGGTAGAAAAGTTGTTAAAGCGTTCGCCCGTTACACTGAAGACCCGGGTTCGATTCCCCACATTGGTAAAATATGTGAAGCAAATTTCTGGTTCCCCCCGCCATAATATCATTCATTCACTCACCCAAAGCTTCAAGAGATACGGACCGCCTCCGTGGTGTAGTGGTTAGAGCGTCCGCCCAGAGAGCGGAAGGTCGCGGGTTCGATCCCTGACCGCGTCATACCAAAAGACGTTAAAATGTGGTACTTGTTGGTCCCTGCCTGGCGCTCGGCATTAATGGGTACAACAAGGACTGGTCGGCGCGGAGTCAGTATAATGTGTCTGAGTGGGGTATTCATGCTTCACTGCGGCATGGTATCTCAGTGGGCTAGCACTATAAAACCAGCTTAAGTCTGGGCTAGTACAAGCAGCCGCACATACACATACACACGCATGCACGTCGTCATATAAGCGAAATATTCTCAAGCACGACGTTAAACCCAATTTCACCTCACCTCACCTCAAGAGATACGCCATAATGATCAAGAAGGTTCTTTATCAAAAAGGCGTTTTTTGTATTTCTATCGAGTTCTAGTTACTAGAGGTACTACCATTGCGTGTACATGAACTATGTATACGTAGGTTTAGTGAGGGTCTGGCTGGAGCTCCACCGACCTGGTTGCCGGGGGATAGAGTCTCAGAGTTTCCAGGAACACGTTCTCCAAGTACTGAAGCTTCGTCACGTCGGCGTACGTGGGCTTCTTCTACACAAACACAACACACACGATGATGAAAAACATTACTTGATGTAAATACAGATCTTTGTTTTTTCTCATATAGATCTGGTCTACGAGGGTGTGGACATCGTTGTTGAAATGTATGTGGATATTTCCATGCCCATATTATCCTCGGAAATACTCGGAAGCAATTCTACAAGCTCTTCAACGTATCTTCAGCTGATATCAGTCAGTCGTATCCACTCGTCTTTACCGTTGCTTACATAATACCTCGGGTAGCAATGGTGTAGTGATACTGCATGAAGTATCTCTAAACCGTGTAACGCCAAATCCGTTTACTCTTTTAACAGGGAGGACCTTTTTGAATAAATTTTGATAGGAAGACAAAACGGAAAGCAAGTGTATGTAATGCGACCGACAGGTGCCCCCCGGTTGTGTCTTGGCATGGTGCAGGATTTCGGACAAAATCCTCAGCGTGTGCAAAATACGCCTCATGTCGGAGAGCGTACGTTAAATCTCCAAATCATCATCATCATCAATTTCTGACAGTCCTATTTGACGAGCCGACTGGGACACTTCCATATTATTTGTGATTAGCTACGGGTCAGCCTGAATACACACTGAAGTGTGTTTATTTACATCACTAAAGTGTGTCCTTATCGACTGGTATACCCTCTTCCCAGTCTCATTCTGGGTACTTACATCGCCAATGTGTGTCCTTATCGACTGGTACAACTTCTCCTGGATCTCTGGGTGTTTTGCTAAGAGATAGGCGGTGAAGGTCAAGGCGTTGGAGGTGGTGTCGTAGCCGGCAAGGAGGAAGATGTGGGAGTTGCAGAAGATCTCATAGTTTGTCAGACCTGAAATATATAGACGATACTCCTGCACGTCCGGCTAAATCCACTCACTAACACGGCTTGTCCTAGTACTGGCACTTGAAGGTGGTGGCTTTGTGTGCTCCGTGGACACTTTGGCACAGGGGTCTACACGATGTATCTCTGATATCTGGCCTTTGTATTCAAACAGTACGCTATGATGCCAATGACAACCATTGCCGGAAAAGGTCCCTGATGCTGGATATTTCGATACGTTTTTACCGTGTTTTCTGCACGTTTAAAGAATATGGCTTATAGTGTGTACGTTCTGTATACGGTGACTACCTCGCTTCTTGAAGTACTTGAAGTCAAGCTTGGTCTCCGTGTCGTCATCAGAATCATCATCCGGGTCTTGTGAAGACTCCTCCTTGTGGGTGTCCAACATCGCCTGCAGGATGTCACTGTGATCCTGTGCGGAAGTGTAAATGAGTGAGTGCGTGAGTCATTCAGTAAGGTTTTACGCCACTTTTAACAATATTCCAGCAATATCACGGCTGGGCACATCAGACATGGCCTTAACACATTGTGAACATGTGGGGAATCGAACCTGGGTCATCAGCATAGTGAGCGGACGCTTTACCACTAGGCCATCCCACCGCTCCCATTAGGTATATGAGCCAGGGTGTAAGATTCATGACTACTGGTGAACCATTCTGTGATATATACGTGATATATAGTTCTTCTGTTTGTAATCAGCCGTGTTTCATATTATAAAGTGTCATATAAGCATCTCAGTGACATTGAGACCCGTGAAGATCCGAGTTAGAAAGAATATTGATCTTCAGTAACCCAAACTTGTCGTAAGAGGCGACTAACAGGATCGGGTGGTCAAGCTCCCTGACTTGGTTGACACATGTCATAGGTTCCCAATTGCGTGGATCGATGCTCATGCTGTTGATCACTGGATTGTCTGGTCCAGACTCGATTATTTACAGACCGACGCCATATAGCTGGAATATTGCTGAGTGCAGCGTAAAACTGAACTCACTCACTCACTTAAACATTGATGTTTCGTCGGCATTATTTCCGCAATATTGTGTCCAGAAAAAGTGCTGCTTTCATATCTTATTAAACCAATGACCATATGGCATCATATCACAGGTGTCACATAAAGATATTTTGTTGGTCCTTAAGTATCCCCCCTCTAAGAATAATTTTGTTCACATTTCAACAAGTGTAGAAATGCTGATTACTGCCACTCAGGGATTGGACAATGAAGAAGACTTACTCCAACGAGTGAGAGATTTCAATTTTATGCTGCTTTCAGGAAAATATTCCAGCAATATCACTGAGGGGGCCCAATATGCCAAACAATAAGTGAAGCTTCATATTATAAAATTACCTCATATTTGGAGTGTGTGACTTAATAAGCCGCAAACATTTCGACGTCGTAGTAAGTGTGAACTGGTCACTTGTGTTATGAGGGTGTGTTTTTGTCTTGAACTCGCATCTTGCTTAGGCCAGAGACCATCTATTATATGGTCTCTGCTTAGGCTATGTAATTCAGCCTGTTGAGAGTGGGCTGAGAAGCTGCGCTCGGGAGTTACCTCCTCGGTGTTATACTCCCGGTTTGCTGCTTACTATGGCATTCATTCGAGTGAGTTCTACATGATGGTAGTGTGATCTAAATGCCGTAGTGAGGCGTAGCTACTGCTAGAATTCCGGAGAACTGTGTGATAGGTATATAAGGATTGGTTGCTGACATGTTCGACACGACTTTGAGGACTTCTTTGGATTTACGCTCATCTGTCTGCTAACATAATCCGCTCTCCTCGTCTCAAATGCCGTCTACAACCTTCATCGACAAGAATCAAGACTGTAGTAACTACAGATTTTAGTTGATATGTTAGATTTGTGAACCAATATTTAAGATTTGAGACTCAATAGTATAGTATTAGAAATCTGTATCGTCATTCATTGTAACCTTGCTCATTTTTTATTCAATATATTATTGAATAGCATAGATTTCGTCGTACTGTTCAGATCGCTTTCTACAAGTGTCGTTCCGACCTGACCCGTAATGGGAATTCTTCTCGGTCCCTATCAATGAAGCATAACTCTATAGTTTACCTTAGGCTTACGAATGTCGTAGAGCTATGAACGCTTTTTGGATCAGGGACGTGGTCTTTGTTTATCGGTAGCGAGAACTATGATGATTATAAAGACAACCTCGACCCAATGACGATTTGATGGACTACTTACCGAGTCGGGATTATTCTTCCTGTCCTCGATCACCTGTTTGATCATAGAACGGAACTTCGCCTTGTCTTTGTCCGTGTCCAGAATCTGGAAGTCCACCTTCTCAAACACGGACTTGGTGAATGGAAACAGCACTGAAGGTTACAACAACAACCATTAATGTAAAACGTCAGTGCAAAAGTAGAAATCTTGACAATCTACATAACAGATTCCGATTTGTGTTAAGGACAAAAATCTGGGAACATTATTTTAATGGACCGCTGAAAATTAATGACACTGGGTGTTCGCGAAAAGGGTAAGCGTGTATGTACAAAATTATTGGTGGTTATTTTTAGATTTAATATTCGATACGGTATACCCCTTAAATATTAGGAAATACGGTTTCTTATACGAGCGTCCTCTACAAAGATCGTGTCAACAGTAAGAATTTGGTAACAGAGCCGTTTAATGATGGTTGGAGAAGCTGCAGCTAATGAATCAGCTAATAATATTTAACTGCATAACTTTGTCGAAACAAAACCCCGCTTTCCTCCTCGTTAAATGATATTGGGTTCTTCTTTGAACAACGGTCCCAGTCCCTAACTTGTTGAAATACGGCCGCATATGGCGAAGCTGATGGCAAACTATGTCCGTTTATGATGAAGAACGGCCAAATATTGCATCTCGGTTAAAAATACGTTTAGTCTGGAAATAGGCGGAAATGATCCATATCCTATGACACCTGCCCCAATCTACACAAGGTGCTTACGAGATCTCGCGTGATTGCGTGATGTAACGAGCTGTGACTCACGTGTAACAAGGAAGATAAATGGGAAGGTGAGCTTCATGGCCTTCCGGCAGTAGGTGACGAAGACGTTGTCGGAGTTGGACTGGCTGTCGAGGTCGATGCTGAAGCCGGTGTTGGCGATCACGTCCATGGTGTAGCAGCCCATCAGACTGTAACAAGAATCACCAGGAATTGGCGTTTTGTTTTGGTTTGTTTACGTATTGTTGTTGTTTAAGGATGCCCCTAGCAGTATTTCTGTTACATGACGACGTCCGTGATTAACAACCAGCTATACCGGTGTTTGATATTAGGAGCAGCCCTCACGCCCACGTTGAAACCTAATCTCATCCTTGACCCTCACTACTTAATCATTAAGTCGGCTTTTACGTGCCTGTTTGCATTTTTTTAATATCCAGAATAACCATAAAAATACTTAGAGATTAATTGAGAAGTCCGGTTTTGATGATTTCACTGTTGTTTCCAGTGTAAACACTTTATCACATGATTCCAAGCGTCCGCCCTGATAGGGTCTTACTGTTTCAGTTCAATGTTTTTCTTCTCTTCTGCGAGTTTATCCACGTTCCTGACTAACAAATGTGTACATCTTTCGATCAGAACCATCATCTGCGCAAACAAAATAAGAAACATTCAATTGGACACCACTCACAGTCAGTGCACAGCACTCATAAACATTGAAACAAAGGTTGTCTTAAAGCGAAATTAAATCAAACACAGTTACGCCCCTTGATAGCTACAGGAGCTTTTCATGAGTTTGAAGTCCTCATTCTCGCATTTAGATACAACCTTCGAAATTCACCTTAGGTCAAGACTACTACATTGTACCCAGGGCCAGCAGCCCTTCAGGGTTATCAGAGTGAGTGAGTGAGTGAGTGAGAGAGTGATATTAGTTTTACGTCGCTTTTAGAAATATTCCATCAACATCACGCTGGGGGACAACAGAAATAGGCTTCACACACTGTGCCCATGTTTGGAATCGAACCTAGGTTCGGTGTGACGAGCGAACGCTTTAACCATTAGGCTACACCAACGCCCCATGAACAAATGATTTTGAGCGGGTTAATGTTACATGTAAACCAATCTAGAAATTACACTGGTAATCTTAAACAGAAAAATACGATGTACATTTGAACTTATATACACTTATATATAACTTATGTTATATAGAGAGGTATATAACTAACGTTATACGGATCCAGTTCGTTCGTACAGTGGTAAATATTACGATTACAATATCGATCAAAATGGTTTTACGCCTCGTTTAGCAATATTCCAGTAGTAAACTAAACTCATAATTTTGAAATCAGAGATTACTATTTACCTGTTTGAGTTTACCTGTACTGAAAGTAGGACTGAGGACACACCGCATGAACTTCCAGTGTTCGTCATAGATCTCTGCGATGCAGTCCATCACTATCTTTGGCACTGGGCCGAATGTCTGGGAACAACATACAAATAAACAACTAAACTGACGTACAAAACAAAGTACACACCTGGTGTTTGGGAATTAGTTCCCCTAAAACGACATAAACATTGTGTTTGATTGTGACTTACAAGTCATGTTGCATCTTATAATGTAACGTAATGTAATGTAATGAAATGTAATATAATATAATATAATTGAATGTGACGTAATGTAATGTACCATAATGTAACGTAATGTAACATAATGTAATGTAATGTAACATAATGTAATGTAATGTAACATAATGAAATGTAACATAATGTAATGTAACATAACGTAACGTAATGTAATGTAATGTAACATAATGTTATATAATGTAATGTAATGTAACATGATGTTATGTAATGTAAAATAATGTAATGTAACATAATGTAATGTAACATAATGTAACGTAATGTAACATAATGTAATGTAACATAATGTAACGTAATGTAACATAATGTAATGTAACATAATGTAATGTAACATAATGTAACGTAATGTAATGTAACATAATGTAATGTAATGTAACATAATGTAATGTAACATAATGTAACGTAATGTAACATAATGTAATGTAACATAATGTAATGTAACATAATGTAACGTAATGTAATGTAACATAATGTTATGTAATGTAACATAATGTAATGTAATGTAACATAATGTAACGTAAAGTAACATAATGAAATGTAATGTAATATCATGTAATGTAATGTAACATAATGTTATGTAATGTAACATAATGTAATGTAATGTAACATAATGTAACGTAATGTAATGTAATGTAACATAATGTTATGTAATGTAATATAATGTAATGTAATGTAACATAATGTAATGTAACATAATGTAACGTAATGTAACATAATGTAACGTAATGTAATGTAACATAATGTAACGTAATGTAATGTAACATAATGTTATGTAATGTAACATAATGTAACGTAATGTAACATAATGTAATGTAATGTAACATAATGTAATGTAATGTAACATAATGTAACGTAACATAGTGTAATGTAATGTAACATAATGTAACGTAATGTAACATAATGTAATGTAATGTAACATAATGTAATGTAATGTAACGTAATGTAATGTAACATAATGTAATGTAATGTAACATAATGTAACGTAATGTAATGTAACATAATGTAACATAATGTAATGTAACATAATGTAACGTAATGTAACATAATGTAATGTAATGTAACATAATGTAATGTAATGTAACATAATGTAATGTAATGTAATGTAACATAATGTAATGTAACATAATGTAATGTAATGTAACATAATGTAATGTAATGTAACATAATGTAATGTAATGTAATGTAACATTTTATTATTATTATTATTATGTAATGTAATGTAATGTAACATAATGTAATGTAATGTAACATAATGTAATGTAATGTAACATAATGTAATGTAATGTACCATAATGTAACGTAATGTAACATAATGTAATGTAATGTAACATAATGTAATGTAACATAATGTAACATAATGTTATGTTATTTAACATAATGTAATGAAACATAATGTAATGTAACATAACGTAACGATACGTAATGTAATATGTCACGTAACGCAATAAAACCTAATAAATTATATAATGTAATGCAATGTAACATAATGAAACGCAATGTAATGTAAGGTAAAATATAAGGGATATAAACAGGTCCATCCGTGATGTATCCTACCTTTCTTAAATACACAATGAGCGGAAAACAGGCTCAGAAATCACAAGAATAGCATTGAGTAGAGTTTCAGAATGAAACAAAATGAGGCGAATGATGGCCGACACGGCTTGGGTAATAATCAATTAAAGCTATAAATGTCATAATATGAATTGATGTGTTAAATAAATTGCACAGTTGACGGCTGTTATGCATGGATTACAGCATGTGAAACAGACTAGATTTCCAGGACCTAGATTTTCGAAGCTCTCTTAGCGCTAAGATAGTCGTAAGTTAATGTTAATGTATGGCACTTACGACTATCTTAGCGCTAAGAAAGCTTCGAAAATCTAGGCCCTGAACGATATCTTTCGCCATTTTGTGAAATAGTTCAAAAGCTATATAATAACAGTTAACACGTTGTCAAGACACAGTGCTATTAATTCCCTCTGTGGCACCCTCTGAGGAGTCGCTATGACAACTCTGTAAAGCATTGGTTTATTAGGACCTGACACGATTATTTACATGCTGGCGTCGTTTAGACTGTTTTAATTCTGTCAGTGGCGTAAAACAACATTCATTCACAATCAAGATCTACAACACTCACCGATCTGTTGACGAAGTTAGAGAAGTCCTTCACACAAATCTGTTTGATCATCGCGGGATCTGACACGAGCAAAGAAGGGATACGACCGTGAAAGACGCTGAAATAGGAATCAGTTTGGCGTTAACGTTTGGTTTAGCGCATCCTTTATTATATCACACGTTCCTTCATTTGGAGGAAGTTTCAGTGATGCAGGAAGTAGACTACTGCCATGTCCACTGAAACCAGTAAAGACATATCTAGAGCTGATAATTTCATTATATTTAATGAAACTGGACTCAAACAGACCATCAGGTTTAATGGCATCCTAAAGGACACAATGTTTCATCTCGGGTTATTCATTTTAGGAGAGGGGTACATTTCCTATAATAGAGAGAGGTGAGAGAGAGAGAGAGAGAGAAATTTCGTAAGTGCCATAAATAACATTAACCCGACATCTTGGCGCTAAGAGAGCTCCTTTATAAGACGCAGGTCACTTCTTTTGCATACATTTTAGGGATGGCCTACCAAAATACACACGAAACTTTAGTTCCTATTATAAGTTTAATCAATTTGCGTGTGATATACTTACCCTACAACCCGGCCATGTGCTTTATAAGACGCTGGTCACAGCCAGCTAGGCCCTGATGAACCCCCTATTGAGTTTCGTTAGTTATTGTATGTGTGCAGTTAAAGATCCCACGCCTCCCTAACATCCTCGCTATTTATTGAATGTAGCAAAGGAGAGTTCCTTGCGTAGCATGGAATGAGTGACTATGGTTTTACGCCGCTTTTAGCAATATTCCAGCAATATCAAGGCGTCGGACACCAGAAATGGGCTTCACACATTGTACCCATGTGGGGATCCCCACCGGGTCTCCGGCAAGTAGATGGATCTTTAACTGGGCGCTTAATTATTCAGTTCTAAAGTACTGTCTGGATTACCAGGGTTTCTCGGCAAAACAGGCCTAGTCTATAGAAGTTTAGTACTCGTGGTTGTCATAATGACATTATATCTCGGTACACCGTATCAATGAAAAATGTTATATTTGAATCGGTCGTGTGTGATTCGTATTAATACGAATTTTTTTAAACATTATATCTTATCGTATTACAATTTCGAAGATCGATGCTCAAGTGGATCACTTGATTGTCTGGTCTCGATCATTTATAGCTGGAGTATTGCTGAGTGGGGCGTTAAACAACAACAACAATCAAAACTTTCTAACATATCTTGTGGTAAATTCACTCAGTTGTGGATCGGTTGGCCAGCTTCTCTCCCGATTGCGTTCATATTTAAATGGCATGTATCCTTGCATATGTGATCCCTGAAGATCCGAGTTAGAATTGATCTTCAGTAACCCATGCTTGTCGTAAGAGGCAACTAACGGGACCGGGTGGTCAGGCCCGCTGACTTTGTTGACACATGTCATCGTATCCCAATTGCGTAGATCGATGCTCATGATGTTGATCACTGGATTGTCTGGTCCAGACTCGATTATTTACAGACCGCCGCCATATAGCTGGAATATTGCTGAGTGCGGCATTAACCAATTAACCAACCAACCAACCAACCAACCGTGCACATGTTGTAGTGACTGGTTTCCCTCGGTGTCACTGGAATATCCACCGACCAACTCGAAATAGGTAGATACCGTGGCTGTGGCGTTATAGAGCATTCACTCGCTCACATTTAGTACAGATGTGAGAAGAAATACAATACACAGTAAATTAACCAAGTATTGTATATCTAGTTTATATTATAGGGTTTAATACCCGGCCCTTGTTGTTGCCGTTTAGTGGAAATGTGTATACCTCAGTCTTGTAGCGAGTCACTATCCCCAGCAAGCCTGGTTCCGGCGCGGGGATTCCCATCAGCTTGAACATGTCGTGTGTCCATGTGGCGTATCTGGGAACAAACAACACGCTTCCTACAAGGATTACAAGATTCAAGGAGTCAATGTGCAAGTGAGTTGTAGCAATAATGCAGCAATATTAAGCGCGCGTGTATATATATGTGTGGGGAGAGGGCGGTATAATGGGAGGGGATTTGGGCTGCCAATGGGGAACTTAACCTGGTTCTTCGGCGTGACGAGCGAACACGTTTCATGAAAAGAAAGATTCAAGAATTTAACGTTCCAATGACTCGATGATTCAATATTTCAAAGTTACAGTGTGTCAAAATGTATAGGACTGAAAGATTTATTGTTTCAATGGCAAGGTTTCATGGATTCAATGCTACAGTTATTCCAGGTACCAAAGATTGTCAAATTCAGTTGGACACTTGTCCAATGCCTCAATGATTCTATGATAAAGATGGTGCTTTCAAAACAGGGAGTTTTTCCTTTGATTGCTATACTGCCATTTCACTGCATTTCAGATGCACAATTGACTTGCCTTTGCAGGTGTTTGTGACGGGGGCCACCGGCTTACAAGAATAGAGGTAATTAAGGTAATTACTTTATGCATGACATCTTCATTATTATATTATGGTGCGACGTTACGGCATACATTCCTACACCATTGTCAAGCAACTATTTTGCTTTTATTCTAAAATGCCAGTCATAAAAATCATAGATTATAAAACCTTCAGGTCACAGTGACACGGTGAATAATCTCCCTCGAGTACTAGTATCCTCGGCTATTTCCGCTGAGCTACGCCATGTCACCCACAGTGGACCGAGCAGTCGCTTGTGCACAGTGCAGTGGATGTTGTGCTATATTACCTACTGTGATATCAAGCAGTTTGTGAGTAATCAATATGGTCGAAATACTCACATATAGCCCAACACGATGACACACAGGACAGCCCCAGCTGCGATTAGTAGCAGTGTTGAGACGTCCATGGTTGTTGAACGAGACTTGAACGTTATCTCATCACGAGGTGACAGCCGGCTACAAGCCTTATATACACAGTGGAAGTAGGTCAGCTTTATTGCACCACGGTGGCCAACACTGATTTGTGACCCAGAATATTTGTGTATCGGGGAAGATGTTAAAACTTGTTATCGGAGTGAGTGAGTTGGGTTTTACGCCGCTTTTAGCAATATTCCAGCAATATCACGACGGGGGACACCAGAAATGGGCTTCTCACACTGTACCCATGTTAGGAATCGAACCCGAGCGATCGCTTTAACCACGAGGCTACCCCACCTCCCCATTTGCAAATATAAAGTGAACTGCTGGTAATAATTACATTAGAATATGTTCAAATAAATGGTCCTCATCAGTGGATAAAACAGGTTAAACTCTATAGAAATCTGCAATATGCTAGTGCTTCAATAATATGTAATAGTGCTGAAATAGAGGTTGATCACTGGATTGTCTGGTCCAGACACGATTATTTACAGACCACCGCCATATAGCTGAATATTGCTGAGCGCGGCGTAAAACTAAACTCACTCACTCACTGACAGAAATAGAGCTGTCGTTGTTGTTTGAAGTAGTTCTTCCAATGAAAATCCTTCCAACGGGGCAAGAGTCGCTATTCGTGGCGAGTGTTACGGAAAGGACTGACTGACTGAGTTTGGTTTTACGCCGCTTTTAGCAATATTCCAGCAACATCACGGCGGGGGACACCAGAAATGGGCTTCACACATTGTGCCCATGTGGGGATTCGAACTTGGGTCTTCGGCGTGACGAGCCAACGCTTTAACCATTAGGCTACCCCACCGCCCCGGTTACGGAAAGGAGCGAGTGGTGACAAATGCGAATATATTAAGCAATCTTACGCGGTGTTATTGGTTTATTGAAGTATATTCTTTCCACACTACACGTGAAAATTTCATTTTTAATGCTCGGTATATGGGTGATTTCAGAGAGGGATATAATAGATAGATAGACAGACAGACAGACAGACTGATAGATAGATAGCCATGTGGGTTAAAGCCGTAACACTAGACGATTATGAAAAGCCAACATACCACTGTGATGAGACACATTGTTTGATATCCGTAAAGGAGTCACTATAATAAATCAGTGTATTTGTGTACCTAAAGTAGCAGTTTTATATCATTGCAATGCGTTCTTTTTCTAATATTTTCCCTCAGACATAAAATGTGATCAGAACGCAAAATGGAGCAACCAATATCGCAAATATGTACCGTTACCTCATATAGAAGAGATTTCAGTAATGTTCTAAAACATTAAAATATTATATCTAAGGGTGTGGCAGTGAAGGAGCGTAGATATGTAGATGTTGCAACAAGTTTTTAGACCCGTAGAATGTGGCTGCCGATCGAATTTAGTCCTACATAGGTGCTGTCAACGTGCCTGGAATTCATAAACGAGTTTTCGCTGTCTTGGGTGATCCATGATTTGGGCTTGGAATTGTGGAGGTAGCTGTTTTCGGCAAGTCGTGGCGTATAACGTTTGAAATAATGATCCGACTGTGACCATTGATAGCTCATTTTGTAGGGAAATCATCTAGCTTTCGATCCGTAGGCCACGACGGGGCCTTAAAAGTATTTTACGTGGTGAAACCTTGATTGAAGAGAGGGTGGTTTCGTCGTTACATCCGTACGATGTTTGCAGAAATATTGGGGCAGAAATTGATTTCTGAGGGCATTTAGTGCTGGACAGTGTAACAAAAAGTGAAGTTCATCACAGACATCTAAATTTACACTATGTTCCATTCTTTACAATACTGGTCAAACACATTCAAACTTTTTTGTAATACATTACTTGTTTCAGCTGATATGACAGTATCGTCAGCGTAAAGTAATATACTCATGCCAATAATGGTTGTCACCCCCTTCAATTTTTTTAATTGAGAGAGGGGTTGTGGGGTGTGAGGTGTGAGTGTGTGGGGGTATGGGTGGGGAGGTGGGGTGGTCCTCAATAGGCTTATTTACATGTTGTTGAATTAGTTTTTGCAAATAACTGGAGAACAGGATGTTTTTATTACTGAAGATGAAAGTGAAATAGTATTTATAAAATTCAGTATAAACATGTTTTATAATAGTTAATTTCCCCATGACTTTATTTCCGTGACTTTTTTCCGATCACCCTTCTAGATGGCTACCTGTATGCCAAGAGCAAGGTGAAAGGAGAAAATGATGATGTTCAAGTGACTTTCTAATAAGTGTTATCTGTGCTCTTATCTGACATGTGATGTAAAATAATATGGTGCTTGGTCTCATATGTTTGATAGGTACATTAATATAAATTATTGTTCTTGATAATATTCACCAGTAAATGTGATCTGGCAAATAGATGTTGATGTACATATGTGTTGATGCAATATGTCTTAATTTAAAAATCATAATTCATTACATCAATTGATAAAACTATAGTTAATACCTAATGTTGTCTTTTATCTGGGCACATACCATTATTATCAAGGGTACAGCTTAATTAAGCCTTATGCAGCCAACCATAAAATGTGTTGTTTTAAGCGGTCTGTCTTTTGGGAGGTCTGTCTTATGGGAAGATACCGCATGATGTGTTTGAGTGGGCTATGGGCGAGTTCAGGTACCCACAGACACACATTTACATGTGGTACATATATACGCGTTATTATGTTATGCCATCACAGTCGACGTTAACTCCCAGTGTGTCAGTGAAAGACGTAATGATGTATCATTCAGTGAGGGAAGAAAGCCTAAAGAGTGGTTTACCCCAACATTCAACCCCAACATTCAACCCACGCCACAATGTGGTGCGTGCAATCCAAGGATTGAAATCACCAGATTTGCAGATACGTCGTATACCCAATTTACATCAATTCGGTCGGGAGGAGGAAATCGGGGTGGATAAATATCGGCTTTAGTGAAATGGGGGTATTAAACATATTTATTACCCACGTGGTCAACGTATGGGTAGTTGCATATTAATCTCGTACGTCACACGAGTGTCGTATCGCGTTGACCTGTGTCGTAACGACTTGACCTGAAATTCTAACGATTTGATTGGATAACTGATGACCTCTCAATTAGGTCACATTCTGACGTAAGTATTTTTTCATTCATAACAAACACGTGAATTCATTCATTCTACAACTTACATGCATTGTGGGAATGTAAACATTGCGAACGTTGCCGTGTCGCTGTTTAATTGTGAGTCGAACTGAGACATTATATCTGTCGAAAAACATAAACGCAATGTTTCCACCAGTGATGTCAGCCGAATGAAGCAACTGGAAACCAAGAAACGAGGTGCAACGGAGTAGTTTACTGTAGGAGGCTGTACGAGGCGATGACGACTGACATGCATCGTGACGTCGATTACCATGGCAGTGACGTCATTAGTGTGACGTCATGCAAATATTGTACTACAGTACAAAACTCTTCCGCAGCCTCTTTATGAAACCGGTTTCGGTTTGAAACCAAAAACATAACAAAAATACGCTATTTTGTCAATTTAAATGCATGTAAGACGTGGGTAATAAATAAAATACCACACTCGGTCTCATTACATACGAATTATACGAAACTCGTGACCTTCCTATGCTATCTGACCTCGCTTTCGCTCGGTCAGATACCATAGGAAGGACACTCGTTTCGTATAATTCGTATGTAATGAGACCGAGTGTAGTATTCTCTATTTATTAACCATACGGTGAAACATAGCCAGTGTCATATATATCATATGTGCACATCTGCACATATCACTTTTGCCGAGCAACCATTGTTTCTGTATTTCGTCGTCTGTGACGTCATTAAACAATTGAACGTGACGTCTATGATGAGGGCCGTCACATTTGCTTACCGTGTTTTACTGCACAAATGTACGTGAATAAAATCAGATCGATGTTCATGCTGTTGATCACTGGATTGTCTGGTCCGGACTCGATTATTTACAGACCGCCGCCAATTAGCTGGAATATTGCTGAGTGCGGCGTAGAACTAAACTCACTCACTCACATGAATACAATAGATAATAAAGCAATTATTACACTCGAGCAAGTGTGTCATAACTTTCACCACAATCGCAATAATCTTATTTCAATTTTATTGTATGCTTTCATTTGATAATTGTAGCTATAGTTAATACGATGTCATGTCGTAAGAAAACCAAGGTGTCTCACGTCCTCACTATATTGCAGGTGGTACTGAAACACCCAGTAGCTGTCTTCCCTGTCGCCCACGTGGGAGCACCGTTCCAGCGTCAGCACCATCATACCGTTCATTTGTCTCGGCACCACACAATACACCAACTTGTGGCCAATCCTAAATTCTATATGCCCCCCTGCAGGACCCGGATTCAGCATCCACAAATTTCTACTTCCGTTACAAGAACACACAGTTTCCCTCAAGATGAACCTCTCAGTCGCTGGCACAATGCACTTTCCGTCATGTAGAAACTGGCCGTGCTTGTCAATGGTGAACTGATTCTCTGGAAGGATTCTATGGCGAAAGCATCTGGAGGTGAGAGTCAACACGCCGCTAGGTGTCGCTGTTACACATGTACCGGTTAAAGCGTTTTCAATCTCACCATAATTAACAGCATCTTTAGTTGGGATTTTCATATTAGGTGTTATGACTTTCAGAAACCATCGGAAAGGTTTTGACCTTAAACGCTGTCGTAAACGCTTTCTCCTTCGATAGATTCTAGATCGGATACGGTGAAATTTGGCAATGTCGTTCCATGTCGCTGAGTTGCCAGGAATATTTCCCTGTACTCATCCATCCAAACCTCGGCAACTCGCATCAAATTTTTACGTAATATGTCTTGAAAATCAGAATCGAAGTGAAACGTTCCTGATTTGAAAACATGTCCGACCTTCGAGCAGGGAACTGTGAGTATTCTCCCTCCTGTCATCCACGTCTTGAAGGACAGTTCCAGGTGCTCGCCACCCCAGATCTGCAGTTCAGTGTCGAATCCACCAGTGGACATAAAATGTTCCCTCCAGACCGCAACTGCACATCCAACCAAAACAGGTGTGGGGATTGGATCTGCCATGGTCCTCAACACTTGCTTTAAATAGTCGGGCTTGAAAAACCAGGAGTATCTGTAGAGTGTAAACATGAATTGTTTTAAGTTCGCAAACGGTAATAATAAGAGCGTTAAGACCTACTTAAACTATTGAGCTAGTTATCATTAAAACTCGGTACTGAAGAAAAAAGTAAACAAAAGGTTATTGTTACTTTTGGATAAACATTACATCGCGTGTAACCATTAAACTCATAATAAGAGTCTAGGAATGAAGTTTGCTTATCACGACAAGGTATATCTGTATCCAGTCACAAAGGTGGTGAGTGGTTTTACGCCGCTTTTAGCAATATTCCAGCAACATCACGGCGGGGGACACCAGAAATGGGCTTCACACATTGTGCCAATGTCAGAATCGAACCCGGGCCTTCGGCGTGACGAGCGAACGCTTTACCCACTAGGCTACCCCACCGCCCCCACAAAGGTAGGTGCAATATCACAGATCATACTGCTCACTGGAAATGTATGAGGAACTATTGTACATTCTTTAAAGAAGGTGATGATGCAGACGGCCATGCTATTGCAGCAATTATGAACATGTGAATATGGTTTTACGCCGATTTGAGGAATATTCCAGCAATATTACGGCGGGGGACATCAGACATATGCTTCACACATTGTACCCGTGTGCGGAATCGAACATGGTCTTCAGCGTGACAGATCTTCGCCATTAGGCAACCCCACCACCCTTTTAGCAATTATGAGATAACATATGTTATATTTTGTTAAGTTGAGTACTTTGTGTACCGTTCTGACAGTGTAATGACCATGGCTCCCGCAGCCGAAAGCTATGAGTACACAAAGCCATTTAGACCGCAGTGCTGGTGATGAGGAGCTTCACTCTGAGCGAGTGAGTGAGTTTAGTTTTACGCCACACGCAGCAATATTCCAGCTATACGGCGGCGGCCTGTAAATAATCAAGTCTGGACCAGACAATCCAGTGATCAACAGCATGAACATCCATCTGCGCAATTGGGAACCGATGACATGTGTCAACAAAGTCAGGGAGCCTGACCACCCGATCCTGTTAGTAGCCTCTTACGATAAGCATGGGTTACTGAAGATCAATTCTAACCCGGACCTTCACGGTCTTCACTCTGAGAGTGATGGGACTCAACCTAACAAGAGTAGTAGAATCTGTACGTTAATGAGAAGTGTTATCCCAAATATAAGATATGTTACACTTTCTAAATGACATTGTGTATTATGAGGCAATCCAAAGGACGATCTTAATTAACTAGTTAGTAGTATGTCATCGAACGGCTTTTTGGGTCAGTTTGGTTTGATGCCGTTTTCAGTTATATTACACCGTGTCGGGGAGGAGGAAATCCCGAAGCAATGCGAGTCTCATGATGGACGGTTTCGTGTCATGAGTGCAGAAAATAATTATTATTTTGTAAAAATAAAACATTCGGTCATACAAAAGTGTAATCTTTTAATGTACTGTACTGAAATTCGTCTTACCGTAAATCCCATCCAAATCCTCCTACAAAGGTGGCCTCCTTTGCTTCTGAGAAGTCAAATGTTTTGGAATCTACAGAAACGACATCAGGCTGTACTACTGTGGTTGGTCCACCTTTCAGCAGTTCTTCTAACAAGGGCTCAAGCCACCCAACGTTCACCTCCATGTGGCTGTCTAGAAATATGATTACTTCCCCTGTCGCAACTGAAGCTCCTTTCATCCTCGACCATGACAGACCCTGCCGTTGAGTATTTCTAATTATGTTAACTCTGGAATCGAGAATCCTGAAATAATCGTCCAGACGTTTGTCGAGATAGGCGTGTTCACTTTTGTCATCTACAATAATGATTTCTTTCAGTAGTTCATTTGGCGTCCGAGCAAGAAGGAGTGGACGTGGCGTAATAATGTCGAAAGACCTTCGTTATACATCGGAGACACAATTGATACTGTCGGAAAGGTAGACAAGTTGTATCCGCTTTTCTTGCAGTCATCTGGTCGCGTGTCCGGTAGTTGTCGCAAAACGGGTATACTGTCGCTTACATCAACGTTAAAGCCAAAACTGTCAGAAGATGATAAGTTGTTAGTCTTTAAGAGGTAGTGTCGTGTTCGCCGCAATAACTCTTCCTTGTGGCTTGGGTTGGAATCCAGCAGTGCCCTGTAGTGCATTTGGGCATTGCCGTTATTCTTGCCCTGAGTGGTAGAAGCGGCACCACTGTGAACAAGATAAAAAAGCGTCAGCTATCATTAACTCAAACACAAAGACAACCAGCACAAAAGATTAAAATAGCAGTTGATTTCAGATGTTTGATGAATGAACTGTTATCCGACAATGAAACGGTTGTGCCACAGAATGAGTATCCAAGCAGTTCAATTATCAGAACCAGGGTTGTACACGACGCGCAAATGTGCGTCCAGTACGCGCAAATCTAGACTCTGAGAATGGACGCAGAGGAGCACACAGTATTATTCCTTGTACCCACAACACATCTATCACTTTGCTAAATGTTTGGTTATTCCTTTCAGAGCAGTTGCGTGCATCATTTCATTCATTAGTCCTCATGATCAATGGTTCATCCAGGCTCTAAAGACATTATCCAAACGTACAGTTCCCTACACTTCACAGGATCCCCATATTGCCTGTAAGGACCCTTAGAACTAATAATTTGGGATCCCCGGGACCACCATGTTTGTGAGTGGAGGTAAACACTGTAGAACGCCATATGTAACGTAGGCCATGACGTACATTCCACTACTTATGACTGCCAAGATTCATCCAACTGTCACCAACCGGTAGGTCATGTAATCACAGGTGACTGCTATATCACTGACTGTAAAAGTCGTCGTCATTTATTCAAATATTGACCCAAACACGGTGAGCAGCCTCCTACTAAAAGAATGCCAATTTATACCATTATGAATGATGTCGAAGCATATACCCAGATATGGAACAGATGAGAAGAACCTGTTGAAGGTCTTTCAGTGCGGATGGGTCGGTGTGTGATGCTGTCATTGGTAGAATGTACGAACAGAAAACGAGGAATCAGATTTGGGAAGGAAACCATTCCGTCCCAGCCACCTCCCATCAAAACTCTGAAAGTTTGGCTGCCCATGATGAATGTTATGTGGTGGTTCCACTGACAAGGGCTCAACACTGCCGTTATACATAAGCATCACTACATGACTGGTCTGATTCAAGATCTTGGAGGGTCGGTGGGGTAGCCTAGTGGTTAAAGCGTTCGCTCGTCACGCTGAGGACCCGGGTTCGATTCCACATGGGTACAATGTGTGAAGCCCATTTCTGGTGTCACCCGCCGTGATATTGCTGGAATACTGCTAAAATTGGCGTAAAACTAAACCCACTCACTCACAAGATCTTGGTACAAGTGACATATAAAGTAAAGCCACAAATGAGGCCAGAATGTGAACTGCGGAAGCAATCTGCCGAAACCTTTCATCAGTTCAGTCAAATTTTGACTGAAGTCTAAAACGTTCTGTCCATTCATCTTTTGTACTGAATCCCAAAGCTCCATTTAAAGTCCATGCAAAGAGAGATACATTGCTGGGTTCAGCAAATGTAACACCCCAACACACACATATAACACCGACCCCAACCAACCAAATACAGGGAATTGAAAACACTAAAGCACTTAGATGTTAATAGCAAGATACTAAATTCCAAGCTTCACTATCATCAGTTCTGTTTGGCATCATCAGTTTTAGTATCTCACTCTTACCTTATTTGGTGTGGTTGATCAGCACGAACATTTTTTGTTTCCCGGTGATGTTTTCCTTTCCTCTGTTCGAGCCAGTCGTCAGAAACAGAAATAAACAGAAGATATAGAAGGCAAACCAAAACACAACAAAACTCGTCCACAAAAATATTGCCCCCTGACGAGCCATGGTTCAGCTGTTCAATTACACATATGGACTGTCCACGGGGAGTTTCACTTTCACAGTGTCGAGCTCCCGGTTTTATGTAATTCCACCTGTGACTATGAAGGTGTTTAATTAATTTTATCAACGACATTTTAGACTGTATCCTACAGAATAGCAGCCTGATTAATAGTACTAGTTCTCTGATTGGTCAATAAAAGCTGAAATCAGTTTCCGGCATTATCTGATGCGAGACCCACCCGTTTTGCGACAACTACCGGACACGCGACCAGATGACAGCTAAAAAGCGGTTACATATTGTCTACCTTTCCCACAGTGTTTTGAACACAGTGTTAGCCCTGGCCCTCCGCTGATACACATTCAACAAGGGACAAAAGGCAAAACTCCGATGAAAACCATATGAATGGCATAAACTTCGCGGAAAGGCTTAAGATGGTCGAATCTGACAGGTAGCACCCGATTGAGATTAGGTTTTACATTATGTCGAGTTTATGAGCATATCTTGATCTCTGACATATTTATAGCCCATTGTATGGGTGAACGGTGTCTTGTTTTGATCAAAAGCAGTAATATGTGATGTACAACATGCAACGATGTGTACTTGCGATATCATGTCACTGTTTTTTTTCTGGAACATTGTTTAAGGCCTCGCTCGGCAATTTCCCAGATAAATGATGAGGTTATGGCCTGGGAAAGTGAAATCTGGACCAAACCTCCTCAATTTAGGTGTCGCTTTCGCGGGAACGGTCAAGCTACAGTGAACACTGAATTTAGCGTTCCCGGGACTCTCAAATACACAAGAAAAACAAAGAAATATGGGTCGTCGTCTGATACCGTAGTCATGGTAGAAAAAATAAAATAAAAATAAACAATAAATAAATAAAACAATAAATAAAACAATAAAACAATAAATAAAACAATAAATAAAACAATAAATAAAACAATAAAACAATAAAACAATAAATAAATAAATAAATAAATAAATAAATAAATAAATAAATAAATAAATAAATAAATAACAAAGGAGTACATACTACATACAAACTGTACAACAAAATGACTAAATGATACATCAATTCAAGTGTTTACAAACAATCTTAAAAAGAACTTTGATACATTTTCAGAGTAGATATTTTACTTGATAAAAGTTGTCGGAACTTTGACAAATTCGCCCAGGAACAAAAAGATTCTTTGAACAATGATCATAATTCATTACATGAATTAATAAAACTATAGTTAAGTAGGGTCAGTTAGGAGGCTCACAGATCGAGTATTGGGGTCGCGCGCTAATCTGAAGTACGGTAATCCGATGTTCTCATAGCAATTCGCTTTCGCAACACTTCTAGCACAACTTTGGTTTTCGCTTTACCGGGAATATGGAATATTCCCGGGCTGACACCAATGATGGTGATCTGCAATTAACACTCATTCTGTTCTATTGCGTTGTCGCATGGTTGTAAGTGCAAAAATATTGAACTTCTTCACAAAATGTAGTTTGGAACTAAAGATACAATGGGTATTCTGTGTTAATTTACCATTATTATTTCTATAATACATAAAAAAAATATTCTTACGATATGTAAAACATCACATTTTAGTTAAATATTGCATGTCGCCAGCAACGCTATAAATATTTGTTGCATCAAAAATAACACTATTGACAGTACATGTTATCTCTTGCATCATGTGGAAAGTATCATGCTGAATTTTACTGTGAGGTAGTCATTTAACCTAATATTTGCGGAAATTAGTCAAATTTTAATGAAATTCCATTGTCGCCAATTCCTTGGTATTTTACGTTATGGTTCAAAGGAAAGAAAACAACATCAAAAGAGAAAAGGTACACCCAGTAACTTTAGGAAGGTAATCGCTCATGCTTTATTGAAGACACTGAACATCAAGACCTTTTGTTGTAATAACTTGTTAAACTATAAATATGTTGGGAAGATACAATACATATACAGTATAGATAAGGGTGTAATTTACGTTACGACGATATAAGACCTTATACATAACCTGAGCGCATCTATATGATCACCTGGTAAGGCAGTGGCGGATTCAGGGGGGGAGGTTCAGACCACCCCCGACCCTTTTCAAAATTTCTGGATCCGCCCATGTAAGGAGTATGCAACCTAGATCCTTTTCCCGTCTCCTATATTCGCACTATATCATTTGTTTAACTTGCGTGGCTCATAATAATGACTGAAGTATTTTACGTTACGTATTCTACGTAAGGATATTTTACGTTAAAGTTCCATGTATGGTTATCTAACAGCACATAATGTGCATACGTCACTAACAAATTTGATGACGCCATGAAAACATGTAGTTGCTGTCATGCATGCTGACGTGAGTACTGCTCATCTGAAGCTCTGACGGGTTAAACCATCGGTATGTAAGTACTGAACTTTCAACCTTATGATTCCTGTATATGTGTACAAGTCAAACTGTTCAACGTTCATCAATGCGTGTAATGAAGATATTCTAATGAGAAGTATCATGTATAATCATGCTGGGTAATGAAAAACATACTGAAATTACAACGTGGTTTCTTAACGTAAAATACAGTTGCTGTAACGTAAAATACAATTAGATTGTACTACCGTTAAATGAACACAAATGCCTATATAAACCAACGTTTGTTACTAAACGTTTGTTAAATATATGTAATTAATTCATTGGTATTTGCTGTGTTCTGAAAACGACTGCAGAGTGAGCAATAGAATTGTTACGATTACCAAATCGTGATCTAATATATATTTTAAAACTACAGGGAATCACTATGTCATTTCTGAAACGAAACAACTCATTCATTAAAAGCAAATTAGGCGAATAATAAAATAAAAACGGTACTATGCAACCTAGAGAGCCGAAACTGGGGTAGTTGCAAAGGCACCTGTGCAAATTCGCAAGTACTGTTTGAGAACCTGGTCATATTTATGTAGTGAGATTTTGAAGCTGACATAAAATACCTGACGGTCATAGTCATGGCGTGAAAATAGTGATGCTTTAAAAAGTTATTACACTGAGGTTGTCTCAGCAACCAACTTTGCTTTGGTGATCTACGTCAAATAAAATCTCCTGAGGTAATCTAATTCAGAAATCCATATTGGCATTCTTGAGTTTTGAATTCATGAAGAGATCTGAACGAGAAATCCGATTGTTAACAAGAAATCATGCATTAGTAAAGATACAATGTCAACTCAAGTGAAGAAGGAAGAAAATGTTAACATTTAAAATTGATTAATCACTTATCGGATTTTAAATAAATT